GCACCATTCAGCCGCACCGACCCCAGTGCTTAAAACCCCGCCGCGCCCATTCAGATGGACGTCGACCAATCGGCTCACACGGTCGACAACATCGACCACGACGCGGCGCGACAAGAGCCTGACGGGGAGACGGCAACCCCGGAGGGTGGCAACCCCACGGAGCAGATGGACGAAGAGTCCTGAAGCCCCCTATACCCGGACGAATGCGTCCATGCTCATCCGTACCGCCTGGTACCTTCATCCACCCAGACGTCGCACCAACGTCATGGTGTATATAACGGTGCAGGACGCAGTAGCGTCCACCCTTTCCCGCGTACCCTTCGCGAAGCACCGCTCGGACGGCATGCCCCCGTCGCGAGTCAGTACTCCGGGCATGGACGACGCTCGTCCTCCTAGGATGTCGAATGCGACGCGCCTAGTGTATATATAAAAGTGGCCTCATCGCCGCACCCTTGTATTATAGGGCCTCTGCGAGTGCAGCGCAGAGGACCCGTGTATTATACTGTGCTACCGCCACTCCGAGTTGTGGCCCTTCCTCTTTGTATATTAATTTTGAGACCCTACCACGGGTCTAGGGGGGGAGAGTGTAAGAACCCGTCGGTTCTTTCATAACCAGACCGTGCTAGGTCGTGCGCGGAGGACGACTAACCGTCATCGAGTAAAGGAGAACGAGGTCTCCGAGGTTCTCGGAGACCCAGGGCGCATAGGCGCCCGTAGATTAGATGCGTTACGTCATGTACTTTACATAATCGTACGGCGCCCCAAGGTTCGGGCCTTGGGCGTCTGGTGGGGTTGACTTCTACCAACCCCACCATCCTACGAGTACGCCGAGCAATACAGCCCGGTCCAGAGTACTTGCGGGATACCGGGGACCGGTAGAGGTCAAGTATACTTACAGGGTTGTAATATATGTATGTCATAGCTTTAGGGAATTCTCCCGAAGTATGGACGCCCTGCGACACCATAGCTAACCCCATGCGATCGCGACCCAACGCCATTGCCATCACTGGCCTACACGGCCTCCTTCTCCGCATAGTACCGCCCGTGTGCCCTAGCGACGTCTTCCGCGCTGGCGGAGGCGCTCCCATCTCCGGTAGCCGCATCTCGTGTCGCGACATTCAGCTCGATCACTGCGGGTGCGCCGGCATCGTTCGTCGTGCGCATCGTGCGCTGAAGCTGCGCCATCGAATTGTCAAAGTGTGACTGACATGCACAGAGCGTATGTTTGGATCACCAACCTGGCTCGCGTATGTCTCGCCGACACTTGCTGCAGGGGGCGGCGCGAATCCGAACGCGGAGACCTCGTTGGGGACGATGCTCGAGCCTCCGCACGACGCAAGCCGCTGCCTCGAGTTCAACCTACACGAGTAAATTCGAATTCGTTGAGAGCTCAAGGGATCAGTGAAAGTCGAGGGTGCGCACGCTGCTAAAAGGGTGTTGGCGTACACTGCAACACAATGCGAAAGCGGCGTGTCACCGGTCAGTACTCGATCTATCAGGGAGGGTTAAATCCACTCACACTTGGTAGCCGGAATAGCAAAAGCAACGTAGAGCAGCTGTCCAGGGAGAGTGAATCCCTGGTTTTATGAGGTAAGTGACCGAGCGTCTCCCGGACGCAACAAGCAGACCCACGAGTACGGTCACCAGAATATCCATAATCCTAGCAAGCGGTGAGATTATAAGAGTAGCGCTTGATCGCAGCATATAAATAATTACCCTGTGAGAAGTCCTGGCATAGGTCGCAGTCAGGTTGAAGGTCGAGAAGACAGAAGACGTGCACACCAGAACATACCAGTGCTGATCGAGTACATTATCATCAGGTCTATCATGGTGTCCGTACTGCAATGTGCGCGCACATGTTCAATTACAGTACACCTTCACTTGCAAAGGATGCTTATGCTTACCTTTTAATCCCCGTTCGGCTGCGATGAAGAACATAAATGAGGACGGACGCAAGTAGCAGGTCAGCTACCAAGGCCAGAGCGGAACTGAGTGCACTAAGATTCTGTCAGGCGCAGATAACCACTAAGTGATGTGCGAAAATGTCATGTAGGATAAACTACTCACCGATTGCATGTCGTTTCGGAGAAACCTATAACGGGGATCAGTGCGACATCTAACACATCTTGTGATTCCCTGTTAAAATCCAACAGACCCTTGCATTGTCGCGGCTAAATGAGTACTGTGTGAGCCCTGTCATCGGCCCCGACAGGTGCACAAGGTGTCACGTACCTGTGGCGAACCCTGCATGTGCAATATATCATTCAGATATTCGCCGAGCGTAACGAGGCAAAGGACCACTATACCTAGTGAGGTCAGGGAGCATATAGTCTGGTTCCCGGCCCGCAGTGTCATCAGTGACCGCCATTTCAGATGCCGAACTTGACTACTGACCGAGAAAATGACTAGGGGTCTAAATCGTGCACCGATAATCCAGACCCTGCGGATGAAGAAGCTAGAGATGACGTCAGTGCGGAAATATGGTGAATATGATGAGGACACTACCTCTGAGTTATATCCATAGATAGCATCTGTATAACGAGAATGTTGAAAATGAGATGATTTTGAGAAACATTGTACACGACATACGGATACCGCCGGGTGCAGCTAGCATTCGATACTGATGTTAGTCCATTACGCCGTAAAGAGAATATTCCCGGCTCACTTTAATCGACCTATAATGCCAATTAGTGATGAATGTCAGATCCCTGCTCAGAGTAGAGACGACGGACCATGATGGGCGTGCGAGTGTTTGTGGCTGGAAGTAATTCGTGATGAGGTGGTAATAGCTAACGCGGGTTTGATGTCAGCATAAACTTCTGATGGGCCGTATGCCTTCACGTACCATGCGTGCGCTCCCAGGATACTAGTAAATGTCTCCAGAACCCTTTAGGTACCGAGAAAATTAGGCGGAGGAGTCAGACATTGAATCAACGATGACTTGACGATACTACTGACAAGACTACTGCCACCTGCACAGCCTAGATGTAAGAATCGGAGGATGTGATGTTAAAATTATCCCTTCTCAAAACACATACCAAGCTCTTCAGCCACGTAGAATCGTTCGGATATAGACGGAAGTAGCGATATGCTTGATGCATACACACACCATACAGGCTACAAAAATTGGTGAGTATTGCTCGGAAATCAAACACGAACGTGATACCCACACCAGTCCTACGTACGTACCAACCGCCAGGGCTCCGAAAGTGTTGTCTAAGGAGGGGATCTGGGGTAAGGCTATCGACGCGGGGACCTGGGCTACTGGGATTGAAGAACCGTTGGGAGGGAGAGCCATGGTGATGTTGTACTGGAGGTTGCGAGACGACCCTCCTTCGCGGTATATTTATACTATACAATCGGCGCCTTTATCTGTAGGTTCCGTGACGGTGGTTAGGCTCAAGCACTGCTCCTGCGCCGCCTAACTCAGTATATAGTCTCGAGAGGACTTTTCCGAGGGGCGAGGGGAAGAGAGCCTATCTGAACCATAATGCATGATAGATGGCATCACGAAGCATTGCTCAACCGAGCTGAGAGAAGAAATGATGACAGATGAGAGAGCGTTGAATCTGACTTGGCCTGTGAATGGTACGCACCCACCAAGGTTCATCGAACCCTATCGATGCTATAGCGCTAACGCTGACACCTGAACAGGAATTCGCTCAACGCTTTGTTCAAGTGTGGGTGAATATACTTACCGGATGATTTCTGCGCGGCGGTCCGCCATCGAGGGCACGAGGCACGCCGACTCGCACGCGGAGCAACTTGACTTGGTATCCACATTTCCTGAGGTCCTACATAGCCTTCTACCATCTATAAGAAACTCATCTGACACATACACTTACCAAGCGTGCATGCTGGCGGCCCACGGGCGAACGAGACAAGCGTGAGAGCGTCCTTACCACGGCGCCGGCGAGCGAGGTAGTCTTGGGAGGCATTCTTCATGAGCTTGGGGACGGGGACTTGACATCATGAATAGAGCATTAAAATATTGAACACCAAGTAGATGTTAGAGGAAGAATCCAGGAGAGAGACCACTGCGAAGGCATGACTGCAGCGTCTAGGAAGACGGCTGCAGATCCCAATCGGGACGTCATTGGCCTTGGATCCTAACAAGGACAAACACAGCACTCATCCTCCGACGATGTTTTCTCGCTTTTGCCTCCCAATGGTCTTCAGGTCATCCCTTAGCTCTGCCCCTCGATGGATGAAGGCACCCTTACTGTCAAGTATCAGCGTTTGAGCATGTCTGGGCTGGCTAGTTGGCCTGCGCTTCTTCACCCTGCACGCCGCCAGTGGCGTTGGCAATGCTCTGTACAGCTTCAAACAAGTTCGTCTTTGCAACACTTCGGACCCCTACGGTGTTCGCAGCAGCGAATGTTTTGCACAGATATTTTGTCGCCCAATTCGCGTCGCGGAGATGACGTTCCAAAGAAGAGTGGGGGGACTGAGGTCGTGACGACCGAATTCTAGGAGCGCCAAGGTGAGCTTTTCGGACTATGTGTGCCCTTCTATCATCACTATGCAGGGATGTAGTCCAAGGCTACACCTCTTATGACCTCTTCGAGAGCGTCATAACCCTGCTGAACGCAGCTGAGCTTGAGGGCGCGCTCCTAAGCTACTCATTCACGTCAAATCGCGCACGGCATTGGCATTGATGGGTAAGGATGCATGTACTATCGTTTGCGCCATCCAATTCCTATTCTCCTGGTATTCGAGCACGCGCGTGACTGGGTTAGAGCTATCGACGAGAAAATGGCGTCTTTGCGGTGCTGCGGTAGTCTCGAGACGCCCATGTCAGCAGCTTGCACAACGCGATTGTTCAAGTCCCTTTATTGTGCGTATCTCACTCGAGCTTGTATCTCATCGACTTTCGCTCAGGCTCGTACCCATCCACGAACCCGCAGAGGCTCATACACACCCACGTATGGTGCTCAAGGTCACCCTCTGCTCGACGCCCGCGTCCATCGCACTCGCTGTGTCTGCCCTCTCCATTCATTCCGTTATACTAGTCGAATGTATCGGAAAAGACCTCGGCAAGCCTGGGTGCGTCCTCAGCATCATATCACTCTGCGACTCTCTCGCCGGACAAGTCTTTCTCATCGACGTGCTCGCCTTTCCGTCCTCTCCGAATCACTGCATCTCCCAGTCATCCACCACCCCGCCTTCAATCCCATGCCCTCACCCCGCACTCGCCCCCCTCCTCGCGCTCCTCTCCCTACCGCACATCACCAAGGTCTTCTTTGACGGCCGCCCGGACGTGTTGGAGCTTCTGCTCGCTTACGGTCTCGTGCTCGCGAACGTCCTCGACCTGCAGCTTGTCGAAGTCGCCGCGCGTGTGCACAAGTGTAAGCCAGGCCGGCCAGATCCAGACCTCATCAAGCACTCTTTCAAATCAATCTCCGCCGAAGTCGAGGACAACCCCAGCGCGTACGCGGGCATCCACACGCTGCGCGGTCTCGAGCACGTTGTCGGCTTGTATAACTTGCTGCCTAAGGATAGCGACGCCACTGGGAGGGAGCTGAAAGACTGTGAGTTCCCCGGTCCGTTGATCACTCCACGCTCCCAACCTCATCCCGTGCCACACAGCCGCGGTCGTCGCGATGCGCAAATCATGCGGCTCAGCAATGTGGCTCGCGCGCCCGCTCCCCGAGCTCCTCTTGACCTACGCTGCGCACCGGCTCTCGCTGATCGCCGCCGTGTACGCGCACTTCACGGGCCGGAAGTGGGTGTGCGAGCACATGCGCACGCTTCGAGCGCAGTCCTCAGTATACGTGGGCCTGCTTGCATCGCGCGAGGAGAGCGAGCGCCTGAATAAGCTTAGAATCAGGCTGCTCCTGCCACTGGGGATCATCGACAGGGATGGGGGCGACGAGGTCGACAAAAGCGCACCACGGTACGTCTGCGAGTGCTGTCGTCGTGATCTCACCTTGGACTGCTACGCGATGCGGCTCCAAAGCACGGATACGTCCGAGAGTGTCGAGGGGCAGGGTGTAGGTGATGTCACGCAGGCCGATGCGCGGGAGAGGCTGTCATATTGCCGGTTGTGCAACGCGATCGCGCAGAGGAACAAGCGGGCTTTGGGCGAGTGGGTTGTTTTCTGACTCCGTGGTTATCGTATTCTGCGATATAGCTTTAATGGAAGGCGTTTATATACTGACAAAACAACTTGTCGTTCGAAGTGGTCGATAACCTATCAAACACGAATTTCTGAAGTACTCATGGACGCCCTCCGATCCCCCTGAGACCACGTAGGACACAACACCATCTGAAGAGGCTGCCTACGCAACCTCCTTCTCCGCCGCCGCGTACACGCCGTCAGCGCTAGCAAGGTCTTCCGCACTAGCGGAGGCATTCTTGTTCCGGGTAGACGCAGTTTGTGTCGCCACCCTCAGCTCGATCACCGCGGGTGATATATCCGTGGCGTTGGTCGCGCGCATCGAGCGTTGGAGCTGTGCCACCAATTCGTTATAAGCAGACATACAAAAAACGTGTGGATTACTGACCTGCGGCGTATATATGTCGCTGACGCTTCCCGCAGGGGGCGGAGCAAATCCGAAAGCGGAAACTTCGTTGGAGACTTCGTTAGAGCCTCCGCGCAATGCGATATAGTGTCGTGAATTCAGCCTACGCCATTTGCGTAAGCTACGACAAGGCTCGGCGGGGCCAAGATGAACTCACGCTGCGAGGACGGCGTTGGCGTACACTGCGACGCCGGTGGCCCGGGGAAGTCAGCCTCCCCTCATCTCTCGGATATAAAAGCCGCCTACGTTTGGTACCCGCGACACTGAGTGGGATGTATAATAGTTGTTCAGGAAAAGCGAACGCCTATAATATGAATGTTAGCTATAGATGCCGCAGAGCGTCTGGGAGGCTTACGAGTCCGGCTGCCAGTATATCCACAATCCTGGGAAGAGCTTAGTTATGGGAGATGATTCCTTATGTTGGCGCCCGATAGCTACCCAGTGATTAAGCCTAGCGTATCTCGTAGTCAGAGAACATATACCTGAGAAGATAGATGTGTGAACGCACCAGTGCTGACTGAGTACATGATCATGAGATCGATCATAGAGTCCGTCCTACATCACCCGTTGGCTGCTTAGCACTACTTATGCCTGGGTAAATAGAATACACGTACCTCTTGAACCCAGTCCGACTACGATGCAGTACATGGATGAGGACCGAAGCAAGGAGCAGGTCAGATACAAGGGCAAGCGCGGAACTGATTGCACACAATTTCTACTCGTCACTTAGTGCCCATGCCGTCGTATTTTTTCTGTAACTCTTACCGATACAAGAGGTACTCCCTGGATTCCGTCTGCAATGAATCCCTGTGCTGTCGTAGCTATATACAAATGCTGGGTAAGATGTCATATAAATCGTTTCAGGAGTATAGAACATACCTGCTGAGACACCTACCGCGGTGAACTCCGTTCAGAGGCAGGACAACTGGAAAACTCAGGCGACATTACCTAGCGAGGCTAGAGAGCATAGAGTCTAAGTAGTCTCGAGTCATTTTAACCGTCTCCGCCGTCACAATAACAACATTGGCTACTTACCGAGAAGATAACCACGGGTCTGAAACGTGCGCCGATTACCCACACCCTACGAATAAAGAAGCTAGGGGCAGGTATCATTAGTCTCGGAACCAAATGAGTATGGTAGACATATAACCTTTGAGCGGTGATTACAGAAAGTCCCTAATATAGCGAGAATGGGAGTGATATGAGAATATCCTAGTACACGACAAGATGAGATACGACGTACCGAGATCGTCGGGGACAGCTTGTGTGAAGTACCGGGGTCAGTCGGTATGGAAGACAGAAAGATGACCACAGATCTCACATTGATGGACCTAAGACACGTATCAGTCGCAGACCATTATACATCATTGGCGAAGATACGCACCATACTGGATGTCCGAGCTTCTCTGGTTGAAAGTAGTTCGTTACGAGGTGGTAGTAGCTTCGCAAGGCGGGTAAGCTCTGAGGTCGCGCATGAGAAGCGATACGGAATCACATACCATCCGTGCATGCCCAGAACACTAGTGAGACTTTCCAAAACCCTGTATCCAGCGATGTCAACAGACCGGACGCACACGTCTCCGCCGTCGATCCAAACAAAATACTGACAAGACAACGACCACCTCCACCGAGACGTCAGTGATATGCGAGACGAAGTCGATTATCAAGTCACGCACCAAACCCTTCAACCACCAGGAATCATTAGGATACAGGCGGGAATAGCGGTAGGCTTGATGTATTGTGACGCCATATAAACTATCAAATGGAGTCGATCAGCGCGGCGTACTTCACATACGCGACACACTCACATAAGCCCGACGTATGTTCCAATCACAATCGCTCCGAACGTGTTGTCAAGAGAGGGAATCTGGGGAATAATCAAATAGGGAGCCTGTTCTTCGGCCATGGATGAGCTGCTAGAGAGGAAAGCTGCCGGAAAACAGTACTCGAGTCTCGGGGATGCAAGACGGTTATGTCTCGTCTGCATGTTCATATACCGCAGGGAGCTGATGGTTACCGGCACGTATTAGGTTTGCGTTTAGCAGCGTTACATGGGTTGCTTCTACAGGCGCAAATCCGCGCAGCATGACATGTTCCTTGGCATGAAGCAACCTGCAGGGATGATATATCTGTAACGATGCCCGTGTGTGGGCAAGGACAGCTCCTGGAAAGCGTACCTAGGTTCTGTCAGCCCAATGACATATCATACAAGAGCTATACTCACACCGTGTACATTTTGAATCACGAAGTTGGCCCCATAGCACGTATTGTTCTGAATGGTCTATGGTGCACGCAGCCGTGACGCAGACATCGACGGAGCTGACGTAGCCGTGAGCCATACGCATCGGGCTCTCGTGGCGCAGGGGTTGAAGAGGGTCGGTACCTGAGCTTGCCGGAAATTCAGGTCCATGAAGAGAAGGCCTGACTTCTAGAGTTCGTTCTCGAGAGGGTGGCCTCGGAATCGACTCCGCGAGACGTGCAGGAACGATGCCAAGGAAGCCTGACTTCAGCTTCAACTATGCTCTGTTCATGATTAACAACCAGGTTTTGCTCAGAAATCTCGATTTAGGGAGAAGAGAGACCGGTGGAAGCGTCCTAGATGATGATAGCATCGCGGAGAGCGAGAGGCGCTCGAGCCTCGAAACGACTCCCGTCGGCCATGTGTGAATCGGAATATGCCGAGCTGCGCTAGGAACCGGAAGCAGTCTCGGACCTGGTACAACACATATTCGTGTATGACACTAGCACTCGGAACTGTTTGATGCTAGATAGTGGCTCCTTGGGTATAGAGAGCAGACGTAGGATGCAGAGGTATAAGTAATTCAAATTCTGAAAAAAAGAGGGGCAGCGACAGGGCAACACTACTAGTACATACACAGTCCACTACAACACTCACCACAAGAAGAGTCTACACCGTGATACATACGTATTCCGAGGCTCAATACTTCGGTACCCTAAACGTTCTCATCGGCGGCGCGACGATACTGGGAACTCGCCTCCGAACGCGGCAAGTCTATATCGTCCGCTGTCTCCGCGCCGAGTCGGACTGTGTCTCCGAAGTGCGAGGGCACTTTGAGTTCGATGACCGATGTCTCTTCGGTTCGCGAAGGTCGAAGCTGCCGAGCGCCGCGGCGGTATGGGTCAGCATACTGGGGACCCCAAAAAGGGAGTGTCCCTACCTGCGGCGCGTGAACCTGCGAGCCCCCGCGCGTACGACGGCTGATATGCAGCGCAGCCGTGCCTCCGAACCCGAAGGGGTTGGTGTCGTTCGAGATGCCGGAGCCATGAGAGGCGAGCGACTGGCGCGAGTTGAGGCTGAAATAGGAGGGTCAGGCTTTGTGTTTAGTTGCGTCGAGTTTGGGGTGTAACTTACGCGGCAAGCAGCGTTGTGGCGTACACTGTGCGAAATGGGAGATATAAGTAGTGCGACGATGTCGACGCACACTTTGAGGCTTACTCTTCGCTCCCACAATTCCGAAACCGATGTAGATGAGGTCTCCGGGCCGAATGAAAGCCTGGCCAAAGTCAGTATTACTTTCCTGAGAGGGCAGAGTAGGGATGACGTACGAATAGCAGCGAGAGAAGGTTGAGGATCCTATATGGGACTTCATCAGCTAACAGTCATGAAGCAAGGTCTGCGTACGGTACCCTGTCAGGAGCCCTACAATATTCGCTATTGAGCACATTACAAGCGACACCAAGAGAGCAAAGACTCACCAGTGTTCACCGAGTAGAGGATCAAGATGTCGATCATAGTGTCGGTTCTACCAGTGTTAGACCTGATTAGTATCGGAATTACTCGGTCGGAGGGAGGGCATACCTCTTCAGGCCGGTACGACTACGGTGTAGGAATACGATGAGTGCGGCGGTGAGCGTCATGTCCGCCGTGACAGCCATGGTAGAGCCCGTCGACACCAGCCACTATAGCGAGGTGAACGATAGGAAGAGCACGCAGGGGGAAGAAACGCACTGTGACTCGTCGGAAACCTGCGAAGGTGGGGATGATAAAGCTACACTAGTGTCAGCTCTGTGATGATATAGATATACTCGTGATTATACGTACGCTTCGGCCGACGCGGCTATAACATTTATAGAGTAATATTAGCGTAAGCAGAGCCTCGTAGGCTGGTAATACTTTACCTATGAAGAACCCTACGAGGATAGGAGATACTTTCAATAAAGTTCTCTCACTCGCTTGAAGACGCACGTACCTATCTCAACGATACACAGCGTGCCCTTGAAACGAGCATCTAACATGAGCAAACACTGACATAGTCAACGGCAAAGCACGTACCGCAAACAGCACAACTGCCTTCGAGATACGTGCCCCGAGATGCCACACTCGGCGAGCGAAGAAGCTGCATCATAGTTAGCATTTCTAACTGCAACCATCACAGAAAAGGATGCAGACACTTACCTTTGCGCGGAGATCATGATGATACCCTGTACACGGAAGACAGTTGATGAAGACGATCTGCGTATGACGCACATCCGGACTCACTGATGCGACGGGAAACAACTTCAAGCAAAGATATAAGGTCAACGATGACATCTGTCACCAGAGAGAACGCACATTCAAGGACCTGAGCGAACGGTAAATTCAGCAAGCTGAGCCCGACATGACTTTCCATCGCAACACATACCAGACGCCGTGGAGCAGCGCTTCTGGGTTAAAATAGTTCGTCGTGAGGTAGAAGTAGCTGCAACCTTGGTCATTGACCTGGTCCCGCAGGATTGTAGACGGGATCAACTCACCAAACGTGCATGCTGAAGACAGAGGTGATCGTTTCAAGAAGGCTACAACGCATGTCAGCTAATGCCCCCCATCGGGAACGCCGCCAGGGCGTACACAACAAACGCCACCTATGAGTTCATGTCAAGGACGAGCCGTAGTGCAGACAAAAAAGGTAAAACATACGAGGCACTTCAGCGCACGGGAGTCGTTCGGGTACAAGCGAAGGTATCGATATGACTGATGTAACGTGAGACCGTATAATCTGACAGCGACGAATATTAGCTCGTGCACTCCGGATACGCTACTAGCAGGAGACCCGACGGAGACTCACATTAGACCGACGAAGGTGCCAAGAAGCACTGCTCCGAACGTATTGTCCAACGCCGGGACCTTTGGCAGCGAAGCCAAAGGATTCAGGGGGACTCTTGTGGACGTCGTATTTCCAGGCGCGGACATTCTGGGGGATTAGTGGCGTTGTGAAACGGAGGGCGAGACGTATCACCGAGCTTCAGAACATATATCGCGTTCCTTGAGCGCCGGTATAAGGTTCGCAAGGACGCCCATCGCTGCTCACTCCCAGGGTACGCCCACAAACGGGTCACAAGAGCGCAGCGCCATCAGCGCCGGGCAGAGAAGGTGAGTGATCGCATCGTATTGGAAGTCGAAGAACCCATGAACGTGAGGCTGGCCCCAAATACGCGCGGATGCCTGGCGGGTTGAGGCTGTCTGGGAGCGAGCGTCTTTCCGGATACCTGGAGCTGCGCAAGATCAGCAAAGGTCATACTGAGAAACCCTTAGCATGCGGTATCCTCATACACGTACCAATTAGGAGCTATATCATAATACTCGCCGAGCAGCCCGATCACTACATCTCGCGCGCGCTGGAAGCCCGGTCAAAATCAAGAAGCTTCAACCCTCCCCTCACCGAAAGCGCTTCTAACCAGAGGTTCTGCCGCGGGCGTACCGGGCCACACTAAAGGAGAAGTGGGCTGAGTTTCAAGTACCCAGTTGAACGCCCGTGCCACAAGACATGCTATGCAGATACATGCTGATCGAAGGTGATGTGTGTCGCGCGGGAGCTTCAAAAGAGGCCGAGGTCTTGTGGCGGCCGCCCAGGCTGACAGGAGTCGGTTGGATGATCAGAGATGCGTCTACGGAAATACACGGAGTACGGGCGTGCATCTCAGGTGGCGGCGGTGCCAATAAGACCACTGGTGGGAGTATAGCCGTGGCACCCCGCAGGGCCTTAGGAGCGTCACACGCCAGGTTGCCCACCGTAGATCTATGGGGGTCTGTGAGTCAAGTTGGTTCCAAAGATCGGAGAGCCTGCTAACAAGACACTGTACATATCATGGCTGATTTGTAGCAAACATGACGCCCGAAGATTGAGCACGCCGGCGGCGGGTACGCACGAAGCTCCCACCCGATTTTGACAGATGATGCTCGAGCTCCTCGACAAGGTAGCCGTGAATAGAGTATACTCTCCATCATAGCGCAGTTCTCCTGAGCAGGAACTTGAAGGCTATCGCCATAGATTGAGCGAGTACGACCCAGAGTTCGTTGTGGTTGCGGCGATGGCTAACGCGAGCGCTCTTTCGATTGCGCAGAGCCTCGAGCCGTCGGCATCTTCCGAGCCCCCTCCCGTTGGGCGCCTGAGAACTCCGAAAGACCAGAACATACGATTTCTGCAAGTCTGGTCTGACCATGTAGGCTATTAAGGCTTAGGGAGTATACGTAGACATTTTGAACTTATGATATATTGGGAGAGCGGGGGTTATGTACTGATGAAACGCCTGTACGACTTGTGGCGAGCTTCCCAATGCTTGAGACTCTGTAGCATTGGGCGCGCGTAGGCGCAGTCGCGGCGCGTTCGGCTGGGTGACGGTTTCGCGCAATCGTGTTGGGAACCCGTACTTCCACCCTTTAAAGCTGACGGTTCCGGTTCGGAAGATGCTGCGTGTGTCAAAGAATTGACAGTTAGCAACAATTTGGCCACCCTATAGATAACCCAAGCGCGTGTAGTGGCCACTTACCGCGACGCGAGAGAACTCAGACGGATTACGCAGCGCCGCGATCACCGCAGACGCCTCGTTCTGAGTGAGGTTGTCGAGCGGGGGTGGCGTAACGCCTATTTGGGCGTATAGCATCCCGATGTACTGTGCCTGTCTCTCGGTGCGCAACTCTGTGTCCCCGTTGGGCCACACGAAGGGTTCGGTAGGTTCAGGCTGCGGCCAAGCACTGTCAGATGGGCGGCAAGTGCGGGGTTAGAGAGTATATACATACCTCGACGCCTTCGGCCAAGATGTAGTCGATCACCGCAGTGGGAGGAGTGGCCCCCTGCATGAGGAACTCGATGAGGCGGCTCGCGCCGGCGCGGTTAATCTGCTGCTCGGGGTCGTCGAGGAATGGTAGGTCTACGTTGTGCGCTACTGAGAGTGACTGCATGGTATGCAACTGGCGTGTGGTTGCCGGGTCTAATGATGAGAGATGAGGGGTAAGGGATCTATCTAGTAAATCTGATAGAAACAAGACGTACAGCGAGCGGTTGACCATTCGTGGGCAGGAAAGCCGACCACGGGGGCTAGGTTGGGGGCTACGCTGTTGGCTACCGGCAGGATTTCGGCATTTATTATGCCTCCATTCACCACATGGGTGCCCACAGAGCTCCCGACAGGGGCAACCTCCTGTAAACTGCTGCTGAGGACAGACTCCGAATGCTCTCCGAGTTGTTCAGGGTTGGACGCGCCGACATCCTGGTCCTGGGTTTCGGCGTCGACACGTCCGACTTTATCTGATTTTGGACACACTTTAGTGCTTTGATTTTACCAATAGCTCCACATCCGGGTAAAGTGGAAGTGACATACCATTGCCATCTGTGTCGGTGTTCATGTTGGTCGAGTTGAGGGATTAGGAGGGGAAAATTGAGCAAACTAAGAACTTGATCACCTCTTTATAGGGATCGACTGCTTCCGCATTCCAGAACTTAGAATGTATGGAGATCTAGGCGGAAGGAGAAAATGCAGCTGCTCTGCATTTTGGGTCAGAAATCCAAGACTAGATACCCTCCATCGAACGGCACCGCCACCTCCACTACGCTCTCGTCTAGCCATGTTCACCTGGTTGCTACATACCTCTTCCTGAGGTCGCGGACGCAAAACGCGTCACCTAGCGATGTAGGTGATAATCGCTTGTCGAGGCACTGGACTGAACATCCACAAGTTCAACCATCGAGATCGGCGCATATTGGAATTTCACCATTTCGGGCGCCTAAATCGAGGCTAATCCTTTTTAGGCGATTCTTTCTTTCTTCGGCCCGGGGAGGAAAATAAATACCTACTGCGGTCGAGACTCTGCTCCCAACGTTCGCAGTGCTCGCTCAGACAGATTGGAGGCTTGCGTCGGTACGATGTGCCCTAAGCAAGGGGAATGGCTTACCATCGCCTCAAGTCAGGAACGTTGGCTCCGACAGCTCGGAGGCGGGCTAAGTTCCCCCTTCGGCTAGCCGAGGCACATTTCTGTTCATGAAGATAACACCTTCAAGGTTCTGAGCTTCTCTATGTGAGGTGCGAGTCCGAGCCTGGCGAGAAATCGTGGCCCGTTCGTCATCTCCCCACCCCGAATGAATATCGTTCAATCAAGCTCAGCCGCCGCTCTCCGGAAGATCCGTCTGGCCCTCTTGGAGTGTATGGGGCGCTACACCGTGCGCGATGACGTCTCTCGCCCGAAATTTAATCCCGAGGTAAGCGGCATTTGAAGTGATCGATCGAGGGCCCGACTCGCTCACGGCCTCGAGGCTAGCAAGACAAACAGGGAAACTCGAACTCGCCAACGCGCGAAGGTCGTGCCTTCCAATACTTCCCGTCTTCGTTCCTTCTTCAATTCCACCACGACACTAGAAAGCCGACCTCCCAACAGATGCGGATTCTCAGGAGTAAGCCAGCCTGTGGCGTTCGCAATTTCCCCGGTGCGGGGCTGAGGAACAGATCAAGCGATGCCGGAGCCCAATTTGCGGCTTGTCTGACGTCTCTCACTCCGAAACGGACCAGGCCGTGGACGGTCGCTCGTCCGCCCATCGTGAGGCCCCTCGGCCTCTCGTCACATCTCAGACAAGGTCTCCCAGCGCTCTTATCGACGGACGCCACGCCTCGTGGTTAAGACGGTCATATACAGCCGGCGCACGTCGGCGGCCAATCTTGCGCCCGCCCCCCCTCCGCCGCTGCCTCCTTCGCTTCCTGCTTCTCACCACCACTTGCGCCCGTTCTCGTTGCCTCTGCTCGCTCGTTCTGGTAGCCTGGTTCTGGATCTCAGTCCTCCTTTCCGTCCATGGAAGTGCTTTCGCGCCCGAAGGCGTTCTCCAGGGCCTCGGATACGATCGACGATGAAGTGAGTCCTCATTTTCTACCTTCCCTTGGCTCGAAGACTCGTTGCATCCCCGAGTGCGCGCCCATATCGCATTCCGTACGTACGAGTGCCACTGTCTGCGCCGAATTCATATCCGGCAGGTACGCATCACGTCTGCGTCAGGCACATGTCGAGCGCTCTGGACTTCGCTCGGCGCGTCCTGCCAGACGCTTTGGCATCGCCATTCCCACTCCCTTTCAATCACGCCGCTCCGGCTTTTTGACTCGAGCTCTTGTCGCGCCGAACGCAGAATATCCAACGCAGACGGGTACCAAGAGCAGTTGGCTGTTTGCTAACCCGCACGAGTTGCCCGAACGCCTCGCGGCCGTGAAAGGGAAAGATAATAGGCACACATGCGCCTACTCTGACTGCGTGGTAAGCAACGTGCTCGGTGCAGCTCAAAGCTGTGCCATCGTATGTATGTCCATCAGCCTGATCGCACATGTTGCGCCGCAGATTATGTTGTGGCCAGGATCCGGGCATGCGGCCAACCCGTGTCCGGTAGCAAAGACGATATAACGAGCTATGAGGCAAGCGTAGCTGATACCGTGTTCTCGTCTGCCACCTCGTTCGAGGCAGATTCTGCTCGCCGGGACTGCTTCCATCTCAGTTTTGTTTGGTCCTGACTCTCGTCGCCATTGATCTATCGGTCATCACGTCGCAGCTCATTGCATCATATCTGAAGCACTGGTCTTCTGTTTGACTTCCCTTACCTGCGCCCCTGTCCTCCTCTGTTCCTCTTTCTTTCCTCCTCTCACTTGTCCCTTTTTTTCGTCGTGTGTATTGACCTTTTAATCCTTTCTTCAGCCCACGCCCGGCCCTTCTATGCTCGCCGCTCCTTCTACAGCCACTCGTTCACCTCCCCGCCTACCCTCTGCGGACCACCAGTTGACGATCCCTGTACGGCCTTCCATCGCCACCCGTCGACACTCGGCAACCGTGGGCTCACTGTCGCCTTCGCACTTGTCGCGACCGCTGCGGTCTTCTCCTCTCGCCGGGCCCTCTATCGCCGCTACCGCCAATGCCTCGCTCGTCGCGAGCGCACCGTCCACTCCGGGAGGGGGGTCCAAGCACCTCTCTCCCCTAGCCGAATCCTCCATCACTATCCCGGCGGACGCTGTTCCCGTGGTCGACCCAGAGGTCAAGAAGCAGCGCAGACGCACATTGGGATCTGTCCTGTCCAAATTGAGCCTGCCTACGTCCTCAGGCGCGTCCTCTGAGCCCACATCTCCCGTCACCCCCGTAGCTCCCCCGCGGCCGCGCACGAAGTCCGCGACGGCGCAGGATGCCCCGCCTGTGCCACCTGTTCCCACCTGGGTGCATAACACCATGCCCGCTCGCGCTCGGCCACCACACGCCTCGTCGTCTTCTCCGTCGCCGCCGCGCGCGCACACCGCCCCGATCCATGGCAGTCCCAAGTCTTCGCGTCCAACATCCCCCACCCCCAGCGCGCGCTCCACGGGATCTGTCAAGCGCGCCGCGGACCCGCGCCGCATGTCGCTCCGCCCCCCGCCTTCGACCTCGCGCAGCCCAGAGGATAACTGGCTCACGCAGTCCGCGGCCCCGCGGTTCTCGCGCCTCGGCTTGAAAGCGGAGGGCGTGATCTTGCCCGTGTCGGCGCGCGAGGCTCGACGCCGCTCGACCGCGTCCCTCGCATCTCTCGCGAGCACCAAGACGCATTCGGTCGATGCGCTCCCGCCCCCGCCCATGCCCGTACGCACGAACTCGCGCGAGAGCACGGCGTCTATTGGCTCCCTCACCGCCTCGTCCGCGCCCGCCAACCAGCAGTTCCGCTCGCGCGCGTCGTCACGCGCGTCTCTCGCGTCCGCTGCCTCCGGATATGGCTCCGTCTACTGCGATACCCCGAGCCTCACGATGAGCCCCGGCCCCTCCGCGAGCGACGTCTCGCTCAACTCGCAAGCGCCGACGGTCGACGAGATGGGCGTGATGTTCTCCCCGGGCCATGTCCAGCTCCAGCTCAACGACGTGCCTGTTGGTGTTCTTTCGCTACCCGTGCCGGCCTACAAGGGCAAGGGCAAAGCGCGCGCGGCCGACGTCGAGCATGAAGCCCCGGAAACGGAGCGAGTTACGTTCGCGCGCTGGACCCGCGGCACGAAGAGCTCCACCCCGTCCGTCATCTCGTCCGCCGCGACCTCCGTTGCCGATCTACCCGCTGGCGGCGCTCCGCTGCACATGCGCGCGGCGACAGCGCCCGAGCTGCTGAGTGGCAGTGGCAAGGAGAAGACGAAGCGGCCACACGCTTTCGGGCGCATGTGGAAGCAGGTCGTGCGCAGCGTCACGACGCGCCGGTAACCTCCCCACTCACGTTGTACATATATCCAGAGGTTGCCTTTCTATACCCGACGATGACATATACGCGCACGGTCCTTACGCACATAACTTATTGACACTTGCTCGGCCGCGATGAAGTACGAGGCTTCGTAGAACGGCTCCTACCCTACATTCTTGGATAGCGTTGGGCTTGGGCACGGGCTCAGGAGGCTGGGCTGCTGTAATACACATGATATCTATATGTTCGCTTTGTTTTGTACCCTTCCGTGTAGATCTGTACCTATGCATCGTCTAACAATTGATTTTCGGTGACCCCAGGATTCCCTATAAGCCTGATCCCCTGGTAGGAAACCAAGTACGTTACTTCGCAAGCGAACTGCCAGCGAAGAACTCTTTCAGCACGCGCCCAAGGATAGGAATGCCGGCCGCCATCGTCTCCTCGGCGCCCGCGAACGTCACCCTTATGAAGTTCGAGCGCTATAGAATAGGGGTCAGCGAGTCTCCCCGGAGGTTGTATGTACAGTTCCACTCACATCATCGATAGGCTCGGATACGTCGTCGTACCGCGGGTCCGCAGGCAGGATGAACACGGACGAAGGACAAATGACCAGCCCACTCGCGATACACGCATCGAAGAGCTCCGTCATTAACGCGCCCGTGTTCGTCTTCGCGACGCCCGCGCCCGTCTTATCCTCCGCCGCGCGCACGAACCGCGGGTGCTTCTCGACGTCCACGCGCACCCAAATGAACATGCCCGCCTCGGGCACGTCCGCGCTTGCGAAGCCGGTGCTCGCGACGTCGCGCTCGAACAGCGCGAGGAGGAAGTCGCGCCGGCGCTGGTAGTCCGCGCACAGGCTGCGCACCCAGCGGTCGAACCCGGCGAGCTGCCAGCCGTGCGGGCCGAGCAGCTCGACGATGAGGATCTGCCCGAAGCCGTGCGGGTTCTGCGTGGAGAGGTCGATGAACTTGACGAGGTGCGTGTAGAAGTCCGGGTGGCTGGTGATCCAGCCGAGGCGCATGCCTGGGGCCATGATTTTGCTGAAGCTGAAGGCGGAAGGGTGTTCAGAGAGAGGCTGGTGACGAGGGGATTGAGGAGACAGACCTGTCGATGCGTATCACTCGCCCGTCGACGTCCATGGACAACAGAGATGTTGCAAAATCCTTCGTCATGTGTGCGGGCTCAGACCCGGGCGCGTCGTATTGAAGGAAGTAGTAAGGGTCTGGTCGTGCATTTAGGATGTCAGCGAGATACTCGTACACGGCTATAGCTTACATACCATCCTCTATGATGATGATATCGTAGCGTTGGGCGATGTCGTATATCTGTTTGCGCCTCTCTAGGCTCAGCGTGGATCCAGTCGGGTTCTGTCCGCATCTGTTAAACGAAGAATGTTAGTCTACTTCATTCATAGCGTACGTTCGACTACTTACGGCGTTGTGTACAAGACATGAGGCCTACGCCCGCGCTCCGGGTTCCAGTTCGCGAGAATGCGTTCGAGCTCTTCAGGTACAAGCCCGCCCGAGTCAATTCTGACCGGCACCCAGTTGACGCCGTGCGCCTCTGCTGCCATCGGCATAGGCGCAAAGGTGAACTCGTCCGCCAAAAATGAGTCTCCAGGCGTGGCGAGCATCCGGAGGCACTTGGTGATCGCATCCGCGTTGCCGAGTGTCATGGTGGGGACATGGTGCGGGGCGGTGTGGTACTTGTTGTTGATCTCTGTTACGATCCGAAGTGCGTCTGAGAGGCCCGCGCCGTGTCCGTACGCGAGCGCGCTGTTGAGGAGACGTCTCGACTCGTCGTCCTTGGACGTGCTCAGAACTTGGGTAGCCGCTGAAGAGCCGAGTGCTTTCCACTGCCCGACTGGGTCGTCGGAAGCGGCTGAGGCGACTTCATAGTCGATGCGGCGGATCGGGTAGAGCGAATGGTGCGGGTCTCCTGTATCAACATACGTATGAGCAGGCGAGCCATGCCGCGTAGAAACTGAGTATCCTTACCATTAGCCAAGGAGATGAGTTGCGGGTTGTTTGTAACCACGCGGATGATGTCCTTCAACGGGTTAACCTTGCGTGCTAACGTCTCGGGCGACAGATGACGGCTGAGGTCAATGAACTGGGGTGGTGCTGTCATACTTTTGATCGAACCGAATAGACTTCTTGTCGTCAGGACGCGTGGGAGGTGAGTCACAGCTACTACTTACCTGTGGGCTGAACTTTGGCGGGTACTAAGTATGACGAGGATGACTTGAAAGCTCACCTGCGGTATATGTACGACGAAGTCCTATCTTGTGGTGACTCCGCCTATGAGTTACACCTATCTTCAGCGTGCCTCACCACCGTCGAGTCAGAGCGGCTCGTAAGATCCGACGTAAGAGAGGCCCGAATGTCGGTCACCAGATTGGTATCGGGCCGTCTGGGCCGTTTCATTAAGAGTTGCAAGGTCCTTCCGGCGGGAGAAGAGGGATCTGTTTTCTGTTCAAGTTACTCAACGGTTCTGTTCCAAAGGATATCGATGGTAGTAAGATGCATCGAAGACCTGTGGCAGTCGTCTCTCGCGCGGCTATCACCTAGTAGACCCAACTTCTGGCAGCACCCGCCGGAAATCAATGCATCCGTTGGGAATATTACCTGGAGGGGATGCAATGGGGTAACCAATGAGTTTCAAACGCGTCCTTTGATATCGAAAGTACGTACGAGATGTTCCTTCGACCGGGAAACTATGAGGAGACTAATTGAAGCTCTTCGGAGCGAGCTCTGCGGAATTATAACCGCTTGCGCCCGCTCCGACACGCAACCTAATAGGGCGGCATAGTGTATATCTCATGTGTCATTGAAAAACATAGGAGATACTGGGAGGACTAGGAGGTAGATATCTAGGTACTTGAGCAACAGCAAGCCTCACAGAACGCAGCAGGACGACGCGTCAGAGAGACGTGTCGCCGGCGTCGCGCGTCTATGAGATCCAACATCCGGATCCGGCTACATCCGGGCGCGCCTGCCACGAAGTCAGCGGGCGCGACCAGTTCGTCTCTCAGAACGAACCACTGACCACTAGCAGACGGCCCTCAATGTACGCTCACCCTCCACTACTTTCATTTTGGATGCAGACTCGAAACGTATCTGCAACCAGTATTGTTCATCGGTACGTCTCGCGGAAACCCGCAACACGTAACCGGAATGTTGTCGCCGTTGCCGCGACGGCACCTTCTGACTTACCGCCCTCGTTGCGTACATTGCTGAGCAATGTTGAATGCATGGGACGCATGCTACTCACCGGAGGGGTCGCTGACACGACATGTATCGCTCACATGTGCAGGTTCAGCCGCAAAACCACTGCAGCGCCGCTGCGCAGTGCACCAGCGGATTACGAGTCATCAAACGTTCCGAATGAATAGCCAGTACGTGTAAGGAGCAGGCGACGATCAGGCCAAGCTGTCCAGAGCCGTCGCTTTCTCGAAAGGTCCAGAAGACTCGAGATCGGGGTCTGCTCAGAGTATAGAATGAGGTCCAAAGGCGCGAAGTCCAATCACTCACTACCCATACGAAACCCTAACACTCGCATTTGGTACGTCCTCTTCGCACTTTGCTCACGCAGCCTCTTGTGGTGCGCGTCGACAGCCGCAACGATGCCATATGGTCGATGTTAAGCTGACGCAACCACAGGTAATCTGCAATCCCTCACCTGAAGTATCGTCATGCCGTTAGTATGCTTTCCGATACGTCCTCCAGAGGAATGGGCTACCGGCGGGGGTACGTACCTTGCTCAACGTATCAACGCGGCGCGTACTGACCGTCATCCCGCAGAGCCCATGACCGAGCGGCAGCGCATCGCGCTCACCAACGTCGCCGCCTACAACCAGATCGATATTCCTTTCCTCTACGTCAAGGATCAGAACGGGCAAAACGTCACGAAGGCTGAGGCGTACATTCTCATCCAGATGATATTGGACGGCTTACGACCGTCTCCGGAGTACATCGACTCTCTGGGTTGGAATCCTGACACGGTGAGCGACAATTCCTACGCCCTCAACGCGTAATTGTCTAGACGACTCATCTGATCATTGTTCAGTACACGACTCCGCCGCACCCGCAATTTTGGATGAACTGCGATGCGGCGCCGACAACCATGCAAATGGCGTGGCTGCACAAGCTCATCGACGATATCGGTATTCCTGAAGCCGTGAAGCTGAAGGCGCTTGAGGGAATTACTCGAGGCCAGGCGTCGTTGCTGATCGGCCGGTTGCGAGAGCAGAAGGGACACATCCGTCCCGCGGAAGAGAGGAGGATGGTCTTCGAGCATGCCGTGCAGGCGGTGAAGGCCGAGTTGCCGACTCCGGAACAGGAGTAGCTCGCTCTTGACGGCAGGGGCATATTTGGACCTTTGTGTTGTGTACGAGTAAGAATCAAACAAGATATCAGTGAAGACGGATGCTTATCTAGTGCAAAGCTACTAGGGGAGATCTAAGCGCGAATAGCGGAATAGTGGAGGTATACTTATTTGGCAACATCTGCGTTCCAGATGATCCAGCGCCCGTGCGCTGCCGCGTTGCGTACGCGATCCAAGGCTGTGAGATGCAGACGAGATACTGACAAGATCCAACCGCAGATCATCGTACTCGCAGGCTCTTCGGGCCACCGATCGCGCCCGCGGACCGCTCTCTCCCCCATTCAGCACTATCTCCCTTGGTATCACGCCGACTCTGAGCTCGGCATTTTCTACGACTCGGACTAGCAAACGACACCCCTACCGAGCAACTACCTCCCTCTGCAGTAACTCCCGGAGAAAGCCGCTTGGAGCCGATGGCAGACGTTTTCGAGCTCATTCGCCCTGTGGAGAAATGGGCAACTGGTGGCGGTACGTACGTCGCCCTTGGTTGTGAGCAACAGCTTGACCTCAACTTGAATGATCCTAGAACCCATGACCCTGAAGCAGCGAGGGAAACTATACTACCTCTGGAAGAGTACCGGGATACACATACCCTTCGCCGATGACAGGAAGCTGCACACCAACACGCAAGCGGTGACCAAGGCCGAGGCGTGGGTACTCATCCGCATGCTCCTGGATGGCGTCCGTCCAACCTCTGCCTACATCGACTCCTTGGGGCGCAGCTTGGCACCGGTGAGTGTTCCCGTTTCAGTACACATGCATGACACAAGAGCCGACGTTGGAATACGAGTACCAACCCCCTACCCACCCGCGTAACTGGAAGAACTGCCATGCTCGGCCGACCGCGATGCAGCTTGCCTGGCTGACTCGGCTGATAAGCATGATGGGCGTCCCGCGGACGGTTATGCGCCAGACGCTCGACAGCCTCACTCTCGGCCAGGCGTCGCTTCTTATAGGACGACTGCGGGAGGATCAGGAGCGACTCTGTACGAGGCGTGGCGCAATGGTCATGTTGGAGAATGCGGTCAAGTACGTTCAAGCGGAGTTGCCTGCGCCGAAGGGGAGGACGACGTGGAGGCCGCGGTGAAGGAACGGACCGCCGCAGTCGAGCCAGAGGACCGGTGTCTCCGTCTTCAGAGTGGTAAGCTGCGACCTGTCACCATTTGATGTATCAATAGCCCGCAAGAATATCTTCAGTTGGCCCCGAGGGCACGTTCGAAGTAGACTAGTCTCACAGTGCACCAGAGTCGTGGAAGCGAATACAAATACTCAACGCTGGACAGGATTTAGCCGAAACGAGCAGCGTGCACATACTTGCGTTGCACTCCAGAAGCAGCATAGTGAGGCTAACGGTGATCGATCCTGTTGGTCGTGCGATCACGACCATACACATCCGCCTTTGCGAAGGCACATAGTGGATGAGCAGTGGCATCTCCGGCATGACCGGCCTCCGATCGAGGTGCGAGCGCTCTTTGAGTTCAGACTTGACCAACTACGACTAACATCGTCGCACATGAGCACAGGCACAAGACAAAGTATAGGGGCGCATTCTTGTCTCCTCCCATCACTCCCCCGAGTCTGCCCCGAGAAAGAGACAGTGGATGCTGCGTACGACGAGTCCATCTCCTCACTCATCCACGCCTGCGGCCGACGGCCATGTCGCAACCGGGGCCGTTGTACCTCACAACGCCGACCCAACCACCCCGATTTCGGCTACATCTTCTTTCATCCGCCCTCCCGAAGAGTGGGCTACAGGAGGAGGTACGCGGAGATTATGTCGCGCACTTCGCACTTGAAGCTGACCGTTATGTTTGTCTCCAGAGCCGATGACCGACCGACAGTCCAGATACATATATGTCTTGTGCACTATCCTGGGGATCCCCATACCAGAGTTTGTCGTTTGGGGCTTGATGGACACCACCACGCAGAAGGTGACCAAGGCGGAGGCTGCCGCCCTGATCACGAAGCTGAAGAGCGGTGAGCGTCCTACCGCGGAGTACATCGACTCGCTGGGCCGGGGAAATGTTCCGGTAAGCACGATGTGCAGCGCCGAATGATCCGTCCAAAGCTAGTGATGCTGACGACAGGCTTCAGTACGAGCCTCCCCCACATCCGCGCCATTGGTCCAACTGCCACGACAGTCCATCACAACCACAGTTGTCTTGGATTGCCAACCTTGGCGACGAAGTCGGCATACCGCCAGAGGTCGTCCAGAAGGGGGTGATCGGTATCACGCGCGGGCAAGCGACGCTGCTGCTAGAAAAGATGAACGAGTACAAGCAAGGGTTGGGCGCGGCGAACGGGGGGAGGACCATGTTCGAGCATGCCATTGAGTACGCTCGAACCGAGTTACCCATCGTTGTAGAAGAGACGCCGCCATACACCCCCGCGACGAAGCAAGAGGCGGACGTTAAGCCTGAGAGCAACTCAGACGCATTCACCGAGTTCGTAGGATCAATTTGCGCTGCGATTGTGAAGAGCGAGGCATAGGAGCTGCGCAAAACATAGGGAGAAAGGCTTGTTTTTGTAGAAGTGTATATACTCGTGTCAGTCGTTTGGACGATATCGCGTTTTCAAGACTGCGCGGAGTTGGTATGATGCTAACACGGCCGTAGTGTAGGAACAGGTTTGACGTAGTCGCTGTAAAATGCCAAGGGGAGCTTCGAATCTAGGCCGTTCCATGGGTCGCCTCGGAGGCAACCACTCCGGCGGATCAAAATCATGATCGAGGAGGATTTGTTTTTCAGGAAAGCGTCAAGACTTGGTGGCGACATAATGAGGCGTACGGAGTTTCTGTCGTTCGTCCTCATATGCGGGGTTCGAAGGCGTAAGTTTCCTATGTGCTCGGAGTTGCTTCTTGCCACGACAGCAGAATTTTGAACTCGTCCAGAATACTGCCTCTCGCAGGTCCGAACACCCTGATCAAGCTGATCTAAGTACGTACCCGTATTCATACCCCCTTTACCCTAATTCTCACCGACTGCAGCTCGTACGGAAGGCTCAAATTTATTCGTCGGGAAGAATGGTGTGTTTTCCTGTGAAGCTCCCGGAGTGTTGGTACACTGGAGGAGGTGAGTATTTGAATACCACTAAGTGATCCTTTCCCGGCGGATATACTGACTCGTCGAACGTCAGATCCGCTCACCAAGGCGCAGTCAATTGCGCTACGCAAGGTAGCCTACCACGACATGATCTACATTCCCTTTCTCGAACGCGACGACTGCAACAACCAGCTGTACACCAAGGCCGAAGCGTGGAACTTGATCGCCATGATTCTGGACGGCGTGCGTCCCCCGGAGTGGTACCTAGACAACCTTGGGCGCGATCCCTTCCCGGTGAGTAGTTGTTTTTTGTAATCGTTGAAGCGCACTCACATATACGGCATTGAAGGAGACTCCTGCGTCGCACCCTAGCCTGTGGGAGCATTGCCATGCTCCTATCGAGGACGGCGACATGCAGATGATCTGGCTAGACTGCCTCGTGGGTAAATTGGACATTCCGCTTTGGGTCAAGCAGCGGGGTCTGACGGGTCTGACCTACGGTCAGGCTGCGTGGCTCATCGGAACTCTCAGGGAGAAGCAGAGAGAGCGCCGCTGGGGTGCGGCTAGGGGAGATATTGCGATGTTCGAGAGTGCAGTGCGGGAGGCCCGTCATGAGGTCCCCGTCCCGCAAGGCAATCCGAGTGGCGGAGTCTGAGATCCCATTCAGGAGTAGACAACCACGCAACCATGTAGCTGCGGATAGTACTAGGCAATGCATCAGTCCCGATCGTCTATGCCAAAGTATGATGTATTTACCTATAGAGTCGGACGCGATCCTGATGCACAGGCTGAGCAATGCCCGGCGTGATGGTTTTCTAGCGATAGTTTTAAGAATGCATGGTCGTGCCTGGAGCGATTGTGAGTGTAGATGAAATGCATACGGAACCTGTCCATATGTATATCACGGTTCGAAGCAGCGTTGAAATTGTAGAAGATTCATTCCCCGAAATGGGCATGCGTACTGCTCCCGGTGTCCGGCGAGACGCCGTCTACCGCAGCACGACCTTGAGGTATACCTGCCTGCGGGAGATGAATGCTGCTGCTACTCCCGTCCACCACATATGCGGCACTCGCCATCAGTGAGTGCTCCATGTTGTACAATGGGGGATACCGGTCACTTACATGTCATACACCATAGCCGAGTAGTACAGTTAGGCTCATAGCACCATCGCGCAGAGCTTCTGATACGGCGAGCTCCAGAATGGAAGCAGTATCGGGCACTCCGCCGCCGGAGACACTGTGTACAGGTGCGTACATCTTCCTTCATGGAGAGTGGACGCTTGACTCATGTTTAACATGTACGCAGAGCCGTTGATGACGGACAAGCAGAGGGGAAAGCTCTACTACTTGTGGCAGCAGACCGGAGTCTACATTCCCTTCGCCGACAACAGTCAGCGGGGGAGAAATAAGCAGCAAGTGACGATGAAGGAAGCGTGGACCCTTATCGCCATGCTCGAACGTGGCGAGAGGCCGTCCGAGGCTTATATCAACTCGTTGGGGCGAAGCTCTACGACGGTGAGCGACTCACTGTGTGTTGCTACGTATGGAGGCCCCGTGTTGATGCTGCGATAGTCCCGAAGCCGGTCGCGGGACGTCGAGGGGAGGCCGCAGGAGGGAGAACAACCTTGCCCTCCGCTGACAGAGGAACAGCTGACCTTGTTGACTGGGCTGCTCGACTTGATGGGTATCTCGCAGGAGGAGAGGCTTCAGAAGCTCTCCCGTACCGTCGTTTTCCATGGGTCTCTGCTCACCAAGGAGTTAGCGGCGTACAAGGAACGGGGCGGCGTCATCAGCGAGGACAGCATGGGGAACATCAAGCACGTCGTTGAGCGCATCCAGAAGGAGTTGCCGAGTTAGACGAAGAAGTCCGAGGGCCTGACGTCATCGGAATGCAGCACAAAATACTGGTGAGTCGTCAGCCTGGTGAACGCGTCCCTACAATGTTGATAACGGTATACCTGGAAACCAGTCGGATATTGCTTTCGGATTGTAGACATATCATATCTTAAGTCGTCTTTTGCGGTCATGCTATGCTGTGTCGTTCACAAAACCCGGAATAACTTCACATACATAAGCGACCTTCGCAGAAACGGTGTCAACAACGTACCTGGCTTCACGACTCGGCGCTGGAAGGTGACCCTCAATGGCCTAACATTCGGTGGGCGTCATCGCTTATAGGGCGACTGCGGGGGAAGAACCAGCGGATTGAAACGAGACGAGCCGCGAGAGACGCGTTAGAAAACGTTCCAGTAGAGTCCATTGCGCCAAATGGATGAAGCCATGAAGATCGCGGTGAAGATCATGGCTACTCTCGAGCCGGAGGTTGCCGTCATATTCAGAATGTGATGCTCCAGTGTGGTAGCCTGTAAGAAATCAGAATATCCTTAGTTCCATGCAGGGGCACGTTCAAAAGCAGACTGAACTCACAGTGTGCCTGCGTTGCGGAAGCAAACACCCAATGCGGGGCCGCCAAGACATACCAACAGCTGCGAAGAGAGAGTAGTGTAATGGTACCATCGTCCCGATCTACGATCGACTATTGCACCCGGTGCCCGACCCGATCTGCAAAACCTGGACGAATTTGTAGCGAATCTGGGCGGACACCTCGGAGTGGAACATAGGGGTATCAGTCTTGTTTCTGTCCAGGACTCACCTGGCGTTCATTACTGGTCAGCCCTCCTTTTTAAACGTTCACAGCTCTTAGACACTCACCTTTCGTTGTTAAAACACAGCGAACTTACTGCAAGATCCTCAGCGCGCAATGGCGCTCTCGTATATCCGTCCGGCTAGTGAATGGGCCACAGGCGGCGGTACGTCCACCTCCTATCCAGAATGGATGTCTGCACATAAATTGAACGCCTACAGAATCGATGACGCCCCGGCAAAAAGGAAGGCTGTATGGTCTGGGGCAGAGGATGAGCGTACACATACCCTTCGCCAAGTTTAGCCGACAGGACAAGTCGCAAAAGGTGACCAAGGCAGAGGCGTCGATCTTGATCTCCATGCTTGAGGACGGTGTTCATCCGAGCCCGGGGTATATCAGCGCATTGGGGCGTAGCTCGATTCCGGTGAGTACCTCATGCTTGGCAACGATACTTCAAGGCTTCGAAACTGAAGTCGTTCAGTACGAGCGGCCTCAGCATCCGAGGCAGTGGCAGGATCCTTATGGGCCGCCGACGAAGATACAGTTAGATTGGTTGACCAGCCTCATCAGCATGATGGGCGTCCCGGGCGAGGTGATGCTGCAGACGCTGGGTTGGGTCACCATCGGCCATGCGTCGCTGCTCATCAAGCGCATCCGGGAGTTTAACGAGGAGCGGCAAATGGGGTACCCCTTGCAGGGCGGGATGGTGTTGTTCCAGCGCGCTCTTGATTATGCCCAGGATGAGCTGCCGTTCTTGGAAGAGGATGAAGACGTAGTGAAACACGAGGAGATTGTCAAGCTGGAGGACGCATCGGCGGCCTGCTTCGCGATCCCGGAATGCTCGCTTGCGGCGAACGTGGTGATCAAGAGCGAGACATGGGCAATATGATTAGCGGACGAAGGAGATGGGGCTCGGGGCTCACGCAGAGTCAGAGTGACGAAGGCAGATTGAGGGTCATATTTTGCGGCGGTCCTACCGTGTACGTTGCCAAACAGATGTAGCATGATTTACCGTACCCTAGTTAAATTCGTCACGTATGGCATATTTGACATCAGCGATGTGAGAACGATGACCATATGCGTAGGACTGACCTCGTTCCCGCGATAGACGCTTCTTGGTGACGTCCGTAGAAGATCACCTCTAGCGATATATGAGGTGCAAAGAATTCCAATTGTCGCCGCGCATATCACATATGTGAGCACAGGGAACTAGGGGAGACCGTACCAGTCGACGACATCTTCCCCGAAACCATCGAGTTAGTCTCGCGACGCGCCCACCTACTCTTGAGCGACCACCGCCAGCCAAAACCGCATCGAGGTTCCCATTCTTTCGCGAAGTGACCGCAACCACCAGAGAGTGACGAAAGCGAAGACCTATATCTTGATCTCGATGATCTTGGACGGCGTGCTCCCGACGAAAGAGTATATCGCGTCGCCGGTGCTTGACCCCAAACCTGTGAGTACGCCAAACCCACGAGACGAGGACCGAGGTTTACGCATGTGACAGCACTCGCCGCCGCCGCCGCACCTGCGCGAGTGGTGGTACCGTCACCACTGGCCTATGGAGATGCAGATGGCGTGGTTCGACCGCTTGGCGACCAACATGGGTGTCACTAGGGACGTGAAGGATACCGGGCTATTCGGCCTCACCCGCGGTCAGGCATCGTTGTTCGTTGGGATCTGGAGGGCAGAGAATGACAGCACGACAGGACAGGGCGCGACGGCAGCGTTCCAGCAGGTGGTCAAAGATGCGCGAGACGAGCTCCCAGTCCCGAGAGGCGATGAAGCGCAGAATTGGGCCAGAAGGGAGGGTGTCGCCTTTTTCGAGTCGGACGAGTGATGGGTTGCCGTGCGCGAGCACTGTCCCGTGGCAGATCGCAGAAAATGTTAAGTCGCAGTCACGACAGCGGCCCCAAGATGTGTAGTGTCACCCAGAATAGCTGGCAGCCAAGGATGATCGCAGTAATAAGACAGTCGTATCGTTTGCTCGTACGGCTGTTCGTGAGTTCGCGCTCACTGTCACCGCCAACGTATTGACGACATGCGGTTGCTCTTGTTGCCGCTACGCGTAACGCGGAGGGAAAAGATTATTGACGCGTTGGATTCTTATAAATATGCTGACTAGACACTCACCAACACGCTCCGAGCAAAATGAGTGAGCATACGTCCGCATATATGCACCCTTCCGACTTCGGGAATGTTCAGGGAAGGTCAGAGACCAATCACGGCTAACGCGGCACCTCCGCATTGAGCTTGCGCTCGACATGAGAAAGGGTGCCGTAGCAGCTGACTAGCCCGACCTTCGCAAAAAGTGCCGTGTGCTGAGCGAGACGTCGATGCGGAGCGGTTGAAGACGGAACGTTGAGGAGCGAGTGGATGGTGGTCGGAGTGAGAGCAAGCACATGGTAGCCGCAAGCCGCCGGCGTCGGCCGCTACATATACCCGCGTGCTCGCTGTCAGGGCACTCAATTCTGTTTATTTATTTCTCACTTTATTCGCACGGCCTCGGCTAGAGGGCGTGAGGCTGTTCTGCGTGATGTCATGAGCTCTACAGAGCAGCGCGAGACGGCGTATGCAAATGTACGTCTCCCTCGTCTGCTAGCACTCCTTCTCCTGCAAAACTTTCCGGGCTGCTGTATCGTAGTTGCTTAAACGTACGTGTGAAATTTCGAAGGGATTCACGAGGATATGAAGTAAAGCGCGGGGAGTCTGCGTCGTGAAGCCCGTTCGCGCATCCCAGCCGTGGATTAGTAATCCTTTGCGAATACGGAAGGTATGACCTCAACCGTACAGCCGCACCTCCCTCAGCCGAGGCCGTGTGAATAAAGTGAGAAATAAATAAACAGAATTGAGTGCCCTGTGTGGCAGTCGACATCGACAGCCTCGCTGACGCTGACCTCCCCACGCGGTCCTCGTTGTTCTGGTCCATCTCTTCCCACTGCAGCCTGCGCTCTCAGTAACTCCGGACTCAGCCAGCAAACTCTGACGCGCCAGGCCTTCAAAAGCCCCGCATGTCCCTCTCGCTGCGTCTCCAACGCCCCCTCTCATCCACCGCTGCCGCCGTTCTTCGCAGTCGACGCGCATTCAGAAACTCCGTGCCCCTCAGCGTCCGCCTCATGTCTACCGAGAAACAGTACGAGTTCATACTCACCTCGCGCCCCGCGGACGGTGTTGGCCTCATCACGCTCAACCGCCCGAAGGCGCTTAACGCGCTCTCCACGCCCCTCTTTACGGAGCTCAACGACGCAGTCAAGGCTTTCGACGATGACGACAGTGTGCGGGCGGTGGTTCTGACCGGGAGCGAGCGTGCCTTTGCTGGTGAGTGTCGTGGTAGGATGGTGGAGAGCGCCCACTGAGAATGCGGGGTAGCCGGAGCGGACATCAAGGAGATGAAGGACAAGCAGTGTGCGTCTCGCTTTCTTGTCGTTCTCCCCGACGTACTGACAGCCTGGAACAGTCTCGGAGGTCTTCAAGGGCAAGTTCCTTGAGAGCTGGAGTCTCCTCACTACCGTGCGCAAGCCCATCATCGCTGCTGTGAGCGGATATGCGGTACGGCATTGCCTCTTGGACTCTCAGATGTGCAAGTATACTCAACCCGCGCGCAGCTCGGAGGCGGATGTGAGCTCGCCCTCATGTGCGACATCATCCTCGCGTCGCCCACTGCGGTCTTCGGCCAGCCCGAAATCAGCATTGGTGTGATCCCCGGCGGCGGAGGCACCCAGGCACGTCCAATCTGGCACACCCCCTCGCTCTCTTTCACAAGCTAACCCCTTACACGTAGCGCCTCGCGCACGCTATTGGCAAGTCGCGCACGATGGAGCTCGTGCTCACTGGTCGCAACTTCTCCGCGCAGGAGGCTGCTGCCTGGGGCGTCGTCTCGCGTGTAGTCGGCGAAGGCGAGGGCGTCGTCCTCAAGGAGGCGATTGAGCTCGCGCAGGTCATCGCGAGCAAGAGCGCCATTGCCGTGCAGGCGGGCAAGGAGTCGGTCAACGCGGCGTACGAGCACACCCTGAACGAGGGTCTCCGGTACGAGCGTCGGGTGTTCCACTCGCTGTTCGCGACGAAGGACCAGAAGGAGGGTGCGTAGCCTGTTCTCGGTTCGAGCGATGTGTGCGGTACTGATCCACCCCTAGGTATGGCCGCATTTGCGGAGAAGAGGAAGCCGACCTGGTCCCACTCCTAGAGTGTCGCAGAGCTGGTCGTGAATAATGACGTGTACTTGTAGCGCAGTAACCCAATTGGATAGCCCCGTACTGACCGTAACCCTCCGTTTCGTGTGCAATACCAGCCGCTTTATTGCGCAACCTATCGTGAGCAATGGGCACAGCATGCGGAAAGAATGGAAGCCGTTGTGCGCTAACCCTCAATGTTCCTCAGATCAAAAGCCGTCCGCACACTCCACGAAGCTATACGTTACACCAGGCATGCCGGCTTGGCAGCGCCGTACACTCAAGCAGCTGCGGTGCGTCTTGTCCGGCATGTCACCCCATATCTACCGATGCTTCATAGCCGGCCTCCGGGGTTTCCTAAGAATGGGCATACTCCAGCGACACGCCGAAAGATTCAGCGCTCAACCGCGCGCATCTCTCACACGGTATGTGCTCATTTCGCGTTAGCTCCTGGCTCATTCGTTCTTTTGGCAAGAAAGCGCACAACATTAGGCATCCAACGTCTTCCGCGCTCGCTACTCATGATCTCTCTTGTTCGTCAACACCGCAGGTTTCTAGGAACCCAGACCACCTTCGACATGGTCGCAGTTCTTCGAACAACTGTACAACGTACTATCCTCGCATTCCGTCCTCAATGGCCTCCCAGATACGTCAGGAGCATCGTTGTTGGACAACCGCGATTCTCCGCACGTTGCATAGCCATCCGGCTTGTGTGATAATGTGGTTCCCCCGGGCTTCGATGACTTCTCCGACGTCTCGGACTCCTCATTGCTGTTCTTACCGTCCGACCGCCATCTTCTGTGCGCTTGTATGATCGATCCTGTGATCTTCTGTAGCATCGCCGTGGCGCCAATCTACTACTGTCGGACTCTGGGCGATCTCCTAAGCCCCAGATGCTTTGGGCTCCCGGGCGCAGTCGAGACGTCTTCTCATGTCAGCGAGCGTGGCGCGTGGTATTCCCACTCCTTATATACCGCGTCATCGTCGACCGTTTTCGCGACCACAGCGATGTCCTCCCCACTCACGTTCCTCTCCGAGTCGGTCGGTCCCTCGTTAGATGAAGAGGAGCCTCCGCTGGATAGTATCTACGGGGCATTTCTCATTGGTAACTTCGTGGGGCTTCTGTACGTATCCTATCAAAATTTCAATACTCTAATGCTCACCATTTACTCAGCCTTTACGGAGCGATCTTGCATCAAGCCTACCATTATGCTCGCACATATCCGCAGGATCAATTAGCGCTGAAGTGTGTGGTATGTCTAATCTGACTTTCGTGTCCATCGGTTCAATTTCTCACGTCGTCGCTCAGGTCGTAGCAACAGTGTAAGCCCTTTTCATATAATCCATCACAGAATCCACCGGATGCTTACCTTTTTGAGACCGCACCAGGCTCCTGGAAACCTGCTCCAGTATCTTGGGGATACACAGCTGGTACGTCTCGCATCTTTCAAAACGACGTCGCATTCAAGCCCATGGAGCCCGCAGCTACTTCTCCCTGATTTCAATCCGTTCCCTTCCGCTGAGCGAGGTGCTTACGATGGGCATATGGTGGGTAATCTAGGATCGAGCCATGTACGAGCGCTCACTTCCGAGCTCTTTGAAGGTCACTCAATGTGAGTAGTGCAGAGAATGCGAGAAACTCATTGATAAAGCGACACTCTCGTAGCTCTTCCCCCTCGTGCTGGTAAAGTCCAAATTACGCTCGATTCTGATACACAGGCTGAGTTCGCCGTACGCTCGCTTCAGGGACTGGCAATTGTCACTTCTCAGAGGTGCGTCTTTCGGTGCTACGCGGGGAACATGAAGGCTGAGCTATTGTGTGAGGTAGCTTTTTCATTCGCCGCCTATGGATTTTAGGCAGCCGACCGTATAAAGCTGCTGTCATCTTCTCGGTAAGAATTACACCACCTCTCTGAAACCGCCCGCGCTTATGTCTCTCATCTTTCAGGGCTTGTGCTCATTGGCAGTGTTGGGCAAGTCGGATAGCTTCGACTTCGACAGAGATCTGACCGACTGTACTCCTAATCTCCAATATATCACATAGGACTATGTACAGGTAAGACTTTGTATCAATAGGTACAGGATTGCCGAAGCTCATGTTATCAAGCGGCAACTGCGGAGTCGTATGTAGGCTGAGGCGCGAGATCAAACTGGGACCTCTGATACGTTTCAATAGGTTCATTATCAATGACGGGGACAAGACCCGACCTACCCTCGCAGTGAGTACTTCGCCGCGTTATCGATACGATATGAGACTGCGTGCTGAGCCCCGCCTATAGGAACTTGTCTCGAAGGCATTTTTACTCGCGCTGATTGCGGACGGTTCGCTTACCATCATGCTCATCCATGTGCTGCATCGTAGTCGCACTGGCATCAAGAGGTACGGGGAATTTGGTCCATGCCTACGCACAAGTCTCGCTGACCAATCGCTTCACGGGCAGTACCGACTCTACGATCAATATTTTGATCATTTACTCCGTCCGGACAGGTGCGCACGGTGTAGATACAGATACACCGGGGTCTTAAAAAACCTCTCTTCACAGGTCTGCTCACGGGGTAATTCCTCTCGCAATCCCGCCTACGTGCTGTCGTCTGACCATGAGGTTTCGCAGCGTGTTTGACCTCATCACCACCATATTCGTAAGTCATCCCGCGAGACCAATGGACGGAGCACTGACGCGCTGCGTCCTTAGGCATTTGTCCGCCCCGGAGACAATGTGTATATAGCCTTCGGCCTTCCAGGAGCAAGGAGTGAGCTCATGTCCCCGCCGCGTTGTGATTTTACCTAATCGAATTTTGCAGTGTACACCATTACACTTCTGTCTGCGTCAGTCGCCCTCCACTCTTTTCTCGCCGTTCGTCGCTCATGCCCCGTTACAGACTCAACTCCCGCCAATGGATAGCCGACCGCGCTTCGAGCGCGGGGGACGCGTCGGTGTTCGGGACTACCGTGCTCAACCCGATGGTTTTCTCCCCCATGCAGAGTGGACATCGGCCAACACGTTCGGTACGTCGCTTTCATGACGTTCCAGTGCGAAGTCTCCACTTCTTTGCCGTTGACTTGTGCGTTCCAGGCAGGATTAGCTACGACGAACTACGACAGCAACGCCATCGAGCTTGACGTCATTCCTCAGCCTCGACGTCACACTTCACGACCCCTAGATGAGATGGTGAAATCCGGCTCATCGTACACACCACAGCACCTCAGGCTCGCAGTAGAAGGCGATGTATGATAACACCTTCAAGGTACGTTTGGGCGGCCGACATCGCGACTTCTTTATAACTGATCGCTTTGACTTTCAAAGCTGGTCTCACAAGCCGCTCACTAAGCAGCTACAACTCGACAAGTTTGTCCGATACGCAACGAAGCTACACTGCCGCACTCAGTGCCGAGGCTATATGCACCCTGGAGAGCACTCGTCATGGTGCCGCTTCGTTCGGACGCGTGTTTCGATACAGCACAACCAGAAGAGCAGCGTGTATCTCTACGAGACGCTTTGTTCCGAACGACCAAGTTTCTTTATATACACAGACGGAGCACATCTGAACACCATGACCCGCGGCAACATCGACGATCAGACTGTGGGTTTGATCCGTTCAGAGTACTGGAATAGCTCGGGTCCTTCGTCGCGACTGTGATTTTTGACAAGATTTCCATCTACGGCGCTGCGGCCTCCGGCGCCTGCCTACTAACTTCTCAGCAAGCTCCGAGGCCGGAGGCCTGAAACCAAACTCCAAAGAAGTATCGATCGATCCAGATGAACGTCACACGGTGCTCGAGCCGGGAACAATCATAGTTCACCGTATTCGCGTTCGAACCTCGGTGTGCTCAGTCCGGTAAACGTTCAGACGCAGTATAAACACGGGCGAAAACGCCATATAAGATTGTGACTTAGTACTGAAACCGCCCGCCGACGCGTGCAGAGCCGCGAAGCGGGAAGACAACCGCACCAGGTATCGCGTGAGGGCATTGTGCGCGGGAAGAGCTGGGCCAATTGTTCCATGAGCAAGTGCGTCGTTCAAACCCGTACTACAACACAAGAATACAAGATCACGAAAAGAGTACACATAGGGTCTATTCCGAGTCGGCCTCCGCGGAGAGAGCTCGTGTCTAGGAGCGTTCCATCTTCTGGCGACTTATTCGTCAAAAATAAAGCCCTCTGTACACGAAGCGGACATACGTACTCAGACGAGATCGGACTCAGAGGCAGTCCTCGATCCGCTCGCAAGGTCAGAATGTCCGGGATTCCCTGCCTTCGCGGACATGTCCATCTTGTGCGCCGTGTCCCCATAGTGTGAGGGTGTTGACCCGAGGGCTTTGAGCTCGATCACGTCCGAATTCTCAGTTACCCTAGACATAGGAGCGAGCTGGAAAGACCAGAACCGAATCAAATACCGCGCCTCAGTGTAGGATAATACTGAATCACTCACCCGATGCGCATGCATGCGTTCCCTTTGCGAGGGCAGTCTGGTATCCGCACTCGGCGGTGCTGCCTGCGGGAGCACGCTGACACCAAAAACCATTTCACTGACATCGTCGTGCCTGGACTGCCCCCTTTCTCGGACTGTGCGGCGCGAGTGAAGGCTGGTCGTTTATGCGTGGTCAACACCCATACTACGTCGGGATAAGCAAATTTGAGCTCACGCAGCGAGAAGTGTGATGCCATATACTGTAAGAGGATCAGCGTGAGCCGCTACACGCTTCGCGGGTATAGCCTGCCATGAGTCGCTTACGTTTGCCTGCCGGTAATGCGGGTATGGTGTACAGATAGTCGCGCAGAAACGTGAATGCCTTGCATGCGGAAACGTTCAGTACGGATGCACGGCTTAATGGATGACTTAACTGACAAGGATGAGCGTGATGAGGTCGAACACGCTGGCGGCAGCATGAAGGAGTCCGGACAGTAAGTATATGAGTGGCTGCAGTCGAACTTGGGAGCCGCACCCGTTGAGAAGACCTGCATGCGGTCACAATAAGGTCAAATATATAAGGTCAGAAATATGCGCACCGGTGCTGACCGAGTATAGAATGAGTATATCGAGCATTGCGTTCGTGCTGTGCGTATTTGTGAATGGTGAGCATCACATGCACATCGAGTAGCACAGCCCTGATTTACACACATACCTCCTACTAAAACCCGCGCGTTTGCGATGAACTTGAAGTGTATAGATCAGTGGGATCGTCAACATGACGTTCACCGCAAGAGCCAGCGCAAAGCTCGTAGGTATGAGGTACTAAGGCGTGAGCGTCAACAAGGTAAGTCTCATACGTGCGACTGAGACGACTCCGAGTGAGAACATACCACGTATGGAACCTCCTCAGATGCTTGCGAGTACGTAGACCCCAACCTTCAGTAGTGGTGGACATGTCGTCAACAAGGAGTCGAAGGATGAACCGAAATGGCAGGCGCACGCACAAATGAATCGTCGGGGCTGGGGAAAGGTAGAAAACAATTTTCAGAAACCACGGGTAGGATCCGTATCGCATATGGCTCTTACCCATGATCACCCCTGTACTAGCCGTCAGTATCTCTAGAATACGGTAGTCATAAATACTCACCGAGTTCAGCGAGGATACACACGCACTACGCGGTGTTCAATTGAGTATAGCGAATTAGCGAGAAGATAAGATTACTGACCGCTACTATGACCACTGGTCTGTATCGAGGTCCAAGAATCCACAGACGTCGAGCGAACCAGCTGTCATAGCGATTGATAAGCGCAGGCGTGTAGCTGGGAAAGCGAAACTGACCCTTGAGTCAAAAACAATGTGACCTCCTACGTGCCGTCGGCGTCGTCTCGTTCGTATCATTCTACATGTGGACGTACCGTAGTCAGGGGAGTGAGCTAATGATAAATGAGCGTAAGATTAGCCAAGCCTCTACTCGCGTCGACTGTACACTGACGCTGATTGTCCTAGGACGCTTGCCTCAGCATGCAATCGTACAATTAAACAGTACACTTACCACGTATTGTTGACAGCTCGTTCGGGGTGAAAGTAGTTCGTCACTAAAGAATGATAGCTTGCGGAAAAGCACCGGCTTAGTAAGAGCCCGAAGTTCGCAATTTGAGCGAGAGTGCATACCACACGTGCACATTTATCCCACTTGAAGCGATTTCCAGGAATCTGTGGTAGTGACCCTAAGTCATAAGGTCATTCTTCGCGGTGTTGCGAAACTTGACTGACACCATCAGTGCGACCTGCCGAGCCAGAGCTATCATCAGCCTGGTCTCGTTAAAACAGGGAAATTCTCATACCAACGACTTGATCCACAAAGAGTCACGGGCGTACCGCTCAGCTTGGTGGAGAATCAAGCCCAGGAGGCTAACACTTTTGTTAGTAATGTTGCGAGGTATTCAAACAACTATCCGAAGCACGTACAAAAGTCCTATGAAGGTGCCAATGAGTAGCGCACCCGACGTGCTGTCTATAGGTGGTAGCCGAATGGGAAGAGCACCGGGATCGGTCAGGTTTGGACCTGCTTGCTGTTCCAAAAGCACAGACATGGCGGAAAGCACGGGGGGTGAATACGCACCGTCTGGCGGGAGCTATAAATGCTCTTGAACGTTACCTGAGAGGGCCCATGGTTGCCGTATCAGCTCCAGCATGTGGCAAAAGCATAGCTCCGCAGCTATCATCGGAAGAGCTGTCATATTCTGAAAGCTAAGAAGGTATAATAAACGCCGCAATGTTGGTGCGCATCGCAATCACGCGATGGGCGTTTCAGGGAAGCCTTTCGATTGCGGCGCTCCCTTGGAAGGACAGATTCGGACTGGGGTAATTGATAAGTTGTACTTCCAGGAGCAGAGACTGGAGGATTCCGCTTGCCCCTTGCGTGCGTCGTAGCAGTACAAAGGCAAAACGAATGGGTACAAAACTCTCCTTCCAAGGACCTCGGCACATGCCGAGGAGTGGGCGCCTTGACAATCGCGAGCTGACATCGCGGTAATCGGAAGTGCCGTAGCTGTATGGCAATATTCACGCTGACAAGTCCACAGAAGATGTTGGTTGTACCATGGTACCATGGTATCATGACGTTCTCGACGGTCATGCACTCGGATGAAGATCGATCTGCGGCGCGACAAGCGATGGTCTTCGCAAACATCTGCTGCGAGAGCGGTGCGGACCAAATTCTTCACAAGCGCATTTCCAGAGCCTGGTAGCCACCGAGCGGCAGGATCAGTAGCTTGTGATGTACAGTAAGACACGTACAGCGCTTTTACGCCGCTCGTGGGGATCCTCCGAGTACACTACACTTATGTTGGACAGGTGATTGACGTGTGAACATAAACTTGGAAGGGAAGCCTACGACAAGGTCTGTGGTGGCATGGCATTTGGGCGATGAATGCAGTCAGCTCGCTACCAGACTATACGTTGGAGATGAGCTCACCCATGTCTCCCGGCGGCACGCATAGGGTTGTACACCGGATGAGCGTTGTTGTGGACGGAGAAGAAGGCTACAGCGCGAGAAGCAAACGCAGATGCGGCGTTTAGGACATGGATCCAAGCCCGATTTCAACGCACAAAGTCAGGCTTCAAATACTTACTGCAGTCATCTGTTCACGTATGTGTCACAGAACGACCATGGGCGCACCAACAACGGACGTGTCAAGTCCTGCGTATCTCAGGGAAGACACTCATCTGTGGGAAGTTAGCAAGCGGTGGGTGAACCGGTGACGACCGACCAGCTACGTTCCTGCTAGCCAGCGCGACTAGGGATACGGAATACCAGCAGCGCAGCCGGCTTCCCTTCCTCAGAGATGGTACTAGACCCGGGGGCCGCGACGGGGCTTGCGCTGTGCTCGGAAAACACTCCGTTCACAAAAGCCTTTGATCTATTGTATACCGTCGGTCCGCTCTGGAAAAGGGGCCTACGATGCCGATGCTTGAAGTGTATGGATCCCACACACCTGTGGGAGGTATGAGATGGTGATGCTCGCGCACATGAATGCGGTAAGTACATTTGCCGCCGCATTATCATCCTACAGCTCTGTGATGAGCATGTATTGATCTTGAGGATAGCGAAGGGCGTACTGGTTGGCAAGTGTCGGACATGGTGGGCGGAGGCAGAGACACGCCCGCCACCGGCCCGCCGCGTCCATTTCTCGCCGTAGCGCTCATCTGGCGTGTCGCAAGCGCCCATTAGTATAGGCTATCTGTGACTCCCGCTCTCATCTCCGTCTCAAGCGTCGACCTGCGTCGACTCGCTCCTTCTCCGCTCCTTCTCACTTGAACAGCCTCAAGAAGTTTAGGTTGCGCCCGTATACGTATAGATATCTTCAACTGCATCCAGGGTCTGCTCTGGGCTGTACAGACATCACAATATTTAACCACGAGTGTCCGAAATGGAGCTACGGCGGACCGCGTTCGTCGCTGTAAGCAGTCAATAAGTTCAAAGGTGAGATGCCCAGTCTTTTCGCTCTTTGTACCCGGAGCAAGAGTAAATGATTGTTTTCAGATATCTATCGGCGGTACACTGTGTTAGTCTGCGCAACACTCGTGAGCTGAGCCCGTAACAGGCATTGGGAGCAGGGATCCGAGTCCGTCGCGCAGTGCGCTAAGGACACTATCGGGAATTTACAGCACTCGGCATCCACGGTATCGCCACAATTGGCCATATCGCCTGCTTCGTCACAGGTCCCGATGTTGCGATACTGCGAGAAGCTTCCTGCATCACATCGTCGTGGGCCAGCCTCCATGGACTACGGCCGACATCTTAGGTACGTCCGGCACATACGCGGCGCAGCGCGCGCAGAATATATAGCAGTACGATGCAGGCAGACGACCGCGTCAGGAGCGTGCGCCGTACGAGGGTGGGGCGGACGGGTAAACCTGCCGCAGTTCTATGAACAAGTGCTTCGTTGAGAGTCAGATACACGACAAGACAATAGCGAAAGCACCCCGCAACTCTCCGACCCCCGAGGCGAGATCTTGGATACGCAAACATGAAGTATGGACATACTCAAACAAACACATGGTCACGGTCGGGCACTATCCCCGATCCGTCGGGGACGACCGAGCCATCGAGGCCTGGCTCTCTCGTAATTCGCCCCAAAGGCAACGACCTGAGCGTCCTGAGCTCGATGAGGTCTGAGTCTCCAGCGATCAAGTATACCGGATTGAGCTGCAAGAAAAAAGCAATGTCAGTAAAGGCACCTACATGCAGTTACATATGCGGCATACGCAGGCTAGCACCGGTTCACTCACCTGGTTAGGAGACATGCGTCCGATCTGAGGCGACAATCCAGCATTCAGAGCTGGCGGCGATGGCTGCCGGAGAATGCTCACTCCGAAAACCAGATCACTGGCACTTTCAGTGTTCCTGGTTTCACTCTGTTCGCGGACGGTGCGACGGGAGTGAAGGCTGGCCGCGCTTGGTCAGCGCGTATCCGCCTCTGCATAGGTTCGAAGTAAGCTTACGCGGCGAGAAGCGATATTCCATATACTACCAAAAGGGGGATCAACGTGAGCGAATATAACAATGCGCGTCCATACTGATGGCTCACGTTTTCCTCCCGGTATTCCAAGAATTGAGTAAACGAGATTGTGTGGAGTAGCGAATGCCTTCCATAGTTTATCAGCCAGGACGCGTACGCCTCGCCTCATTGCGCATCATAGCCCGACGTACCAGGATTGTTGTGACGAGATCGACTATGCTGATAGTATCGTGCCCAGGATACGGGTGATCAGTACAAGGGCAGTAGTGTATCGTTGATTTAGACGGTACCCGTTTAGCAGCCCTTCACATAAGACAAATCAGGGTCAGAAAATCGAGCACGCTGCACAACGGCGAGGGCACTAACCTGTGCTGACAGCATATAAGATAAGGTGATCGAGCATGGCGTTCGTGCTGGGTGCATTTGTTAGACGCCGTTTTCCCATGAAAAGCACGCGTGTACGTACCTCTTGAAAGCTGTGCGTTTGCAGCGAAGAGCGCAGATGAGCGATATCGTCAACATTGCGTTGACCGCAACGGCCAGCGCAAAAGTTGTAGGTATGAGGTACTGAAACATAGGCATACACAGGATAAGTATCGTTCGTCGCGGTCGACGTGAATGGTACGTGCCAGATTCGGGGCTCGTTCAGGTGCGAGTGCTGAGCTGCTAGACATGAACCTGCAACGGTGGATAAATCATTTGTTGTGAGGCGAATTTGGCGACTTGTAGAGAGGACCGGTACACGCACATATTCACGGTCGGAGCTGGCGGAAGGCAAATATAAGCCCGAAACACCATGGGTCAGTGCCGGGGAGTGTTTCTCTCACCCACGATTGTCCCTGTCCAAAACTATCAGCATGACAAGCGCATACCTGCTGCGGGGGGCATACCTAACTCGGCGATGATGCATACGCACTACGCAGAATGTGCGAATTAGTATAGTACTATCTCGTCGACGGAGATGACTGACGGTGAGTACGACAACTGGTCTGTATCGGGATCCAAGGAGCCACAAACGTCGAGCGAAATAGCTGTTCCGATGATCTGTAAATGCAGGCGTATGATGAAAAGCAAGGCAGGAACGGACCTTTGGGTTATTATCAACGTGGTCTCCTACAGTACACCCTCTGTTAGCGGTATCATCTCACGACAAAACGCGTGCACACACACCCCGACCAGCGGGGAAAGCTGAAAACAAGTACGTGTATGAGACATACGTGCCGTTCACCTTGCCCGGGTAAACCAACCTCAATAGTCCTTAGATACCTATGTCAGTATGAGGATGCGTGAGAGTGTGGTTTGCTTACCATACACTTTGCGCGATGTTCTCAGGATGAAAGTAATTTGTCACTAGATAATAATAGCTTCGTAGAGTAACGATGCAATGAGCGAAGTAGCTTTGCAAACTTAACGGAAGAATATACGTACCACATGTGCACAGACATTCCGTTGGAGGCAATTTCTAGAGACCTGTCGGCATACTAGTTAGCACACGGATTTAATATACCTCTCTGACGGGACTAAATGTTGCTAACACCATAGATGCGACCTATGAAGATGAAACATACCGTCAGAGTCTGGTTACGATATTTTGGCTCTCTCGTACCAAGATCTTGAGCCATAGAGAATCGCCAGGGAATGTAAGTGCATAGCGGTAAGCTTGGTGGAGCATTATACCGAGGAGGCTAGTAACACGGTATTATCAATAGTCCTGCAACGCTGGCATAATCAGGTAGTCCACTCACATAAGCCCCAGGAGGGTGCCGATGAGTAGCGCGCCGAAGGTGTTGTCCAGAGGTGGCAGTCGAATAGGAAAGGTGTTCGTGTCAGTCGAGGGTAAGTCTTCTCGCCCTTCGAGGGGTAAGAGCCTCATAATGAAGAAGAAAGGTTGTGATGGGGTCTCGTTTCAAGACCAGCGGTATAAGTATGCTTGCGTACCGTTGATATTAGCGACATCCACGCAAATGAATGTATCGTGCCGCTGAGCTCCGCTCTCAGACCCGAACGCAAGCATATCGAGACTCTTCAACGTTCCCATGCCGCTCGGATGCAGCTATCACTAAAAGAAAAGCTCGAATGCACCGGCATTCGAACACAATGTCAACTTGAAGGAGGTCTGTGCCAGTCGGAGAGATCTGGAAACGCGTCGCCATGAGTAAAGATGGGCGAGATTCTGCCCGTCCGCACAGACCCGGAAGACACACGGACTCGAGAGACAGCACGAGAACCCGAGCACTTCGGCGAGCACCGAGTGCCGGTGTTGTCGGCGTTCATCAATCCGACTGAGATATCCCTACAAGAAGCAGCATTGTAGCCTCAAACGCGGCACGGCGAAGGCTCCCTGAATCTTTAAGTTGCTGCTCGTTTCGTGAGGTGGCCTGCAAGCAACTTGTCCCCGGTGCCGGTGTATCCCCGTTGCAGCTGTTTGCGCTGTCGACGTGATCATGAAGCCCGAGTATGGATCAGATCAAGGGCCACACTGCCTTGCATGCCCCTGTCTCCAAAAAATGAGTACTGAATACCAGGAATAACCGTAGAGCATTGAGACCGTACGGTATCTGAGCATGCGACTCCGGGGACACAATGTTGATCGGGCCGTCGTGCTGGGTGCTGTGTGGTTGGTGCAGCAAGCGCCGAGCGAAAAAGCTGCCATGTAAAATCGATGAATGCAGGAATATCAAAGCATTCGAACGTAGTAGCGTACCTTTGCGTGGTAATCAGCGTAATCCCCTGTGAGACACTCTCAGCCACCCGTGTTGTCCGGTATATGGAAACAGTGTGTATGGCACGCACACTAACGGGGCGGACGGGCGGGCGCGTGTCACTTGTCCGAGGTTCGAGCGAGAATCATAAGGGAGCAGTGCGACGGACGTGACCGATGCGGAGCCAACTGTCAGCGCATGTCAGCTCGAGTTGAAGCATATCTGAGCCAAGCGTGCGTGTATAGCATTACGATCCTGAGAAGTACAATAGCAGCATATAGTAGTATAACCGTCCCTTCTATAAACGAGTAGAGCCAGAAAAATAGGTATCGGAGTTGAGCAGCACCTCGCTATCAATAAATCAGACGAAACGTATATAACCGCGCACCTCAGGCTCTCGTCATCACTACCGTTTGAACCAAGAGAGAACACCTCCCTCCTTCCGCTGGACCCCGCTCGGCTTCGCCAACAACGGCGTCTCTTCTCCGACAGCAGCGCGTTCGCCGCCCACAACGTCCACTCCGTGCTCGCTGCGCACGTCGCTGTCCACCGCGTCGCCGACGGCCGTCTCTACGGGGGAAGGGGTCTGCGAAGCCGGAGACGAGGGCACGGCGACATCCGCGCCCGCGAGCGGATGTCCGAAGTCGTCGAGGCCGTGCTTGTGCTGGCGGATGCGGAAGACGATGCACATCACGAGGAGTATGCCTTGCATCACACCCGCGACGGCGTACGATATCCAGGCTAAACAGTCGATAAACACTCAGCTTCGCGTCAGATATGAACAGCACTCGAAGCTTACTTGTCCAGTTAGTACCTGGCCTGAAATGCTGTTAATCACAGCGCTAAGCGGAAGACAAGCATACGAAACGTACCTCATCGCGATGCTGACCACCATAAGCACGGCACCCGGCGACTGGATGACCATCATGGGAATACTGAGCGCGCCCACAAGCTTCAGGCGGAACGTGTGTGCGATTTGCGGTGCGTATTGAAGCGCGGAGAGGATCCCGGAGCAGATGCCGAGGAAGGTCGCCCAGAGCTCGAGCTGGTGCGAGCGGTGCGTCGCGTCGGGAGATGGATTCGTGGCGAGTAAAAGGAATGTGGTGAAAGTGATGAAAACGCTGCGAAAACAAAGTAGTTAGACGCGCTTCGCCCTGGAACACTCCGGCGGTGTATAGCAACGAAAGCGCTGCGCCCACGCGCTTGAGGGGCGCATCTCGCCTTACACGTGCAGAGGCTGAGACGCAGCACACTAGACGAGAGGGGATAAATAGAGGATGTACGCACATGTGAAGCAGGACGACCCAGGAAAGCGTGATAGACAGCTTCCATTCTTCACTCTTCACAGGAGTCTTGACATGGCGAGGGGGGAGGTGGTTGGGCATGTCGACGTCCAGTTCAACGTACTTGCGGTCTTCCGGATAGTATATCATATACAGGACGAGACTATCCCAAATGTCAAATCAGCCCAAGATTAGCTTGGAGGTAGTGAGGACGTACATGAGGGAGAACAATGCCCAGACGAGCACGAGTTGGAACACTCCCGCAGTGGCTTCGATGCAACTGCCGATGCTCTGGAAGACCATATTACACAGTGAGTCGCGTCCATGTTGCATGCAACATTTTACCCATACCAGAACTCGACAGCACTTGATGAGGCCCCATTGCATGACAATGCTAGCTTGCGCGCGTTGAACGTTGCCCTGGAAGTGCACTGGTACAAAGACTCACATGTTCAACACACCGGACGCCGCTGACGTGCTTCCTAGCAAAAGAAACCATGGGCTGAACCCTTCCGACGACTTCGCTGCGGTAATCCTCCAGAGCTGCGCGATAACGTTGAGGGTCTTTCGCGAGACGATCTGGAACTCCACTCACCTGTGGGAGGTATGAGATGGTAATGCCCACGCACATGAACGCGGTAAGCGCATTCGCCGCCGCATTATGATCCTGCACTCAGTCAGCATATATCAACTGCCAAGATATCGAGAAGCGTACCGGTTCGCAATTGTCGGACATGGTGGTCAGAAGCAGAGAGACACGCCCGCCACCGCGCGGCCCGACGCGCCCATTTCCAGCGTGTAAATAAGCGCTGAAGCGCTCATCATCCTCCCGCTCTCATCTCCGTCTGACTCTCAAGCGCAGCCGCGCAGGCACTCGCTCTCTGTGAACACCGTACTCAGCTGCTCTCTCGACTCTGACGACGCTTGCGAAACTGAGAAAACTCTGCGCGTCTGTGCCAGGCTGTAACGACCACACGACCCGAGTCTACAAGCTCCTTAGCGATGGCTAGCCTGATTGCCATTCTCGACCTCAAGGGCAAACCCCTCATCCAACGCTCTTACCGCGACGATGTCCCTTCATCATACATCGAACGCTTCCTGCCGATTGTGCTTGACCTGGAGGAGGAGGGCCAGCAGGTTGCGCCGTGTTTTTCGAGAGAGGGCGTGAACTACATGCACATCCGGCACTCAAATCTCTACCGTGAGTCTTGCATTCCTGTTTGCACCGCCGTGTTGCTGGGCCGGACCGCAACCTCCTGCTATGAGCACCTGGCAACAGTGTCCGGGCGCGGGGCTCTGGGTTGCAGGTGGCGTCTCACGCCATCGCGGTGGGCGAGAGCGTCACAGCTGCTCCCGATGCCCCGTGCAGTGTTTGTTAGTTCATATGCTGCACTGCGAAGGCTACCGTTTGAATCACGATCCGGACAAGGTCTTTCCCCAAATGCCTTCTGGCCTGGAGATCTTTTCGCCCGCCTTGCGTGAACCCTACCCTTTGGCATTGGTCTGGGAATGCACAAATGCTGCCCCAGTTCAGTCAAGATGTCTTCCGTAATTAACGCACTTCCTGTCAGTCCTCGCACTCTCAAAACGAAACTCAAATGCCGCCGAAATCATCCTATTCCTCCACCGCCTCGTCCAGGTGCTCATCGAGTACTTCAAGGAGCTCGAAGAGGAATCTATCCGCGACAACTTTGTTATCATTTACGAACTCATGGACGAGATGATGGACTTCGGATACCCCCAAACCACAGAGAGCAAGATTCTCCAGGAGTGCGTGCACGCACCTGTCTCCTATTCACTACTCCTACTTACCGAGTTGTGCAGGTACATTACACAGGAGTCGTACAAGCTAGAGGTCCAAGTACGGCCACCAATCGCAGTCACCAACGCAGTGTCATGGCGGTCAGAGGGTATCCGGTACCGCAAGAACGAGGTCTTCCTGGACGTCATCGAGAGCGTCAACCTCCTCGTGAACGCCAACGGCAACGTCGTCCGCTCCGAGATTCTCGGGGCCGTGAAGATGAAATGCTACCTCTCCGGCATGCCGGAGCTGCGCCTCGGCTTGAATGACAAGGTCATGTTCGAGAGCACAGGGCGGAGTATGTGTTCCCCCATTTCCTAGTAGTTCTGCGCTCATGTAGTGCTACAGACGCACGAGGAAAGGCAATCGAGATGGAGGACGTCAAGTTCCACCAGTGTGTGCGCCTGTCGCGCTTCGAGAACGACCGCACGATCTCGTTCATCCCACCCGACGGCGAGTTTGAGCTCATGTCGTACCGTCTCTCCACGCCCGTCAAGCCGCTCATCTGGGTGGAAGCCGCGGTGCGTCGCTCCTTCTCAGCGGGCATCCGTCGCAAAAGCTGATGCTTCGCGCAGGTGGAGCACCACAAGGGCAGCAGGATAGAGTACATGGTGAAGGTCAAGGCGCAGTTCAAGCGCCGCAGTACGGCCAACAACGTCGAGATCTACGTGCCCGTGCCCGACGATGCGGACACACCCAAGTTCCGGGTAAGCGTCTTGTCTAGTATGCTACCTTTTCATGTGTTGACCCAGATACACAGGCATCGACTGGTAGCGTGCAGTACGTGCCCGACAAGTCTGCGTTTGTGTGGAAGATCAAGCAGCTCGGTGGTGGCCGCGAGTTCCTCATGCGCGCGCACTTCGGGCTCCCCAGCGTTCGCGGCGGTGAGTCCTTGTTCTCCCAACGTACTCCCCCCAGCTACTCAGGGCGCGACGCACGGCAGAGCACGAGTCGTTGGACAAGCGCGCGCCGATCACAGTCAAGTACGAGATTCCGTACTTCACTGTCTCCGGCATCCAGGTGCGCTACCTCAAGATCGTTGAGAAGAGCGGGTACCAGGCGCTGCCGTGGGTGCGCTACATCACGCAGAACGGCGACGACTACAGGTGCGTCTCCGCCGCGTCCTCGCCTGCGGCTGGTGTGCTAACGCGCGAGGCAGCTTGCGGACGGCGCTCGAGAAGGGCAGCGCGCCGATCGTGCCGATGTGAGCCTGGTGCTGCGTCGGTGTTGTGTAGATCTGTGCGATTGGGAGCCAAGTGTAAATGGACACGCTGGTATGGATAAACGTGTAATGTTGAACGCTGCACTTCGTTCGAGCTCGCAGCCGGTGCCCCTCCGGTTGGAGCGCCCTCCACGGAGGCCGCTCAAGAGCTACCTCGCGCTTCCGTTTTTTCTGACACCAGCACTCAAGCGCTCCGTGCCAGATACTTTGCATACACCTTCTCACATGAACCAGAATGAGTCCTAGTTCCAGTCGACGCCCCGGAAACGGTGCTCCACGACGCTCAGGTGAGTTTCAGCTCCACAGGGTCTGCGCGCCCAAGTCATCACGCCACCGCACTTCCCTCAACTCCTCCGATCTTATACTCTGTGGCGATACTGCAGCCGGGCATCAGTGGGCCAGGTGGGTCCGTACACTCTTGAACAGCGGCCTGATGGCTGGCAACACTATCGTGAGTCTGCATCTTGTACGCGTCATGTCCCGCTTCATGAATCATCTCAGAGTTACTACATGTTCGTATCGCATCCCAAGAGTCAACAGGCGACCCACTCGCCCTGCGCCCGCCGGTGCTTCTGCGCGACCGCGTTACACAAGCGGCAAAACGACAACCTCTGGCCGTATGGGGGTTGCCCCATCCTAGGCCCCCCGCCGCGCTCCGCACCACTCTGAAGCCCCATCGAGTAGCAGCTCGCTGCGAGATCCCGATGGCAGCAGCTGCAAGTGTACCGCGGTACGCTGTCGTCATCTTCACCTCCGTCGATGATCCCCAGCGGCATGAACCTCATGATGTCGAGCCCAGACCGACGCTCGTTCTCCTCGCGCGAGTCAAGCATACCCACGTACGCCGCGGACTGCGCTTGGAGCGTAGGTATGCGCGTGCGCACCCACGGCTGGCGCGTGAATTGTGCGTACACGAGCGCGATGAGCGTCAGGTCGTGCGCGGCGTACGTCTGGAGGGCCGCAGGGAGCGGTCGTGCGAGCCATGATGCGGTCCCGTTGGATTTGTGCATCGCGACGACCGCAGCTGGAGCGGCGCGAGATGAGTCTGGGTTTCACTCTGGCCGAAGAATGGCTGTGCTCACGATCTTTCAGCATCTGGCTGTCGTTGCACTTGGGCAGCGGCAGCAAGTCGACGATGCGGCCGACCGTCAGGTATGAGTATCTCTCGAGCTACGCATCTTCGATATCTTGCATCTGCTAAGGAGCTGCCACCGTCATTCTACGCTCGTGACCTGAACGACTACGGAGATGAATTATCAAAGATTGGCTTTGACAGTGGAGAAACGACGATGCGGTACCTGGGGCAGATTCACTCGTTTTGTGCTTGAGATCTGCCGCGTCTCGTCCCCTTGAGGACTTGAGTCAAGGGCGAGAATTAGAATCCATTGGGTTGGCATGCACCTGGCATCGATATGAAAAGGCTCAAGTCAAGTTCTACCTACCGATGACCATGTAGTGACCTAGCACTTGACTCTTGAGTGAGCGAGGGCCTGTTGGCCGGCGTATGCCCGAGTGTTCAGTATCGCTGCTGTATCGGGCGCGTGGGTGGAGACTCGAGAGGTACATAGAGGAGTGCGTTTGACTTAGGCTGCAATGCTCCCGCAAACCTACAAGTCGCTTTCACTCCGGACACTACAGTTTACCGACTTCCATCCGTGACCTCTGCAGTAGAGCTCTAAGACCACGATCGAACTTCTCTGACAGTTCATCGCAGTTAACGATAGTGGCGATGAGTATCAAGATTGCGATATCCCTCCCCAGGACTCGGACTGAGTATGCTACGGAAGACATAAGTATATCTTCTGCAGCACGAGTGTTTGCTTCTCACTACTACCCGGGCTTCTCGTCATGCCACTGTCTCAGACTCTTGAACGACGAGCAGACCTAGCCGCAGCTAGTATTGTTCCTTTTCCCATCCGACCTCCTCCTCTAGATAGCACCTTCGGTGCAATTCTCATCGGCACCTTCGCAGGATTGATGTGCGTATTTCACTTACGAGTCGCAGTGCGTTGTGTGATTATTGACAAATACATCAGATTGCTTGGTGTCATCCTGCACCAAGCTTACTACTATGCTCGTACATTCCCCGGCGATTCTTTATGGTTGAAGATTTTGGTACGAGGATCCGTGGAGTTGAGTGTGTTGCAATAACTCACAACTCCTCCGGTCGCGCAGGTTGCTCTTACAGTGTTAGCAAGGCTTCGCACGGCTGTAAAGGTGTCAAATCGTCTTCTAATTATAGTCACAGGTCGATAGAAATTTTCTCCAGCGGGATAAACATGCATATGTGGTACGAGCATTGGCTTACGCTGCGTCGCTACCATACTGCTAAGCTCACTGGATCTCCGCTTCACCGAGAAGCTATTACTATCTAGTGACGAACTACTTCCATCCGGAGACCCTTGTACGCGGCGTCTGGTATGTGTACTGCTTTCTCATAGCGTGACCCATCTCATGCTAAAGCGGACATCTTAGGTCAATGGATGTAAGTGTTTGTGGCGAACAAGTGTGCGTCTGATCAATCTGACCGCCACTTGTTTTAGATCTTCTCCTTCATCGGTGTGCGTGAGCACGCGGGATGGATAAACTAAGAAATGCTGATGACAGATATTTGGCTGTAGGGAATTACTCCGATTGTCACACAAAGGTCAGTTTATGCCCTTCCATACTACTAGTACTATGGACGCCGTCCTCGTTTTAATCTCGGTACCACAGCTTTTTTGCGCGTCGTTTGTGGCTCCTTGGGCCTCGATATAGACCAATGGTCATACTCTCCGTCAGTGATTCTTAGTACCTCCCTCCGAACTGATTATCTATGGTGCGATGAACGGTTTTGACAGTGCATATGCTATGCCGCCGAGCTAGGCAATTACTTTCTCTGCCATGCTCATATAATCTCAATACTGATACGTCATGTAGGAATGATTACTGGTAAGTGCAACACTCTTCGCCATATTGATTTACTTTCTTATACTTATCGCAGCGAAGACCATTGCTTTGTGGGTGTTCATAACCCGTGTTATTCCGGCAAGAGACAAACCAATTGCGGCGCTTTTCTTAGGTTCCAAACCACTGACAACATACCGGTCCTTGGAGCAGTAGTATCAGCTACGGTATGAACTCTCTTGCAACAGCTGCCGCAAGACTACGACACTGACTTCCCTCGATGGCAATGGCCCAGTACCTCTTACCTTCGACCTTCGCACTAGCCGTTGTCGCCAACTTGTTTTTGACAACATCACTCATACATGCCCTCCGACACAAACGAACGAGTTTCAAGAGGTATGCATGCATATTCACGCAGCCAAAGTTTGGAAATAAGCTGAAAAATACACGCAGCACAAATGTTATGCTCGACGTCCTTATACTGTACTCTCTCCAAACAGGTGCGTGCACTCGCTATCGATATCAATAATCAGACTGACCAGGAATCGGCCTGCACGCAGGTCTGCTCAATGGGTGCCGTCTGAACTTTTTGACTTGGTACTGTCCCTTTACTGAGACCTTGTGCCCACGCTCCCAGCATGTTCGACCTTGTTACGACCATATTGGTAAGTAAGGACAGTAGAACCACTAAATCATGTCATATTCACATCCACATAACAGGCATTCGCATTCCCGCAAAAAATCATATACGCACTCTCTGGGATACCAGCGTGCAAAAGTGAGCACCCGGCGCGCTTGGTCGGTAAAATAACCAGCCGCTCACGCTGATGTCTCATCTCCTAGTATATGGCATCACACTTCTTGTGACGTGAGCTTGAGATCATCTACATCGGCGCAATATGGGTGGCCATTGACCTGCTCTGTCAGCCTGCACTCCCGCCGTACCATACGGGAGAAGGGCGTGTCCACCGCGGTTCAGAACTTCACTGCGAGCGACGTAGTCTTTGGAGTAGATGTTCTACCGCCGCAAGAAACGCTGCCAGTCGCCCGAGGGGATACAAGACCGCCGTCACAAATAAGCCGGATGCACACACGCCATTGGGTGAGTAAATCGATGTTATCCTGCCGGTCCGCCAACGTGCGATGCCTCAGCTGATGCGGCTGTAATCATTGCAGCTACAGTACGGGTCCGTAATGGGTGATGGCCCCGACGCCATGGAACTCAAAGCTTACGGGTCGTCGCCTCTTCCTGTGCGCGGCATCCAAGCCTAATACGGCGTTGAGGGCAGAGGCTCTCGTTGAATCTAGCGCACAGAGCAGATCAAGGCCAGTATCTAAGTGCTGTTTGGTGTGGGTGAGCAGGTTCGTTCGATTCAGCCGCTTAGCGTACCGGATCCAGGAGTGTCGGCTAGGGATTTCTTGTGTACTTGTGTACTGTCGTGATGGGTCCGTGCTATTTATTTGCGAATCGGCGTCTGAGAATTGTGTTTCAGTTATATTTATCGGACTGGTACGGCTCGAGCGACTTATATCTTCGTGCTTTGCTCGCCGGTGACTCTGGGCGACTACGTTATCAACGGTAGACCAAGCGGCATTCCACAAGCTGATATCACTACTACATACTTCACTAGTCGAAGTACTTGTCGTGGCGATCGCACGACGAGCTCCCTAGACATGAGCTCTTGCAACATCATCACTCGCATCTTCCTGTCCCGTTCTTGATCAGGTCTGCCACCCGTTCTGCGAAAACGTATATCGCAGCTTGCGGGTGTGCTGCAGGGATGAGGGGCTGTTCATACAACCACATCAGCACTCAATACTAGCCCCAGGATTAGATAGAGAGACGCACCAAAATGCTCGCATCGACTATGCGCAGGCCGCGCGCGCCTTTGACAGTCAGGTCCGGATTCACCACCGCCCCGTGTGCATCCCCGCACTTGCCCATGCGCGCGGTACCAACCGGGTGAAAGATCGTGGACGCCTGCGTGCGCGCCCAAGCGTCTACAGCATCGTCGTCGTGTATATCGACCTCCGCGAAGCCAGCCGCGGGCCCCGTGAGGAAATCCCTCCAAGCGCGCGCGGATGCGAGTCGAACCGCAGAACGCACAGCAAAGCGCATTGCGGCGATATCGAACGGCGTATTGAGGAAGTTCGGGTCGACTACGGGCGCTGCGAAGGGATCATCCGACGCGAGCGTGAAAGAGCCGCCTGGGTAGAAATCGGGATGAATACATGTTTCATATGGTGAGGGAGGCGCGTGAGGTACTGACGGGACGTTGGAGTGACTAGAGCTGTGAGGAAGGTGTTAAAGAAACCGGCGGCCGGGGTCGGCGTTCCGCTGGACGACATGAAGCCCGGCTAGTATGCGAGACGAATAGAAGATGAGTGCGTGGTCAAAAAGGCACAGGTTCATCCACGTACTACGACAAATAGCTCATAGTGCGGAGAGAGGCGGCCTGTGCTAGGGTCCGGAGTACCATCGAACGCGCTATCGTTTGTAGGGATGCGAAGCCAGCCGATCTGGGTCTGCCCGTCCAGGGTCATGACGCCCTGCCTCTCGGATAGCCACTGCTGGAGGAGCGCGTCCGCGAACGTCGCGTTGCGAGAAAAGTTGTCGATTATGTCGTCGCTGCTCTGCGTGACTCCAAATTGACTGGTCACCAAGGGGTGGTCTGCGAGGTGCTGGCCGACATCGGGGAGATCGAGGACGGGCTTGATACGGAGCGAACGCAGGGTCTGGGCAGATCCGATCCCAGAGAGCATGAGTAGCTGTGGGGTGTTGATGGCTCCGGCGGCGAGTATAACTTCCTTGATAGCTTTTAGAACAAATATAGGTGCTGTAAAATGAATATGTATCAGGGGGCCAGCATTCTCTGACGAGGTACTCGGCGACTGTAGTTCACCACTGCTGGATTGTGCAAACTGTACTTCGCGGAACACAGGTTGGCCATACTCAGTGCCGGTATGGATGAGCTTGGTGACGGTAGTATTGACAAGTACGTCCATGTTTCTTCGCCCCAGAACGGGCTGGAGGTATGCCACCGAGGCACTCACGCGCGCCCCACCCCCAAACGTGCCCGGGGACCAGCCTGAGCCCCTCGAAAGACGCATCAGTATGGCCACCACCACAATTAATGCGACTTGTCTGACGGACCGATACCCAGCGGGTCTCCGGAGCTCATGTCCACATTGAAGGGAAACTCGCTGCGCAACTCTTGTGTGGCCTGGATGACACGCGGGTCTGATGGGAGCGGCACCCCGGGGAGACTGATTTTGAGTGGTCCTGACGTGCCGTGAATATTTGGGAGGATCTCTCCGGACGTGTCGTGCCCATCGACGGGAGGAACCAGGTTCTCAAGCTAACGGACCGCATTCGCCATTTGTAGGCTAGTGGTGAGACGAAGGACTCGGATAGCAACGAAAGACCACAGACTTTCTTGAAGTACGGCTGGAGCGCGTCCCATGACCAGTCATCTCCGCTCAGAGCTGCGTAGTTGTTAAAGTCATCCTTAGACCCGCGAGTGTAGATCATGAAGTCTGCGCCGAACTGCGCGTGTGTCAGTCACAGTTGCTAACGCGTCGCTGAGATGAGACTTGCTAATGCTAGTGCTCCCACCGAGGACACGACCTCGTGAGTAGGGCACGGTGCGTCCTACGAGACCGGCCTGAGGCACGGTTGTGTAGTTCCAATCGAATTCCTTGTTAGGTTGCAGCTGCGCGGCGAGGAAAGGAATCTCGAGCGATAATTCGCCCGCATCGCTGTTAGTTGTTGCGCGTGATGAGGGTACTTTCGAGCAGTAGTTAGGAGACAGACGTACTTGGGGCCGGCCTCGATGAGTAGGACATTTGTGCGGGCGTCCTCTGTCAGTCGGCTCGCGAGGACGCTTCCACTAGGACCTGCACCAACGATGATGTAATCATACTCCTTGTGAGCGGGGAGAGCGGACGGGTCCGTGTATAGCGCAGCACGGGCTTGGGGCAGCACTTGCACAGCGAAGATAGTAGCTAGGGTCAGCGTGAGGAGGCCTGTTAGGCTGCACTTGAACCCCATGTTCTCTGGGGATGTGCTGCTACGGACGGACAGCATGCAGGGGTCGTGATATGGGAGGATGGAGGTTTTATGATGATTAGCCGGCTACAGTCTGAGGCCAGGACTGCCCAAACGCACCCACGAGGGCTGGGAATGTAAGAAAGCAAGGGAACACGAGCTCCGCAATCATGCTCAAGGTTTCATCTAGCGGGGCGGAAGCAGAACTGCACGGACCTGACTATCCTGCACAAAATCCGCAGCGACGGACGGCAGCGCGCGATATTGCTTCGCACATGACCAAACAGCGCTGATACACGATCCGTTCAATAGACTCGAATGGCGCCTACGGCGGCGCGTCCTTGCTCCTCAGCGCCAGTGTCACGCACGGTTTGATTGATGAGAGCGAGGGGTGAGAGCCTGCATTGACGAGCAAGGGATTAAAGACTGCGTCAATTGGTAAGTATGATCTGTGGGTCAGGAGTGAACGAAGAGTGTCGCATGAGCGTGAGTAGACTCACCTAAACTTGAGATGATTTGTAAAGATCTCGACGTCAGCTCCGGGAAGTCGCTTTTAAGTCAAGAACTCGGTTGTCCAGGATTCGGCCGCCTCTATCTTCAGCTATACATGAACACAAACACACATTCACAACGAGGCCGAAGGGGGTTCTGCGACTGGCGGCGTACGCTCAGGCGCGGAGACTGCCACGAAGCATTCGCCTTGCCTTTTTACTAAGTAGAAGTGACAAGAGATGAGTACCTGCACATATAAGCTTACCGCCTGCCCGAAGAGTCGAAAGTGTGTGCTCACCGCAGGCTGAAAATCCAGCTCCCTTTCGACCTATAGCGAGTGCTAATGATGAAGCTGATATAGTCTTTCAAGCCTATATACATCCCACTCTATGTCGCGTTAGCTCACGCGATATGTTCAGAGTAAGATGACAACTTACCCCCTGCCGAAGACATCTATCGTGGTTTCACGCCAAGACTACGACGCTGACGCGCCCATCGCTGTTGCATACAGCTTCTCCCTGTCCCCGCTCTCATCCACCAGTGCGCGGAACAGGCCTTTCTCGTTCTCGAGCAGTTCGCTCGGCTTACCAAACTCGACCTGCACCGGATTAAGTTGGTCAGCTGCGTTCGAGTCGGTGAAGCATCGGACGGGCCACTCACGAGGCGTCCGGCATCTAGAACCATCTGTAGACAGCGTGGGAGGCATTAGCTGCGTTATTATAGGCTACAAGTTGAATAGAGAGAAGACGCACGATCTTGTCGGCGTCCATGATCGTCTGCAGGCGGTGCGCAACTGTGAGCAGGGTCACGTCCTTGCCCAGCTCTGTGCGAAGGGACGTCTGGATGATCGCGTCTGTCTCGTAATCTGTCCAACGGTGTCAACCTGATTCATGGACACGCGTACGTTTACCAGAACGAACCAATCGCAGAAGTAGCTGTGAAAGCGTAGAGGTCAGCTGTGCAATCGATGCGTCAGTAGAAGCTGAACAGAGACGCGCCTTCGTCAAGGATCAGCAGTTTACTCCTCCGAACGATAGCCCGCGCGAGAGCGAGGATCTGTCGCTGCCCAACGGACAAGTTTGCACCTCCGCCCGCGATCTCCGTGTCGAGCGTGATGCGCGTCTTATCGCCTTCCTCTTGCAGATTGAAGAGCCCTGCGGAGCGAAGTGCGTCATTGAGAAGGGCATCGTCGTATTCGGCGAACGGGTCCAGGTTCTGGCGGAGTGTCCCACTGAGAAGTTCCGGCTGCAAGGCCTCGTTAGCATGTACTGCGCAATGCAAGAGATGGAAGAAATAACCGACCACTTGCGGGATGATGGTGATATTGGAGCGCAGAGCGTCGAGATTGAGCTTGTCAGTCGCTAGCCCGTCATAGAGAACGTTGCCCTCCGTGAGGATGCAACGGAGCAGCGCCAGCGTCAGGGAGCTCTGTATGACTGTCAGTCCTGAGTACGGCCCTTTACAGATGCGGAAACGAGCCTTTCCACTGCCCGTACGGCCGACAATGCCCACGCGCTCTCCCGGCGCGACCTCGAACGAGACGTCGTGCAGGACCTTCGGTCCGTCCTGCAAGGCTGTCAGACATCACTACGCCTAGAGTGAGTTCTTGAACGTACAGGGGAGTACCGGGCAGAGAGATTCTCCACCACCAGGTGTCCGCTTGCGGGCCAGTACGCTGGAGGAACGCCGTCAGAAATAGGCGTTGGCTCTTGTTCAACGGAGAGATATTGATGTATGCGCTCCAAGCTAAGAGATAACTTGAGCACCGTGCACTAAATTCTGACGTACGGTGTCACATACCTGTTGCCTAAGAACAACCAGACCATCTTTAGCAGTGCCTGGTCATATCCCGTTATGCACTCACCTTGAACCTCAAACATGTTCAGATACCTGACCACGTAGAATATCATTCCACTGAGTGCGGCTGTGGTGAAATTAGTGATTCCGTCCGGAGTGTTAATCATGCGATAGGATTGCACTCACTAGCCGTGTTGATGGAGAAGCCCGTGTCCGACGCGCTCAATCGAGAGCCGTAGACAATATACGCGGCGAGAGTGCTCGCGAAGACAGTTCCGGTGAAGTCCATGCGCACGGAGATCCACCTGCATTGCATATAAGCTCAACGATAGAGCTCAAGCAGTATGACGGCCGGACTTACCTGTTGAAGTTCTCGTGCATGACATACACCCTACTGTATTTGTCCACGCGTGCGGATAGCTCTTTCTTGAAAGCTTCCTGAGCGCCGTAGGCTCGGATTGAGGCTATACACGGCCGTCAGAATACATCCTCTACGTGTCACGGACTTCGAAGAGATCACGTACTGATTCCGCTAATGGCAGCGCCGAAATGGCCGAGGACTGGCGCCTTGGCGTTGCTCAACTCCCGCTTGGTCGAAAGCTGCCCCTTCATGTACACGTTCCCGAGGAAGCCGCCCAGTATCGCAACTACGATGGAAGGGAATATGTAGATCGGCGTGAAGATTACTACGGCGACGAATTTGAGTATCACGAATACGGTCATGTCTACGAGCACCTGAGAAGTGCCGGCTATGCCGTTGTCCACTGCGTGCAAAATTGGTCTGTCAGTGGCGATACGAGACGAAGGGCTGATTTCCAATCTTGCCTGTCTGCATGTCCTCGGTACAGCGGGTGATGATCCGGGCCGTTGGAGTTCTATCCAGCCATCTAACAAGAATATCAGGTACGCGTCCCGGAAGGAGGATCACTCGAGGCTTACCTGAGCGTTGTGCAAAGGACGGATCGGATAAGTCTCCGATGAACTATTCTTGCCGCCCTGATAGAACCGTAGAGGATCCAGAAAACGATGAGCACCACTAGCATCATCATGACGACAACTATAGCGGCGTATATCGACAGGTAACTACGCAAAGTCAGTACAGGCGCGTCGATGTCGTTTTAAGTATAGGTACTCACTGCAGCAGAGATACCTCGCTCGATGGGCGAGTCTCATATTGCGATGCCCAGTGACCGAGATACCATGACTATGAAGCATGTTATAAGACACGCATAGAGGATTGAGGTCAAGAGTGATGCTCACCTGCAAGTTCATAAGCGCATGGTGGGATGTCTGGCTCACGACAAAGACGAGCCAAAACAGAACGGGTCGGTTTGACGTGTTGCCGAGGAATAACTTGACTACCGGGCAATGTCAGCTCGCTTTGAGAAGGGAGACATTTTTTAAAACACGTACGTGCCGTCCACCCAACGTGCCCAACTTCTATCTCCTCATCGATGACGAGCTTTCCAGCGGTTTGTTTCGCCATCGCGTCCTCCGGTTTATCGATACTCGCTTCAATCTCGGCCTTCTCGATCTCCTCGCGTTCTTCTATGACTTCCTTCACGAGGTGAGAGTCGTGCTCCAATACATTGGCAAGAGAGCCTTGACTTAGAATGCGCCCGTGCGAGTCCATGTCGACGACGAAGTCTGCAACCGGGCTGACTAGAGCGACATTGTGCGTCTACCGACAGGAATCTGTAGTGAGAGTTCGTGGCAACGAATTGGACAGAGAACGTACGACTAGAATGATAGTGCGACCTTGCAATAAATCACCCTTAAAACACTGTTCTACGATCCACTTGGAGGTATGCACGTCTAGCGCGGCAAGGATCTTCGCAAGAGACCAGCGTAAATGAGACGTAAGCGGTCAGGGTCAGGGCGGCTCACGTCATCGAGCAGAAGTATGTCTGCGGACGAGTATACCGCACGAGCGAGAGTGATCCGGGCCTGTAGAGACTAATAAGCGTCCGCGTGTCAAAAGTACTCTAGGTTCCTTCACTTTCTGTCCGCCACTAGACATACGAAGTAAGCACCGAGTTCGGCAATCACGAGACTTGAACATACCTCAAGGTTATGCCCTTCTCGCCTACTTCAGTTTGGTCTCCAGCTTCAAAGAGGCTGAGGTCTTGCTGCAGTGCACACTGTTCGATGACTTGGACCATCGTACCCGAATGAGACGCCATCGGGTGAAGGAATCGCCGCGCCTCTTACCTTTATCGTATCGCACTTGGTCGTAGGGAGCTCCGAAGACAATGTTGTTCTACTCTGCTGTCAGTGGCTGCTCCCCCGCACTTGTCAGACGGCGACGTACTCTGATGGTGTCATTCTGCACCCATGACTCCTGCGCCGCGTATGCGACACCGTTCTCTCTGGGAAGATTCACATACGAGTCCGGGCCTGACGGGATGAAGTGCAGCTCCCCTGCGTAGGCAAACATTCGCGATTAGGATAGGATTGTTCCAAGACAGAGGTGCGTGCAGCTTACCAAGCAACGCCATGAGCAGGGACGTCTTCCCAGAGCTAGTGGGGCCTACAATCAAGTTTATCTTACCGCGCTGGAAGAGCAGCTCGTCGTCGACAGTGAGTACAAAGTGCCGTTTGCGCGTCCTGCCTGGAGTACGCGAGGTCGCGGTGGAGTCGATGGACCAAGTGAACGACGCATGGCGAATGCCAACAACATCCGATCGGTCTTCGGGGACCGCAGTCGATCCGACTCCGTGTATCGTCCCCTCAAACCTGTTGCCTTCCGCGAACTCGTCGATGAGCTCTGTCTGCTACATATTCAGAAAAGAGGATATAACCGAAGAGCACAGTGCACTTACCTCCCAGAGGAAGTCAGAGATTCGACCTAAGGACACCCAGGCTAAATGTAACGATTCAGCATTATGCTTGCTATGAAATTGGAAATTCGCGAACCTTGTGTCGTCATAGGCAGTAACATGAAGGACCCTGCCATCGCTCGTCGGAGCATTTCGAACACTTCAACAATATGTCAGCCGTAGTCATTGCGCCTGTGTTGTCAAGTAGATGTTTACCGGTCATTGACGAGAACACCGCCGACGCTGTGGACGAGTTAGAATGCATCACATTCTCGATGCATGATATCAGGCTTGCCAGTCAGTTCGTGCTTGAAGATCACAGTCTAAAAAGCACGTCAGTACACGTCCGCGGCGCTCTCAACGGCGACGCGTACTCACATATGTGGCGAAAGTCAGAACCATGACAAGGTAGGGTGATGAGTAACTACCAACTCGTCAGCGCTACTAGTACTCAATTGATTACACCATTATTCACGAATGCCTACTTGAACAGGCCTAAGCAGGCGTTGAGGATCCTTGTCTTGCGCACCGCCTTTAGCTCTGCTTCGCGCTTCTCGTCGAGTTGCGTAGCCATGCGGTCCTCCCATCCGAACAGCTTGATCATACGAATGACGTTCATCACTTCGTAAGGGTGTATATCGTAAGATGATCATTGTTTGACGTTCAGAAGATTGTGAACTCACTTTCGGTGACAGTTTGGACCCGCGCATCCGTCTTCGAGCGTCATTTCAGTGAAGGAAAGCGCAAAAAAGAGAAACCGCGCGAGACATACACGCTTCATCCTCTCGGTTTGTAGGCCTTTAACACGCTTGGCAAAGTACCCCGGGATGGGTAGTAAGCATGCCGTTATTACGATCCCAACAACCCCACTGAACGCATTGTGAGATACGTTTGGACAGTAGTTGAAGCTCTGCGCTTACCTCCATCCGAGAACCTTGTATAGGAAGATAGTGCAGAAGAGGACGTGGAATGGCATCTCGACCGCTATACCGACGGAGCGCAAGGATGAGCAAGGCCGATCAACAAAACACACCCCAAAAATACGTACTCCAAAAGATGATCATCATACTCAGGTCGTTGAGGTTCTGAAGGTCGCTCGACACGAGGTTGTTGATCCTCCCCATGAGATGGACGTTCTTCTCTGCACGATCCACCTTAACGTCATCGAGTTTCTGCGGCGCTTTCGCTTTTCCCTTGGCTGCTGCGCTTGTGGGTGTGCTAGAGCTGTCGGCTGCGTTTCCTGTCGCGCCATCATCCTGTGACGTCGCCTCCTGCGAGTCCGGGGTCCCAACCACAGTGGCATCGGAAGCCTCGCCTTCGTCCTGGTCTACCGATTCCGCTGTCCCGGCCTTCACGCGAATGCGCAAGGCGTGCTCGAATACAAGGTCCGTGACGATGGCCTGCACGCGGATATTGATGCGAGTCTACCTCATAAGAAACAGGGTCAGCGTCGAGCATCATGACGTGCGAACGCACGAGGGGGAGACGATACTCACGTAGTTGAAGGTAAGCCACTGAATCAGGGTGTCCCTCGTAGAAGTGCTGAAGAAGAAGAGCACGATCCAGAACCACGGCCGGATCTGTGCATCGACTCCACCAGTCGCCAGATATCTTCAGGAGTGACTGGTTAAATAGTCACATACGGATGGACACTCAAGCGATACTCACGTCAAAAGTCGATTTACGCTGAGAGGTCCCCCAAATGACACGACAGCCTAGGTTCCCTCTTCAGATCACATACGACGGCAGCGTGACTAGGCATAAGGCTCACCATCACGAAGTCAACCACAGCTAATTTGCCCAAGTGCGACCCTAGAATACGCGTATGTTTAGCAATTCTATATTCTCACGTAATGCTGAGGCATTTGCGCACCGAAAATTCGTATCAAGCCAAATGCAATGTGTCTGCGAGACTTGGCTTGTAGGGGGTCTAAGTACTATGAGGGCGCAGCGTGTGAGCGTCCGCTCTCACGTATGGGTGTATAGGACGTACGGGAAAGCTCTTCCGCTTCAGGTTTGTCAAGTAGTCGTACTCCGGCAGCGGGGGCAGCATCTCGTAGGTGAGGCGCGGGACGCTCCATGCCTTCCAGACGACCGACTCCACAAAGCTGTATGAGAGGATGGACAGTATAGACGCAGTCTGCTCGGGGGCGAGCTCGCGTTGTGTGTTCTGTTTTGTGATGATCAGCGACCACGCCACATAGAAAGAGAAATACACGAACTTTAGGATTGAGAGGAATGTACTGTCTCGGGGTGAGAAGCGGGAGCGCCACTCCTCCGAGAAAGAGTAATGCGACCTTTGCCCAGAGAACTTTGCCCTCGGCGAGATCCGCAGGGGACTCAGTGAAAGTCGCAAGAGGCCAGACGTCGCGATACATGTATACGCACCACGTCACGGCGATGAGGATTGACGCATGTGCGAAAACGCGTTGCTCGAGTGGAGGGTTACCGAATATCGCTAGTAGCCCTAACATACCCACGTATATCTGCAGGGAGTTCGCGTTGAGCACTACACCGGGACAGAGACATTCCAGGTGCGTACATAAAAGGCACATTGCGCGATTTGAATGTCCAGTTCCGCGCTTTCGTGTATGCTGTCGTGCCGCAGAATCGCGGAAGCCGAGATTCCAAGTAGACCGAGGACGACCAAAAGCTGGATCAGTCGGCAAGTGGCGATCGCAATGCCGCCAATAGAGTAGAGTCGTCGACCCAGGAACGTCCTGGAGCCGTGTAGATGGTCTGGTTCGGGACTGCTGCTTGCGTCCGCTGCCGACGCCCTCCGATTCCCATAAGTTTGTATCGCGGTGACTAGTAGTATGACCGCCGAGAACGCCGCGCAATAAGCGGGTATGACCGCCGTACTCGTCCAAACGATACTAGACCTACGAAAGGAAAATCAGTCGCTCGCTCAGGCTTTCCAATCACAATACGTACATGCTGCTGCTCAACGACATGAGGATGCCGATAAGTTCGAACGCGGACCAGGGGGGGCTTGTCAGAAACCCGCAAGGTGGCGGTAGCGACTCTTATAAGTTGGGCGCACCTGTTTTGCCCAGGGACGGTGTCCGGGACCGTAGTTCTTTTGACTCGGGTATGTATGGCAATGGAGAGAACATGAACGCGTCCGTGCGAACGTGGACTGGGCGAAGCGCCATGAAGTACCATGAATCAGCCGCGGCGTCAACTTCGGCCCTCATGGTGTCTGCCTCTAAGCCTTCGAACGTGCAGCGCTGCCGGAACCGAGTTCATGTGTAGTCAGACCACGCGTAGAAGCTTTGACGAGTCACCTCTCATGCGCCATGTATATCCAGCCCAAGAGAGTGGGTGTCGAAGGCTCAGAAAACTCGCACCCAGCAAGACTCTCTCCCAGGGCTCAAGATAAGGTTTGATTACGGTGCGTTGTCTGCATTTGGCAGGTGTAGTGATGAGAAGCGGTGCCATTGTAGCCGAAGACGAGTTCTGTATAATCGCAAAGAGTTCTGTACTGATGCATTCGCGGCAGCGTTGGTTCATAGATGCAAGCGGGTACTATACACAACCGCCACGACGAGGCCTGCGCTTTTCGCGGACATACTTCGCCAAAGACATCCACTCTCACTGCTCTCAAGCTGGAACCAAGCGCGAGAGCCAGAAAACATTGAACGAAGCTTGTACTCCATGAACGTGACGTCAATAATGGGAGAGAAATGACGGGGCTTAGACACAACATATAACAAAGGTTTAGATATCAATAAATCCAGCAAATAAATCCAGCCTAAGCTGCACAGATCGCGTAGCCGCGAGGGGTATCATGAAGCGGCGTGAGTGGCAGCGCTACGACTTCGCATAGCCGTCCTTCTCCATGATCCACTCCCGGTGTCGCACCCAGGACCCCGCCTCGAGCTGCACGAACGCCTTCAGACGGTCCATCGAGAACGGCAGGGTGGGGTCGGCTTGTAGCGCGCGCACGACATACGAGCTGCCCATCCGAGTCTCCGTCAGCACGCATCCGTCAGGGGGGAAGGCACAAGGCAGGACTCACATGACGGTGCTCTCCGCGAGCGGGTTACTTTTGCTTCGAAGATTCGCGCAGATGTCGGGCAGCGACATGTTCTGTTGGTGCCAGAATTTGTAGGCACGCAGGTGCTGCGGTCGAGGAGGTTCTCTGGGCGCCGATGTGCTCGTGCTCGTTTGCGAAGATGCCATGCTGGAGGACGGGCCAGGCCCCTCGAACGGAGCTCCTGCTTCCCCCGAGTAGACTAATGGTCGGGACCATATGTAAGGACGCGGTCTGCAGTGTGGCACGCTCGTCGGCTTCTCCACTCGAGGCGCAGGTGGTGCGTCCTTGGGGGTCTTTGCGGGTACGGTAGAGGGGCCCGGCTCGCCGGGGGAAACAGAATGCGAGACGGTCTTCGCTTGGTACTCCTGTGCCAAGTCTGCCCCGATGGTCTCGGGTTCGAGCGTGAGCCCCGCGTCCTCCGCGAGAGATACCAAACGGTTGTAAACCACGAGGGCGCAGTGTGCGTCATTGGCGGCGTCTGCATTGATATCACTGTTAATATTCCGTGGATCACGTTAGTGTAGATCGAGGCCACTTACAGAACTTCTGCGACTCCGAGAGAGGCTTGGTCTCCCAATTACTGGTGCGAACTGGACCCTTGCTCAGCGTCTTCTGGGTGTAAGTCTCGACGACCTTCGCAAGGCTGACGATGGATCTCTTGTGTGCCTTAGCGAAAGAGGGATCGACCTGTCGTGCAACGGCCCCCAGTTCGACAAGGTTTCTTGCGAGAATGCCGTAGTCTCTGAAGAGTTTCTGGCCATCGTCTATATGGTGGGCCATAAACGAAGATATATTATGCCGTTATGAGAGATACGCACTCTTAATATTCGCGCCGAGCTTCGCGATGTCTTTGTTCTCGATCAATTCCTAGCGACGCCAACATGTCAGTGGGAGGTCAATCACGCTCGCGCGAGATAAGTACACCGTACCTTCACTTTCTGAGGAAACTTCTTCATCGCGCTGACATGGACGAGCAGAATCATCCGCGCATCGCAAATCTGCACCAGCGCGGTCCTGTGGCTCATCGCAGACCTGCCCTTCCGGAAGAGTACAACCCATTCGAGGTCGAACCCCATCACAGGACCCTTCAAGCACTGTACGAGGTCATTCGCCTCCTCCTCGTCTGGGGTGTAGACGACTGCTGGCACAGGCGAGTAATCCTTGTAAGAGTACTGGGGGAGGAATGCTGGAAGACGTGGCGCGTCTTGGATGTCCAGCGCCATGGCCGCCTCTGGATGGTTCTCTATGTCGCTTTCTGGAATGGTCGCGGGAGCAGCGAATGCAACCTTCGCTTTGGATTTGCCTCTGGACGACGTAGGGGCGGCGGGGGCTGTCTTCGATCGCTCTCGAGACGTGGGCGGCGCAGATTCGGTGCTCGCTTGCGAGCTCGTGAAGAAAGGGTGTATCCTATGGGGATATTTTCAATGACGGTTTAATAGGAAACCCATGCGCATGAGCGGCTCACGGTTTCGGGTTGGTGAGAGGCGGTGAGGCCTTCGACGCGATGGTATTGACGCTTCCTAACTGCGAGGCGGCACCCGACCCGTTTAACCAGTTCGGTATCTCAGCGTCGAGAGTAGCAAGTAGTTTAGACTTGAGAGGCGGTGGCTTGTTTGTGCTTGTACTTGCGACCTGCGACGCTGAGCGTACTCGAAGTCTCGACGGAGAGCTTGGAGGGCTCAAGCGACACAGGGTGCTTGAAAGCTTCGCTTCTTTAAGCGCGTTCGTTGCCATGCTGTGATGTGCACAACAGAGTGTATGAGTGATTGGGAAAGTTGATAGGCCAAGAGAAGAATCCGCTACCCTGACGTACAAAGATGACTTCGTCTGCTGCAGGGCCACAAGCCGATCGGGCTTGGTATGTCAAGAAAGACGGCCTAGTGCAACTCGACAATGGGCGGCCGGAGATATGGATGATGTGGTCGAGTGTGCACCGTGGAGAGTATGAGTGCCACTACTAGTGTGGCTGAGCGCGACTCTTTGCGATGCGTGGAGTTTCCTGGCAAGAGATGAACGCGACGCGACTTGAACCGATCACGCGTATCACGTGCTCCTCTTTTAGACACCCTCCCAGCCTTTGTGGGCTCCATGTGGCAAGTCATCCAAATGGGAAAGTCTAAACGGCCCTGATCGAAACGGCTGGGATTTTTTCTTTGCGCGCCTCGAGTTCACCGCCTAAACCCTCGACTTCGACGTCTCCCCCGACTCTCCTCCACTCCTCTCCCAAAATCGCAATGGCGAACGTGACTGAACTCCCCATTGTACCTACACCTCTACCTGCGGGCTGGACGGCGCCCGCGGCGTCGAGCAAGTCTGTCTCGCGTGAGTTATCAGACATCTCTCATTCACTGCCCGGCTCAAGGAAGAACAGCTCTGGTCGAGCGCAGGTTGCTCCCCGCGGGGCAGGCGTATCTCGCCCATGTCCGTCGCGCCGTACACAACCTTTCGTTTGAGGAACATGACAAGCACGCAGAGGAGGAGCGCAAGCGGTACGAGGCCCTGCACGGAACCGGCAACGGCGCGGAGGATGATCTTGGTGTGGGCGACGAGGAGGAGCCGGAGGACTTGCTGACCCTGGACCCTAAGGAGTGGAAGGTACGTCTCAAACATCTGAAACGCGTGACCGATGTCCAATGCCTTCTATTGTAGAAACAAGACCACTACGCTGTTCTCGGTCTCTCTCACCTCCGCTACAAGGCCACGCCAGAACAGATCAAGATTGCACGTGAGTTCTACACATCTACATCGAACGGGTGCGGAAAGCAGCATTTGGAACTAGTTGAGCTACCGGACGACCAGTCGAGATTCAGGGAGCGTGAACCTTGCACACGCAAGTTGCTCCCACCCGTGAATTTGTCTCGCGCAGCTGCAGCGAGCTCCCGTCCAAGCTTGGATGGCGTATCTGCGCCGAGAGCTCCTCTCCCAGAAAGCGTGACATTTATCACTGCCGCCTGTCGGACGAGCGGATCAGTCGTCTCTCGCGCAGAGTACTCAGAAACTTGCGCATAGCTGCACAATTTCTGGGGTTCACCGGGCAAATGTCCAGGGTCTATCCGTGAGATGATGGGCTACGGATGACTGGCATTGATTGAGCCTAAACCTTGCTCTGCACAAGTCGCTCTACCCGTGAATTTGTCTCGCGCAGCTGCAGTGAGCCCCCGTCCTCTCAAGGTCGGCGATCTGTGTAGAGAGCTCCTCTCCCGGGTGTCTATACCCGTGATGAGCGAACCTTCGTCTCTCACACAGAAATACTCATGGACCTCCTCCGCTCAAGGAGGTCTGTGGGGTTCACCGGGCGAATCCTCGACGACCTGCTCGATATAGTTCCGGACCACTGCTTTCCTCGGCCCTGTCAGGGCCCATGACTGACGTTCAGCTAGACCGGAAAAAGGTGCTCAAGCACCACCCCGACAAGAAGGCGGGCGTCGCGGGCGACTCGAACGACGACGCATTCTTCAAGTGCATTTCCAAAGCGTTCGATGTGCTCTCTAACCCCGAGCGTCGGCGGCAGTTCGACTCCGTCGACCCATTCTACGACATCTTCGAGACCGACGTTCCTACCGCGTCGCAGGTGCAGAAGGCGAAGAACCCGGAGAAGTTCTTCTTCCAGTCATTCGGGCCCGTGTTCGAGCGCGAGGCGCGTTTCAGCCGGAAGCAGCCCGTCCCGCTGCTCGGTTCCTTCGACGACACGAAGGCAGCAGTCGAAGGGTTCTACGACTTCTGGTACAACTTCGACAGCTGGCGGAGCTTCGAGTACCTCGACAAGGAGGTCAACGAGGGCAGCGACAAGTATGTGCAGTTATACATGCATATGTGACTGCAGAGCTGATCGAATGCACCCAGCCGTGACGACAAGCGCTATACCGAGAAGAAGAACAAGTCCGAGCGCGCACGCCGCAAGAAGGAAGACACTGCGCGTCTGCGCAGCATCGTCGACACCGCGCTGGGCGTAGACCCTCGCATCAAGCGCATCCGCCAGGAGGAGAAGGAGGCGCGCGAGGCCAAGAAGAAGGGCAAGAGCCAGGTCAACGGTCAGGACGCGAAGCTGAAGGCCGAGGAGGAGAAGCGCAAGGCGGAGGAAGAGGCGAAGCGGAAGGAGGAAGAGGAGGCGGTGCGTGTACTTCTGGTGCATGTTGTACGAGCACGAGTCCTGATAATACTTCCAGGCTGCGCGCGCAGAGGCCAAGAAGGCGAAGGCCGCTGCCGCGAACGCTGCGAAAAAGGCCAGGCGACAGCAGCGCGCTGTCGAGGGCGAAGCTTAATCCACTCGCCTCGTCACTTTCCACTATTCCCCCATCAACGTCGGCCAGACTCTGCATCGCACGTGTTGTATACCTCTCTGTCGCATTACTTAGAAGTCTCCCGCTGCTAGAGCCGCTGGCACCCCCCGATGTAGCCGTCATTCGACTTTCGTCATTCACGATCTTGTATTGCGTTGCGTCCATTGCGACTCTTTCGCTAGAGCTTTCCGTGGTATCGCGGTACCGAAAGCGGTCCGGGGATGCAGGTAAGTGCTTCTGTTCTGCTATGAGAGCACTGCCTGCGTGATCTACTATATACAGGTAGCGATACCTTATATGATATCTGTTCAAATGTCGGGGTCGTTGTTCAACGTGCGCCACGGTCCACCTCTGATGCTCGGCCACGCACGGTGTAGAGAACGTTCACATCGTTCAGTGTTATTCATCCTCAGTGAGCGGTCTCTGTTTGCCCTTTGGAATCGTACGTACTGGTACGGCGCGGGACGGTCCTAGCATCCCGCAGATGCCGCCGGTGCATATACAGAGTGGAACACGCGGTGTGGTTCGCCATAGATCGCCGATGGAGATGTCAAGCACCGCATGGTCACCGTCATAAGGCGGTCCTTTATTTCCGCCGTCCGCCCGCAGCTCCGCCAGGAGAAGTCATGCGATCCATGGAAGACTCGTTCGGAGTTCGCGTTCGTAACGCAGCGCGGGGTTCTTTCAGTGTTGACCCGCCGGAACGCAGGTATGGGCTGATCGTGATTCGTGGAGCAGCACGATAGCATGGGCGTGCCTCGGCCTGCGCTGATAACCTCTGCACATCGCAACGTCCCCCTCAAGAGCGCGCCGGAACACGCGGTTTGCGAACGGCGTGGCTCGCCATCATCCAGCTTCTTCTCGTCATCAACGAGGACGACCTGCCGGCATCTGTCATGCTTCGCGATTATGGGCGGGGTATATATAGCGCACCAGCACTAGCACGATTGTTCGTTGGGCACCCATCTTACACTCCGGATCCCTCCAGGCTCGTCCTAGGATGCTGCTCAACGGCTTCTTCGCCCTCGGCGTCGCCTCACTCGCGCTCGCAGCGCGCCCCGTCAGGCGGGTCGCGCACGAGACGCGTCGCTCTCTGCCCACAGGATGGACCCCCATTCGCCGCGCAGAGCCCGACCGCGTCCTCCCGCTCAGCGTCGGGCTCGTACAGTCGAACCTCGAGAACCTCGAGGCATACCTCCTGGACGTCTCCCACCCGGACTCGCCCAACTACGGCCAGCACTGGACGCCCGCGCGCGTCGCGGACACGTTCCGCCCGTCCCCGGCGTCCGTCGACGCCGTGCGCACGTGGCTGGTCGAAGACGGGCAGATTGGCGTCGACCGGATCGCGCTCAGCGGGAGCGGCGCGTGGCTCGTCGCGAACGTGACCGTGGACGAGGCCGAGCAGCTCCTCGGGACGGAGTACTATGTTTACCAGCACGAGGAGGACGGGCGCGAGCACCTCGCGTGCCACCAGGGCTACCACCTGCCCGAGCACGTCTCCAAGCACGTCGACCTCATCACGCCTACGCTCCATTTCGACACGAAGGTGACGAGGCACGGGAGCGCTGAGCCCGCGCCGGCCCTGGGCAGCGCGAAAAATATTGGGAAGGTCGCCGGCCCGCAAGTAGGAGGCGTCGTACATGTACGTTCCGCTCTCACGCCATAGCAGGGCTTCGGCTGATCGAACGCTGCGTAGAACTTCTTCAGTGACTTGGAGACCTGCGACCAAGCGATCACGCTCGCGTGCCTCCGCGTTCTTTACGACTTTGTGTACACACCAATCGCACCTCAAAAGAACACGATCGGCGTTGGTAAGGACCGCCACGATCTCGCACTATCTTCGCGGTTGCTGATCCCTGCACAGTCGAATATACCCCGCAATCTCACAACGCGACTGACTTTGACGTCTTCTTCGCGAACTACTCCAAGAGCCAGATCGGCGAGCGTCCGAGGCTCGTCCCCATTGATGGAGGTAAGGGCTTCATCACGTTCGTCAGCCCCTACACATCCTAATGCGCCCAACAGGTGTCCTCGTCCCAGGCGGTGATGCCGCAGAGTCCAGCCTGGATCTGCAATACGTGCTCGGCCTGATCGGAAGCAAGAAACAAGAGGTGCAGCTGTACCAGGTCGGCGACACAGTCGAAGGTACGGCCTCGGCACGGCTGCCGTGGAATCGGTTTGACTTACAGACGTCCAGGCGCTTCGTTTAACAACCTGCTTGACGGCCTTGACAAGGACTTCTGCACAACCGGCGGTGGCGACGATCCGACTCAGGACGGCATCTACCCGGACACCGCCGCAGGCGGCTACAAGGGCGAAGACTGCGGTACTGTGAAGCCGGCGCACATCATCTCGACGTCGTACGGATACCAGGAGGCCGACCTTACCCCGGCGTACATGCAGCGCCAGTGCGCCGAGTACGGAAAGGTATTGCTCCTGTCGACTGCAAACTCTACTCCTCTGAGCTAAAACGTGCTGAGTAGATCAGCCTGACGGGGGTCACTTTCGTCTACTCCTCTGGCGACGCGGGAGTCGGCGGCCGTCAAAACGTCTGCCTCAATGAGAGCGGCGAACAGGTGGTTGGCGGGAAGATCTTCAGCCCCACCTTCCCTGGTGGCTGCCCCTTCGTGACCTCTGTCGGCGCGACCCAGGTCGTACCCGGACACAAGGTATGCACGCCGACTCCGGACGTAGAGACGTTTGCTAATACGAAACCTGGCAGGTAACTGATCCGGAGAGTGCCGTCTTCCAGCGCTTCCCGTCAGGAGGCGGATTCTCCAACGTCTTCCCCCGGGCGGACTTCCAGAAGGGCGCGGTGGCGAACTACCTCGAGAAGTTCCCGCCCGGCTACGCGCCCGGCATCTTCAACACGACCGGACGCGCGCACCCCGACGTCTCCGCCAACGGGTACGTTCGCATTTGCCATACCTCGTGCTCCATGCGTGGACTCGTGCGCTAACGCTTGCATGATACAGCTTGAACTTCTCGGTCGCGATCGACGGCCAGTTCAGGCTCGTCTCCGGGACGTCCGCGTCCGCGCCCGCTTTCGCGGCGATCCTCTCCGCCGTCAACGACGCGCGCCTCGCCATCGGTAAGAGCCCCGTCGGGTGGATCAACCCTGCCGTACGTGCCCCGCTCTTCTTGTTTAGCATTACTAGTGCGCGGTCTGACTACCTCTTCGGCTGCAGGTCTACTCGTCCTTCTTTACCGGCGCGTTCAACGACATCACGAACGGCTCGAACCCTAACTGCGGCACGCAGGGGTTCTTGGCGAAGCCGGGCTGGGACCCCGTCACGGGCCTGGGCACGCCGAACTTCCCTAAACTGCTCTCGCGATTCTTGCTCCTGCCGTGAATGGCTTGAAGCTAGAAGTCGCATGGTGTAGAAGAAGCGGCTATCGCTGCCTTGTATCCGCGAACAACACTCCTCCGATGATCACAATGTTATAACCATATCGAGACTCTGACAGCTTCAACGATCGTTCATCGGACGCATGAAGCAGACTGGTGTCTTGTTTTTCCTGGGACGTTCTGACCCTCGTATGTGCAGTGAGCCATGGGCGCTGCGTAGTACCTGAACGTGACCGTTCGTCCCGTAAAGCCTTCTCTTGAAGATTAAACGACGCTTTCCTCGATGCACACTCATTGTATCCGTCTGCAGTCAGATATAGAATACATCGGAGAAACAAGTCAACCAAGGTCAGCCGCTTGTTCGCTTCAACAAGCGCCGGAGGTTCGCCGCCAGTCAGCCTCCTCTCGAGTCCAGACGTATATCAACCTCCCTTTTCGCCATATCCTCCTTCCCTCATACCGCCACCTCCCCCGCCCCAAGTGCACTGCATGCTTTCCCAGGCCGCTCACATAGTCGACACCTAGGGCAAGCGTTTGAAGCGCACACTCGTGTCTAGATTGTGAGTTGATGATCCCTTCACCTTCTGTCAATAACGCACACGAAACTGACTGACATTGCGTGCAGCCAATGGCTCATGAAGACTCTTGTGCTCTCGGCCACGCGCTGGACCTGAGGCGACGAGGGTCCACCATGGAAGCATGCGCTCCATGTTTAATCGATACGTCGACACTTTTATCAGCTCGATGATCCCGTACTTATCTTCAGTGGCAGGTCTTTTCTCTTCTCTGCCCCTTCACGTTCTCTTTCTGTAGATAGCGCCGCGCAGGACTGGACTTGACCGACATCAGGTGGCCGACTACTTGGACGCATCGACATCTGAAAGAAGAGGCGGATTTGGCAGACCCTGGACGCTCAGCTGGACCAAGACGCGGATACGGCTGTGGAACAAGACGCGGATTCGGCTGACCCAGTACGCTCGGAAGTTAAGCCCGCGGGGACGACCTTCAACGACGATCCGATCGGGTCGTTGCTGAAGGTGGCCCTCCGGCGCAGACTGACGTCCGATAGTAGACTGAGTAATGTATATCATGGGGGGTGTGAATGGGGTATTTCCCGGGGATAGCGCAGGCCTCATCGTGGCCCCCGGGTCTAGTACCCGCCTTTACGGCGGGGAAGCCAACTGCGCTGTATCTCTTCTAGTACTGAGTTTGCTGTAAACTATATCAGAGTGTTTCTCTATGTTCAGTCCGACTTCGAAAGAAAATGGGGAGGACTTCGCGCACCCTGAACTTCTACACTTACCAGATGCGGATAATGCGCCATCAAACCTTATCTCGGTGCCTGTTCGTCGTCGGCGCCGCGAGCCACGAGGCCCAGTTCCGTACGTTCATGATGTTTTGAGTCTAGGTAACTTGTGGAGATCGCCACGCATTACAACGACACATTGCGGTACACGCGCTTCAAATGCCGGACATGTCTTCAACGAAGCCGATGAAGGCCTCGAGGCTATAGAGACATCTTCAAGGTCCATCATGGCACGATACGGTCGTTGAATGATAATAGGTAACAGCGCGCTCCGTTCGCTCGGGATTCGCACGGGTGGGGGCCTGAATACCCTGTAAATTGCATCGTAATTAGTCACTTGAAGTACTGCGGTTCAACCCCAAAGGTACGTGTTTCAGTCGCTACCAACATCGTCCTTCTTAACTGACTGCCGTGGTTGTGTTTTGTCTCTCCATACTCAGATCGTAGTCATCTTTGGACGCGGCGGCATGTATGTATCGAGCTTGGATGGAATGAACGAGCGACTGATGTTTACATGTCCTTCGCAGGTCTGTCGTTTGGACGAGCACAGCTCTCATACCCGCCTATTGCGCGGGCTTTTCTGTGGTCGTTTTATTAGCTGGCTTCGCGGAATCGTACCCCGGCAGGCTTGCTAAACTGCCAGCAGACACAGACAGCCCTACTGGAACGGAGCATCTTCACGACTCAGCCTACAGGACGTACCTGAGGCAACAACTAAAGTCTGTTGGCGGCACTGTGATCTTCGTTTGCCGACTGGTTCAGCTTCTGGTCGCCCTCAGCCTGCTTGGTATCTCAGCCTCTACCTATCTATGGTGCGATGGCATACACAAAAGTTCGGAACCGGTCATCCAGATCGCACAATTCGCACTCTATGTATGCCTTAGAGTTCGTTTCTTCTATGTGGGGCTGAAACCGGATTCTTTGCAGGGATACGTCGGTGTGTTGGGGCTGCTGGCAATACTGGCGCCCCCTCCTCTGGAGCACCGTGCGTTCGTGCACGCATCGCTCCTCCTCGCCGTCACGTGGTTCACCTACGTGTATCGCGACGTATGGCCCCTCGCTACTTTCAACGGGTCTCCAGCCGACCTAGCTGAGGGCAGTATGCTCTGGGCAAAGATCGCATTGCTCTCTCTTGGGGGAGTGGGGATCCCGCTCCTCACCCCGAGAAAGTACACCCCCGTGAATATCAAAGTGAGTGGTTTTTGCGCTCTGCCGAGGCGCGGTCATTAACCCGCCGATGCGAATAGATAGACGTTGCGACGGAGCAGACTGCATCCATTCTCTCGTTCCTTTCGTACGGCTTTGTGGAGTCGATCGTCTGGCGGGCTTGGCGCATTCCGCGCCTCACCTACGAAATGCTTCCGCCACTGCCCGAGTATGACTATCTGACGCACCTCAGGCAGAAAAGCTTCCCTGTACGTTACACACATCGATACGCGATCTTTAGGCACTCACAAGCTACTGCACAACAGTACTTGGATCCTCTTCAATCCAAGTCCCGCAGGCACCTTGCGTTCGGCCTGATGCGAGTGTTCGGTGCGTATCTGCTTCGCGTCCCGGGGGTATTTCGTATCGCTAAATGTAGTTGCATGATGTAGGGAAACAACTATGCGTAGTAGCTCTCGTCGACTTCATAATGGTGAGCACTCTACGCACCGTTTCCGCGCATCTGACCCTACGAGAACACTCAGGCCGTCGCATCGTTTGGAGCACCTATCAGTGTCAACCAGCTCCTTTCGTGAGTATTTTGCCAGCATTCCGCACAAGCAGCTGTCTGAGTGACTCCTCTGGTCTTGACAGATACATGGAGACGGGCGGAGCCGGTGCTCAGGTCCGACCGTGCTTCTGGATCGCCCTCTTCTTCTTCGGCACTGCAACGAGGGATATTTTGATCCAGTGGCTCGACTTCAAGGACGTGAGCAGTATCTCTCCTCCGCTCTCCCTCGCATGCAGCGCTGATGTGGACTTGTACGTAACAGACTCGTATCAGTATCCGTGTGCGGGCCATCATCACGGACCTCGTCTTTGAGCACGCCTTGCGCATTCGCGTAAAGGCAGGAACGACGGAGGTTGACTCCAACGACGTTCGCCAAGAAGCTTCCGAGGATACCTTTGTCGAGAGCCCAGACTCGCATGACGACGCAGCTGCGAATGCCAATGACTCCACCGCACAGACGAAAGGAAAAGGAAAGGAGCCTAGTGCCGACGCTGCGAAGGCAGATCGTGCGGAGGGGAGCGCTCACCTCATCGGGAAGATCAACAACCTCGTCTCCGGCGACCTTCAGAACATGAGCGACCTGAGCATGTTGCTCATATTCTGGAGTACGTTCTCACATTTTGGATGTATGTTCACACGTGATGTTCATTCTTGCGCTCTACCGATACAGTGGTTGAGATGCCGGCCCATGTCGTCTTCTGCACCGTCTTCCTTTATAGGGTCCTCGGCTTGAGGTCAGTGATTCATCTGTGCGAACTACTCACCATACTTGACGTTGCACGCTTCCAGCGGTATTGTTGGTATCCTCATAACGGCGTGCACGCTACCATTACCAGGATACCTAGCCAAGAATGTCAAGAATTTACAAGCTGAGAAGATGAAACGGGTACGCCTTCCTCCGTCTCACATTGCTCCACGTTTGTCTCATTCATGCGACCCTTAAGACGGATTCGCGTGTGCAAACTGTCACTGAGAGTCAGTGTTCCGTCGTATCAAATAGGCCATAGAACCATCGTCATATCTGACCTTTCGCTTCAAAGTGATGAGCGGCATACGTATGATCAAGCTTTTTGGATGGGAAGGTCGCACCGCTGCCCAACTTGACCAGAAGCGCGAAGAAGAGCTCGTCGTGGTGCGCAAGACTAAGATTCTCACTGCCTGTATCGGTCTTTGCAAGTGAGTCTTCATAAGCAGTGGTGCACAAGGTCAAGCAGCGTTGACGATTTGCCAGCTACGCACTGCCGCACTTCATCATGCTGTTGACGTTCTTCACATATGTGAGTACGCATTCGGAAAGCCGAGTAGATGTACTGACGCTCTCTCTAGACGGTGATCATGAAGCAGGAACTCACAGGTGAATACTATGCGATGTTGGAAAGTCCGTTCTAATCTGTCTATAGCGTCGGCGGTATTCTCCTCGATGACGGGTGAGCATTCGCATTAAGACGAGGGCGCAGAGACAATGGCTGATATGTCGAGGAAGTGTTCGACATGCTCCGCCGGGCGATGCAGGGATCCTTCATCCTACTGCCTATGACGACGCAAGGTTCGTAGCCTCCTTGATCATTCGGACGACGTGTCGCTCAACGTCCTATCTAGCCTTGGTCTCCTTGATTCGCATTTCCAATTTCCTTTGGAACGTAGGTGTGCAGTTTTTATCAGCTTGACTTTGTCTGATCCTGTAGCAGACGGAGCTCATTGACGAGTTTGCGGCAAACAAAGAATCCGAGGAATGGGAGGTGCTGTCTGACACGGTCCCTCAGGACCGAGTAGTAGATGTCATTGGCATCCGCCACGCCTCGTTCACCTGGTCCAAAGATGCAGCGCTCTCGCATGCATCAGGCGGGGCGCGCAGACGGAGGTTCTTGCTGAGCGTAGACGACGAGTTGTTTTTCCAGCGCGGGAGGATCAACTTGATTGTTGGTCCGACTGGGTCGGGGAAGACATCGCTGCTCATGGCGCTTCTTGGTAAGCCGCGCACTTGAGGCTCTGGGATGGCACGATCCTATACTCACTCTAAATGTGTGTCGGCTTAGGGGAGCTGCACTACATACCGTCAGGCCCAGACTCATTCGTAAGTCTTCCGAGAGAGGGCGGTATCGCATACGCAGCGCAGGAGTCGTGGGTGCAGAACGACACGATCAGGGTATGTCAATTCCGGCTTGCATAATGAAGCGCCTGACAGGGCTGCAGAACAATATCGTCTTCGGAGCTACCTTCGACCAGACGCGATACGATAAGGGTAAGCCTTGTATGCATTCTCTCTCTGGCGACGTCTCATCCTGATGTGGTGCTCGAAGTTATCGATCAGTGTGCCTTGAAGCCCGACCTCAGTCTCTTCGATGCTGGCGATCAGACTGAAGTCGGCGAGAAGGGTATAACGTTGAGGTGCGTTTACACGCCATTGTCACCGAAGTTATCGCTCACCTTGCGCATCAAGCGGCGGACAAAAGGTGAGGCCTGTCGGCGCATCTTAAGTGCGTTGATGCTAACTAGTAGCTCCAGGCTCGGATTACGCTCGCTCGCGCGGTGTACTCTTCTGCAGCGATCCTTCTGCTCGACGACGTGAGCCGCTTTAGGTCGTGGCCACGTTCATGTACTTACGCTCAACTCTACACAAGATCCTCGCGGCGCTCGACGTACACACGTCTAAATGGATCGTAGAGAGGTGCTTCAAAGGCGATCTACTCCAAGGCCGCACTATCATCATAGTCGTACGTCCTCGAATCCTAGCGGGATAGCCGTATCTGACCAAATCCTTATCATCACCAGACGCACAACATCGCTTTAGTCAGCCCAATTGCGGACTTCGTCGTCGACATGGGCTTAGACGGGCGCATCTTGAGCCAAGGCTCCTTCGCCAAGGTTCTCGAGCAAGACTCGCATCTCGTTAATGAGGTCACAGAAGAGCGCAAGGAAATCGAGGAGGCCGAGAAATCAGCGAGCGTCAAGGAGTCGGAAGACGCAGTGGCGAAGCAGAGTGCCGGAAAGCTCGTCGTCGATGAGGAGATGGAAGTGGGGCACGTTGGGTGGACGGCACGTACGTCGCGCTCTGAGATTCCTTCCATCAGCACGAACTCAGATCCTCTGATAGTCAAATTGTGGATCGGTAACACGTCAAACCGACCGGCTCTGTTTTGGATCGTCTACATCGTCGGCCAAAGCTCCCACCATATCCTCATCAACGTGCAGGTGAGCGCCGCTTTCGTCTACATGATACACGCACATTCTAAGTCATACGTGCTAGGCATGGTATCTCGGCCACTGGGCATCCCAATACGAGACTCACCCGGCTAGCGAAGTCTCTCTACACCAGTGAGTGCTGATGCTGGAGCCAGAGCTCTCGTGCGGGTATACTCATCTAGCGCAGTTACCTGACACGATACACATCTATGATCGTCGTCAGCATGATCATGGTCGTGTTCTTCGTTATCTGGTTCGTTTACGGGACAATGAGGGCCTCCAAGGTCGTTCACCAAAAGCTCATCCGTTCTGTGCTCGGCACCACGCTCAGGTATGCAAAGCCGTAGCACTTCTCTTCCTAGAACGCGTTCATGACACCGTCTCTAGATGGCTGGATAGGACACCGACCGCCCGAATCATCACGCGTTGCACCGAGGACATACAGACAGGTAAGGCCCCACGACGGCAGCTCTTCGTGTCGGCTCGCTGCTCACTACTAACGCACACAGTGGACGACGGTATCTCCGCATCTTCTCAGTTGTTTATAGACCGGACCGTATACATGACACTCAAAGTCGTCTTCATCGTGATCATCTCGCCGATCTTCCTCGCTCCCGCCATTGCGGTAGCAGCACTGGGCGGCTTCCTCGGGAACGTGTATATGAAGGGGCAACTTTCGACCAAGCGGGAGCTGAGCAACGCGAAGGCGCCCGTGCTCGGCCATTTCGGCGATGCGTTGAGCGGAATTAGCACGTATTCCCTTAGTCCACTGAACGGAGAGAGCATATCCTGATGATAGGCTATAGCGTCCATTCGGGCCTATGGCGCTCAGGAGGCGTTTAGGAAGGAGCTCGCCGTCCGCGTGGACAAGTATAGCAGAGTGAACATCATCCACGAGCACTTCAATAGGTAAGTCTGGCCAGCATACTGACTCGCTGTGCGGCCGCTGAAATATCGTGATTCAGGTGGATCTCCACGCGTATGGACTTCATCGGAAACGTCTTCGCGAGCAGCCTTGCCGCGTATCTCGTCTACGGTTCCCGACTCAGCGCCTCCAATACGGGCTTCTCCCTCAACATGGCCAGTGAGTCCAGATCCTCCTCGTTTCTGAGTCTCTGCAGAAAATCTGAATAACTGCGCCGCAGCCGCGTTCAGTGGGATGATATTCGCCGTGGTCAGGGTCTTCAACACCTTCGAGATTCACGGTACGTTGTAGTAATGTATAACCGGAAGCTGTTCTAACCTTGATTCGGTCGTTCTCAGGTAACAGGTTAGTGCGACCTGGAGTGAGCAGCACGAGAATAGATGCTGAAGCTTTCTCTCTGCAGCTTGGAACGCATACAGCAATATCTCTCCATCGAACAAGAGCCGAAGTCTACTGCTGACGGTGTGCCGCCCGCGTACTGGCCTGCAAGCGGACACCTCGTAGTCGAGAACCTCTCTGCGCGATACTCTCCTGTACGTACACGATTGGGACGATGTGAACCCATCACCTTCTGACTTTGCTTATAGGATGGGCCGAAGGTACTTCAAGACATTTCGTTCGAGGTCGCCTCTGGAGAGCGCGTGGGCATCGTCGGACGTACGGGCAGCGGGAAGGCACGTTTTGATGTCTTGATCTCTGCCGTGGCCTCCGAACTTCTCTGATTTGAGTGCAGAGCTCCCTCACGCTCGCGTTGCTACGGTGCATCCTCACCGAGGGAAACGTCATCTACGATGGACTCTCAACCTCCGCGCTCAACCTCGACGCCCTCCGCTCTGCCATCACCATCATCCCCCAAGTGGTCCGTATCTCCCACCCTTCTCTCCCCCATCACCCATCCCCCAACACCCACTAACACATACCCCGCAGCCGGAACTCCTCAGCGGGACGCTCCGCCAGAACCTGGACCCGTTCTCCGAGCACTCCGACGCGGTCCTCAACGACGCCCTGCGCTCCGCCGGGCTGTTCAACCTGCAGGCCGAGGGCGACGCGTCGCGAATCACGCTCGACACGCAGATCGCAGGGGGCGGCGCGAACCTGTCCGTCGGGCAGCGGCAGATCCTCGCGCTCGCGCGCGCGATCGTGCGGCGGAGCAAGCTGCTCATTCTCGACGAAGGTGCGTGTTCGGCGCGACCTAAGCATTGATTCTGCTGCTGATCCTCGCTCGTTTAGCTACGTCTGCTATTGGTACGTAGAGGTGCAGATGAGCGAGGAGTGGACGAAGCTGACCTCGGCTAACAGACTACGAGACGGACGCGATCATCCAGACGTCGCTCCGCACTGAGCTCGGCAAGGACGTCACTTTACTCACAGTCGCGCATCGCCTGCAGACGATCATGGACTCCGACAAGATCGTGCGTCTACCCCTCTCCTCTCCTTGTACCCTTCTTTAACCCCGACTGATCTTCCGCTGCAGATGGTCCTCGATGCCAGACGCATTGTAAGTGCTTCGCGCCACACCTCATAGGTTTGATCAGGATTGACTTTGTTGACATGGGGCAGGTCGAGTTCGGGAAGCCGAGCGAGCTGCTTGGGAACGAGAAAGGCATGCTCCGTGCGCTGGTGGACGAGAGCGGGGACAGGGAGAAGCTGTACGCGGCGGCGAACGGCGCGTCAGCCTCGTAGTTTCGGCAGAAGGCGCTTCGCAAGTCTCAGTATACCCTGATTTGAATGTTATGTGCACTTGATGTGCTCCATCTCGCATGATACGAGAGGTCCCAGCTGCACAGAAATATGGTTTGTGGTGAGCACGTCCTCGAACGCGAGAGGTCGACATGCGGGTGAGAGCTCGGAAGAAGGGAGACGCCCGAAGACGATTTGTACGTGGGTTGACTGACGTAAGCGTAATCGGGCATATCGCATGAACAGGCCTGTCGGTACGGCAACTCCTCTTGAACCAGTACTTTCACTCCCTCCGCTTCACCTCTTCCTTGGCCTGGCGCCTCAAGAGACCGCTTACTGCGAATACGCCTGTACCTCTGTATAAACCATTCGCCAGCTTGCACTCCAAGTATAGCTGGTAAAGCCGCCCGTTCGAGGGTGCCCGTAATGCGGATATTTGTGTCGAGTTACTTGAAGATGGCATACCCTTCGAAACCGCCCAATAAGCACGCGTATTGAATGCTGGTAGGTGTGAACCGGGAAGTCAACAGTTCTCCGGTCCCGCAATGCACAAGGTTTCCCCGCGAGGCTCCGCGATATACCCGCTCAATCCTCTTTTCCAGCCCCCGGTCATAAAAACACTAGCCACTCAGATGCTGTCAAAGTATCATTTGAGCTGATGTTCTTGGCGATGCTGTGCATGGGCGTTTTTCAGGACAAGGGCGAGCCGCTCTAAGATCATGTATCAGCATCGTTAGAAGGCATGCATGACTCGGCCTCGTGTTATCAGTTCGAGGGTCGCTTCCGAAAGGTGAGCACTGAGCAGTGCCCACTCGCGCGCGACTACGATGCTCACCCCCGTCAAACAGGAAGCTGATATATCTATCGGATTCTGTGATGGGTACGGCATTCTTGATACTATCTAGCTCTTTTGGCCGCTTTTGCGCGCCTCCGGAGTCAGTGCTGATGTTCTCAATTCAAGAGGGCCGTAGCGCATAATAATACGCTCTACCAACCGCATGCGCATTGCCGGGTGCCTTGAGAACCTACCTGTACGTGTACCTCAATTTCAAGAGACTGTATGCCTAGATGAGCTCATCTGAATACACGTCATACACTACTACTAGATTGTACGGGACCCGACACAATGACCGCCACAAGTACTGATAAATCCAATAAGCCTTACTTCAAGTGGGTTTGAAGATTGATCTAGTCGAGGTAGGAGCGACCCCCCTTCTAACTGTGATGGTGATGCAACCTAAGAGCGTCTGCTACTCTCATACTTAAGAAACGCTGCGTTGAGATAAGGGCGTTCAAGTTCACATTTCGCTGACCATGCCGGTCGCCACTCTTGTCCAAGTCAACCCCGCCTCCACCGCCGCCGATCCTAGCACTGGCATATATCCGATTCCGCCACCGCTCCCGTCTCTCGACAGCACATTCGGCGCATTCCTCATCTCAACTTTCATAGGGCTTATGTACGCCAGAAATATGCTCTTTCAGATGGTGGATGATTGTTCACAGCGCCGCAAGCCTCCTAGGCATTACTCTCCACCAGGCGTACCGATACGCACGGTTATTCCCAAACGACTCTCCGTGGCTCAAAGCCTTGGTATGCTCGATCCTGATATCTCGCGATCATACTACTCATTCCCCTGGTAAACAGGTCGCACTTGCCGTGTGAGCAAACACGCTCTTCGTCTCTGGCACGTGGCGAGTTACTTTCCTCACATTCACTGGCTGACTAGGCTGCTCGAATTCACCTCGAGTGGATTGACCATCCACGTATCGTACGTAATTCTTCTGCATATTGAACAGGTTGCGTAAAAGCTTACCTAACTGGCGCTGCGTCCAGTTACTTCTACCTCATAACACACTACTTCCAACCTCAACGCCTTGCGCTCAGCGTATGGTAAGTACGCAATCCTCCGCCGCTCGCTCTTTCAGCTCTGTTTTTTGATGATGTGGGACGGTGTCGTCGTAGGTCTATCAGTGTTAGTGTATCATTAATCAAGAAAGAAGACTAGTGTACTGACATTCATGTAGCTCTATCCCGTTATAGGGGTGCGTAAAACGGCTAACTCCTAGAGGAAAACTGCTGACAATGCCTTGTTTCTTGTAGGGAGCGACAATGGTTGTCTCGCAAAGGTGAACCTTGCTCGCTTCGCTCGGCGTACCCAAGATTCGTCGCTCAGTCAACATTTGTGAAGCTTTTTCGCCCGACGCGCATGGCTCCTCGAACCTCGGTTTCGACCGATCGTCATGCTCTCCGCAAGTGTCCATTCGTCTACTACAGACACACTGCCGTAGCTAACATTCGTACGCACCTCATCTCGCAGTGCATTTTGTCTCTAGCTGAGCTAGGCAAGTTCACGCTTCCTCAAATAAGCCAAATCTCAACGCTGATGGACGCACCGCGGCCCTCATACAGGAATTTTCATCGGTAAGAATGCAATGTTCATTCCCATGTCCACTAAATAACACCCTTTTTAATGCGGTAGCGGCAGCCGGCATAGGGTTAGTGCTACACGTTTTGCCAGCTGAAGTGTCTGCTGAATTTTGAAATCCCTGCCTAGGTTTATCACAAACGATGCCAATAACAGGGTAAACTTAGTACGCACCATGTCTTATTGGCAGCAGTCACTGAGGACACGACATTGACGATTTTTCCCGGCGTGTCTTAGAAACTCGTGCCGACGGCGTTCTGTCTGGCGATGGTTGGGGACCTCATGTTGACCGCGTCCCTGATCCGCATCCTGCGCCGCAAACGGACTGGCTTCAGGAGGTACGTCCGGGACTCGCAGTATCCCTCAGACATGATTGCCTTCAGGCTGACACCGCGGGCCATCGACTGCCTGCTCAGCACGGACAACATGATCGACGTCCTCGTGATGTACGCCGTCAACACAGGTGCGCACTTCAATATGTGTCCCACACGCCCGTTCCGACCGTTACCACAATCGGCATGCAGGCCTACTCAACGGGTATTCTTAATACACAACCGCTCCGCACCCACACCGTTTGCTGACTCCTCGCACTTTGCGCCGCCAGCGTATTCGATTTGCTCACCACAGTTTTCGTATGTCGGATACACATTTCAAGCCGTATCACGATCACTCACCTGCCCTCTCCCGGCAATCTTCATTGACAGGCTTTTGCGTCTCCCAAGAGCACTCTGTGGGCCGTCTTTGGGACAGCCGGTGCAAAACGTGAGCACAGTGCTCAGCGGTTCCGGCCATGCGCGTTATTCACACACCCGTTGCCAGTATATGCTATCACGCTTCTAGCAGCGTGAGCGCGTCTCCACGGCCCTACCAGCGCCGCCAAGTTACGAATACTTACCCACTATGTTTCCACAGGTTGCACTCCCGCAGCACGTTCCGTGTGCACGGGCCTGGCGAGGCTCAGCACAACAGCGAGACCGTGTTCGGCGTGAGCTTACCCATGGACTCGGGGCGGGCGAAAGCAGCGCCGTGTTCAGACTCGAATGCCGCACGGTCGCTTTGTTCGGGCCAAGTGAATGTACACCAGGTCCCGGTGAGCTGCACGTCACTTCGACCTATCTACAGGATACCTACTGATATGAATACCACCCGACGCGGCATAGATTCATTCGTCGAGCACGATCGACGGCTCGGACGTGATAGAGCTCAAAACCATCTCACCCGCCCTGCCCTAGACGGTGCGGAGCACGTTCAACACTGGGAGAAGGAGTGATACTTCGGGATACTGATCGGTATCCCGAGAACGCCGAAGAGCATTGTTAGAAGGCGGGGCGGGGTCTCCAAAGATACTTCTCTCCTTGTACGCCTGCGCAGTGAAATGCGCTATTCCCGAACATAGTTGATGCGATCATATAAGCTCCAACAATGGTACATTCTCAATCGCTGACAAGAGGTGAGTACTGCATAGCTTCTCAGACCCGCAGTCATCTTCCACATCACGACTTGACTGCAGGTCAAATGTTGATGCGAAACTTCGGGGAGGCAGAACACGGGAAAGGGATGGGACTCAAGCTCGTTGAGCCTCGTGCATATCCCCGCTCTGGACGCAACTTGCATGCGAGGACTGTTCTCGTCGCCGCGGCGGTGCCCGTCGCCTTTTCACTTGTGCTATGTCTTGTACATCCGGATATGATTGGTGGAGGGATTTTGGGACAGGTCGGCTTCGGGAAGCCGAGCGAGCTGCTCACGGTCAAGAAGGGCATGCTGCGCGCTCTGGTAGACGAGAGCGGTGACAGGGAGAAGCTGTATGCGACGGCGCACGGCGCGTCAGCCTCACAGGTTTGGCAGGAGGCGCTTCCAAGTCTCGGTATATCCTGATTTATGCGCCAATGCACTTGATGTGCTATGCTTGATGCATCGGTGCAATATATTCGTTGTGGGCAATACGGCACGCGGGGAAGCACCCGAACCACGCCTCCACCAAATGGCAAGGCAATCGACCATCATATTACTCAATGCGGCCTCCGAGTCCCAGTACGCATGGCTAGTATTCATCTGGGAGCTTCAAAGTTCTGTGGTGAGCTCCTCTTGTCGCAATTTCCTTCCCCTTGAGAAGACACTGGGGAAATATGCAGATGTACCTGATACTCAAGATGGACACAACGCAGTTTGCACGACCGTAGGGAAGACGCGAGCACTTGTGGTCGGGTCGAACGGCGTCTCTGGGTCAAGCTGGTCGCGCTCTAGTGCGAATGGCCCGGGCGTGTGGTACACCCGCACGGCCTTCGCGGACGACTCCGAGTCAGGTGTAGATGGTCCTGCGCGTGAAGAGTCGCCCCAAGAGGAGCGCGTGGAGAAGGTGCGGTTGGCGTTGCTGGTGTCCCCATCGCCTCCTCGCACCGGAGTCCGCGGCGTCCCCGCTCCTGTGTCGCTATCCAAATGTGGTGCCGGGGACTCTAGCAAGAGCGGGTTCCGGAGAAAAAGCGAGTCGCGTCGGGAGATGGGAGCAGACGGCCGGTCGTCCGTGGGTACGAAGGTCGGCTCGGGGAGCGGCAAGGCTGGCAGGATGTTGAGGCAGCGGTCGCAGTACCACGGATCCTCCTCCCGCCCGAGCTCGCCGATGGTCTTGAAGCCGACACAGCGCAGGTGATACCACGTCTGACACTCATCGCACTGCCCCAGCTCGCTCCCGTCGTCCCCGCGCGAGCACCCGATGCACGTCACGTCCTCGCCGGAGGTCTCGTCGGAGCGGCGACGAAAGGACAATGTGCAGACGGACCGCTTGGAGAGCCGCAGAGCTGCACGCGCGTCCGCGGGGTCGCTGGGCGTTAAGACGTGCTCGTTGCGAGTGCGACTCTCCGGCTTTGCGTGCAGGGGGAACCATCTTCCCGCGATCCCGCCGATGCGTGATCTGATCGTTGTCGTGCGACTGCAGTGGCGGTCGGAGAATCTGGTCTTCTTCCTCTTCCTCGTCGCTCTCGCTCGAGCGGCCCAGGAATCGATCGCTCGATCCACCGCAGCCGCTACTCCTGCTCCATCTTGGCGATGTCTGTGCGCTCTTGAAGACGCATACACCACGAAAACACGGCATCGGGCCAGTTGGGCTCCAGCGGCTCGCCCTCTTCATCGTCATCTTGCCTACCGTACATGCGCGCCCTTACTACTGCGTTGAGGCACAGGCTATGCTGCGGTCGGAGGTTCTGGTTGAATATATCACGGTGAATTATGGTGCATAAGCCAGTCCTCGAGCGTGATTCGAGGGAAGAGGAGTAACAGCGCGAGTGAGGAGAGCCTGATGCATGTCATTGCACTCGAACACGATATGAACGGTGATGCTTACCTAAGCATTATTTCTGTGGCACATCATTGTCACTGACAGCTTCGCTCGCGCTCGCCCAGTTCGTGCTTGCTCCTTCCACTACGAGATCATGATACCTCTGCAAGTTGTTAGCGTGTGCTGTGCAGAGCCTCGATGGATGTCAAGATCTCCGTAGCAACTTATCGAACCCTGCTACGTTTACCGACTCTCGGATGCCCCAGGTAGGTATACCTCACCCTATTCTCGCCACTCCCCCGCCGCCAATGAAATGGAAGCTACCCAAGCACGATAGATGCGCAACGTGCGGAGAGACCTAGTACCATGTGCATCAGCCACACCATTGGAACACTTACGCGGCTTGTGTATAGATGCGAAGGTGGCTGACCCGCTGATAGAAGGTGAGTACTGCGCGCTGGCACTGAGGCCACTGCAACTTCACCATTCGCTCTATGCAAAGTATTGACGTATATATCAGAATCTACAATGGCCATCAGATGCCTTCATATCAAGAATCTGGGGTATACACCCTGTAACTGACACTTCAGCCACGCAGCTCGTTCGGGGTAAGCACCGCAAGAGTGACCATTGTAGGTAGCGAACATAGGCCACGTCTGTGGCGCATCGACCCGCAGCCGAAACCACTACCACAACTAACAGTCGTCTGACAGATACGTGTACGCTCTGCCTACTAAGGCCATGACTATTTTCATATCAGCTTTGAGTTTTAAATCACCCCGGAATGTCAAGATTAATGTGACAGGTGCATATGATGGGAGGCGGAAGGGGGAAGGCGGAAGGCGGAAGGATATCTAATAAGAGCATATACGGTGAGCCACGGAGAAGAAAAGTATATTCCCAAACTCATGCGTGCCGCCAGATGTGTGAACCCTCGCACACCTATTCACTCGTACGCGTACTTCAAACATCAAGTTCGACAGACTTCATGCTCGCTGAGACTCAGCTTCGACACCCACATGCATGACAATGTCATGCACGAGTGAGTCGGAGTTTACGTCCCTTATACTGTTACACCCGACAGCCGCTGACTACGATTCCGAAAGCTTATTCAACAATGGCAGAGGAAGCTCCCTTCTGACTTCTTGAGCGATGGTATCTCCATGATGGCGATGCGGCCCCGGGTGCGCTTACGACCCCATACTTAACCTAGTGGTAGGCGTCGAGGGGAGGGGTGTCCGTTTTTCTCCTGTCCACATCTCTCATCATGGCCGTACCTCTCGTGCATGTTGAGGCTAATCCGGCTAACCCTGACGCCTATTCGACCAAAATCCCGGCAATTGACGGCACTGTTGGAATATTCCTCATCGCAACCTTCATAGGGATTCTGTGAGTATCTATATGTTGTGATATGCGACAGGCTTGTTGACACGCAAGTAAGCCTCCTCGGTGTCACTCTCCACCAAGCTTATCAATATGCGCGTAATTTCCCCCACGATTCCCCGTGGCTTAAGGGCTTGGTACGAATGATCCCGTCCCTCACGGCCAGATGACTGACTCTCATGCTGACCAGGTCGCGCTCGTTGTGTGAGCGATGTTGATCTTTTTAAATCTTCCCTGCCACACTTCAATTCCCTTTCCTTACCAAAACCATAGGTCACTCGAAATCCTTTCGAGTGTGATGACGGTGCACGCATGGTGCGATATCTCATGCGAAAGACCAGTCATGGCTATGCGGAAGCTTACCGGTTCTCCGACCAGCTATCACTGGTTAATAGCCGACTACTTCCGTCCACAAGCCCTTATTTCCGACAACATGTGGTGAGTATGCGAAGTCCACTGACTCGGGTTCGCCGTTTCTAATGAGACGGCCATTTCGTCGCAGGTCTACCAATGTTAGTCGAATTCACCGGTGAACGTAGCATGCGGATCCATTTGCTGACATTTATGATAGACCTATACCTTTATAGCGGTGCGTGCGCAGTACGTCTATGAATCCTAGAAAGCGCTCCGACAGTGACTGTTGTTTGTAGGGGACGTCTATGGTGATGTCGCAAAGGTGAACCTCTATTACCCTACAATTGGAGGATATATCTGACCGATCATTGACTCAAGCTTTTTCGCCCGACGTGTATGGCTTCTTGAACCTCGGTATCGATCGGTAGTCATTCTCTGTGTAAGTTCCGTTCACTTAGACACGACCGCGTCGAAGATGGTCTCAACACATTGCGTAGTGTGTACTCTCCCTAGCTGCGTTAGGTCAGTTTCAAAACTACTAGAATGTTACTTTACAGTTTGGCTGATGACCACACGCAACACTACATACAGGTGTATTCGTTGGTGAGAGCGAACTCGAATGGCACTATTAGATTTTATTACCGTCGAGTAACAGAATTTCTTGGCCACAGTGTTTACCATCACCGAGTTTGTCCCTTTCTTCGTTCAATTCGGGTTCGGCTCATGTGTCGTTTCCCGTCTAGCGTCCTGTCAGATAGCCCCTTCAATAAGGCTCATCTGGTACGCATGATGGCTGTAGCGTCGATCGTTCCACTAATCATGGCGTAGTGGGCCATACCAACCGCGTTTTGTTTGGCCATGGGTGCAGACCTTATTTTGACAGCATCCCTGATACACATCCTGCGTCGCAAACGGACAGGCTTCAGCAGGTACGTCCGAGCCGTGCAGCATCACCCGACCGCATCATCTATCGTGAAGGCCGGCGTACTAACATATCAATCCAGGACGGACAATATGATAGACGTACTCATGATGTACTCAGTCAACACAGGTACGCATTTTGGTCCCCGTATCACCGTCGTGTATCACACACCGTACTGACTTCTATGTGAAGGCCTCCTCAATGGGTACCGTTGCATCATCGTCACCGTATCCTTTTACATTGCTGACCACCTGTACCCTGCACTGCCAGCATCTTTGATCTCCTTACCGCAGTACTCGTGAGTAAACCTTTGCGACACTGTGGCCTCAAGACTGGCCTCACCCGCATCCCTCAGGCCTTTACGCGGCCAATGAGCCTCATTTGGGCCGTCTTCGGCATAGCTGGAGCCAAATGTACGCGCAACCTTACCAATACGCCTCTCACGTGATGCCGAGTGCTGAGCTCACGCCAACCCTCGACAGTATACGCTATCACGCTTCTCGCGGCGTGAGTTCGTTTCCTCCGCGGACGATGTAGTGTTAGAGCCGGCGCTCACACAACCCACTCCGCAGGCTGCACTCGCGCAGCAGTTTCCGTGTGCACGGGCCGGGAGAGCCCCAGCAGGACACCGATGCCGTGTTCGGGTTGAGTCTACCCCAGCGGGCGAGGGCAGCTCTGCACTCGGGCTCGAACACTGTGCCGCAACAGTTGAACGTACATCAGGTGGGCCTTTCGGTGCTCCCATTAATGTGCTACGCGGCCTAACCCACTGATACGAACGCTACGCTACGCGATGTAGACCCGTTCGACGAGCACGCTCGACGGCGAGGACGTCGTGGAGCTCAAAGTCATCTCGCCGACCCTGGAGTCCTAGGCGACGCGGGCAAGAAGTCACCTCTAGGAAATATTCCGAATAGTCCAAATACACCTGATACGCCAAGTCAGTTCATGCACGTCCTTCACAAGAGACTGTTTCGAACCCACCTCCAAATATGTACGATTCTTGTATTCTTGCACGCATCAAAGAGACGCCCGATGACCAGAGCAAGCTTACTCACCCAAGTAACGCCCACTTCTTACCGGCGCTTACGCACTTCAGTGCTTCTCTCTGTCCTCCACCACGAGATGTCTATCCTGGAATCTGTGTCTCAGCAACCCATTCTCGCCATAAAACAAGTAGTTCCCATCTGCATGGTCAACGGCATGGTCAACGCTTCAGGTGCAGGATCGCAGGGTGGGCCCGTGAACTACGTGTCTTTGATCTTGTGCGCCACGACGCCTGCCTCGACCCGATGACTACGTCAAACAACGTGATGAGGGTGGCGTGCTCATCTGTCTGATATCTTCTAGGTGACTTCTCGTGTCTGATATCTCAGGCTGTGGGCCGTCGATGTCAAGGTAGGCCACCTGCTTCCTGCCGAATTGCCCGCAGTGGTCTGACCTCGTAGGTTTTCCCACTGCGGACACATCACAGCCCTGCTTCCGGTCGATGAGCCCCCACGGAGTGGAGAACCAATCACGCTAATAGATGCCGCAAAGACACGCGGAGCTCCATAAACGCGCCTTCGGCTCTCGAACATGACGCGCGCTCCTGAGACGGATGTTCTCCTGGCACAGACACCGATATCGATGCAAGTCACGCAGTGTATGAGAAGATATGCCTTAGTTTGGGCCCCCTATGCACCTCCCTCAGCGCTTGTGCAAGACTTCGATAGACGGTAGTGGAGGACGCTTTAGGCGTTCATCCGCATCTTTGAAAGAATCGCACGACCGTGGCTCGCCTGGATGGTTCTCAGCCACTGATAGTTGGTGAGCACCGCATGTCCTCTTCTGACCACGCTCAACCTCCACACCATCCTTCGAATGCAGGTCGAGAGCTGTAGTGAAAGCGCTAGCTGCCCTAACCGGCGGACGAAACGAGATTCATGTTTGGTGCGCGAGCCTTGGGAAAGAACCACGCTTTCGAACTCACGCGTGTCAGACGACGCGGCGGATTGAATCTTCGACGCTCCTACCCATGCGACAGTCAGTATACTACCAGCAACATCGCACCCTACCACGCGACGCGCAACAAGACGCTCAGACTACCATCCCCGATATCGACGGAACTCGTGTCCGACGAGCGTTGTGGCCGCCGCGGCGGTGCATGTCGCCTTCTCACTGACCTATCTTGGGGAGCAGCATGTTGATGTAGCCTCGGGGGCTTCCTCCACTCCCATACTTAATCTGGACCGTAGTCGAGAGTGCGCGAGGGTCCTTGCGCCTCCAGATCCCTGTAGTCGACATGCTCGTGCCTCTCCCGCAGCTTGATGCCGCCACCGCTATGATACCTGACGTCTCCCTGATACAGTCGCCGTCGATCGGCAGCACAATGGGTACGCTCCTGATCGCAACCTTCATAGGACTTGTGTGCGTATTCCGTATGCCCTCATCCACGGAAGGCGTGTTGACATATGTGATAGCCTCCTTGGCGTCACTCTCCACCAGGCGTACCGATATGCGCGGCTATTCCCCAATGATTCGCCATGGCTCAAAGGCTTGGTATGCAAAATCCCCGGCTCCCACAAGAACGTCACTCATCTTCTGGCTGAGCAGGTTGCGCTCGCAGTGTGAGAATTCTTGGGCCTCCCTCACACGCCTCGACTTCTTGTCCTCACTGTCACCGTAGATGCCTCGAAATGGCGTCAAGCGCGCTCTCCGTGCATGTATGGTGCGTAAACTGCTCTGAAAGCAGCCAGAGCCTCGCCGACTGGTTGTTTTCCCATAAGCTACTACTATCTCGTGACGAACTACTTCCACCCGCAAGACCTCGCGCTCGGTGTCTGGTCAGTACGGGTGCAAGTTCCGTTCACAGGTGCTATTTCTGATGCGCAGGCACGTCGACGTAGGTCTACCGATGTCAGTGTACAGTTCTGGGAAGCGAGGGGACTGGTGTACTGACGTCTATGCAGCTGTTCTCCTCTGTAGCGGTGCGTACAATCATTGAGCCTGAAACCGCGAGGATAATTCTTACGTGGCGGCGTTGCAGGGCACGACAATGGTCGTGTCACAAAGGTAAGCTCTACTCCTCACTTGTGCATACGACCTCTCTAAAGAGTGAACATCGGCTATAAGCTTTTTCGCGCGACGCGTATGGCTGCTTGAGCCTCGGTATCGAGCAGTAGTTGTGCTGTCAGTGAGTGAATATTACTCAGGCATCTATAAACTGCCGTGTCCACATTCCTAATCGCATTTCATAGTGTGTGTGCTCCGTTGCAGAGCTAGGCAAGTGTTACATAATTGCAGAATATACTTAATGACGCTGACGACCGCGTCATGGTCCTCGTACAGGAATCTTCATAGGTGAGCCGCCACAGTATTCGCCTCCGCCGCCCTTCAGTAACACAATATTCAGCGGGAACCGTTATGGAGTTTGTGCCTTTGTCTCATACATCCTTCGCTCGCCTGACGTTTGAGCTCTCCGTTCAGATTCATTGCAGACTCCACGCCAGAAAACACGGCTCTCCCGGTGCCAATGTTTCTGGTACGAGCCACATTACCCCAAAGCTCGCGATCGCCGCTGCAGCCCTAATCGTTGTTCTGGTCACGTCGCAGCGCCTCCTGCCGATCGCGTTCTGTCTGGCGATGGCTTCAGACCTAATGCTGACGGCGTCGCTCATCAGCATCCTGCGCCGCAAGCGCACAGGTTTCAGCAGGTGCGCATCTTATTGTTTCGGTTGGCTGAGGGCGTCGACCGGGTTACTGATACATCTATCCAGTACGGATAACATGATCGACGTCCTCATGATGTACTCCGTGAACACAGGTACGCATATCGGTCTCTGTCTTTGTGCCATGAGCCCTTCTGACCTTGTCGGATGGGCGTACGATGTCCAGGACTTCTCAATGGGTACGCCCGTACAGTTTATACGTTCTCGTTTCCACTACACAGACTGCTGATACCGCTCATCTAGCATCTTCGATCTACTGACTACGATACTGGTAAGTAGGATCGCTAGGCCAACTCGGAGCCTCTTTTTTCTTGCCTAACACTGGACCCTCTCCGCCAACAGGCCTTTGCACGCCCATACAGTACCGTCTGGGCTCTCTTCGGCATAGCTGGCGCAAAACGTAAGCATGGCACTCCAGAATGTCAGGTACACATGCTAAACTACGCTCTCGCAGTATACGCCATCACGCTCCTCGCAGCGTAAGCCCATCCGGCCGGTTTCTCGCGCCTTACAAACACTCACCCCCACGCTGTCACAGTCTGCACTCCCGCCGCGCGTTCCGCCCGAACGGCTCCGCCGAGTTGCTGCGGGATAGCGATGCGCTGTTCGGACTCAGCTTCTCCCCCGTAGGCGCGTCGCACTCGAACGCCACATCCTCGCTGAGTCGAAGCCGACCAGGGCATATACAGCAAGTACGCGACTCAGTCCTCCAGTATAAGGCACCCTCACTGACGCGGACGCGGTATAGCCGATACAGCTGCATTCGATAGGCACGATCGACGGCTTGGACATCATCGATATCAAAGCACCCTCGCCATCTCTGCCACCAGTAGTTGGCACGAGTCCCGATGGCCACTACGACACGGACAAGGGCATTTGGCAGTCCGAATACATGGAGAGCGCTACGGCGGGCGTTCCGTCAACGACGGAAATGGCTTTACCGACGGGGCATGGTCCACAGAGGCTGTCTACTACTCACTTGCGTGCTCTGCAAGAGATGACTAGGGTCATCCTTTAATGATCACGTCTGTCCATGAGACGTCGCTAGATATGTAAGATATCTGTCGTCTCGAGCTCCTCCGAGCGAGCGATACGCCATACCCCAATATTACTCGCGAGCGCGATCACACACGATGGCGACACTACCAGTACTCAAGGAAGTTCTCTGGAACAAAACACATAGTAAAGAACAGAAGGCTGATCATTGACAGACCGGAATACAGAACACTCGCCGCGCAGTTAGCTTCCCCGCCTTAAGGGCAGGTACTAGACCCGGGGGCCACGATGAGGCCTGCGCTATCCCCGGGAAATACCCCATTGCACCCCCCGTGATCTACATACACTACATCGCCGGTCCGCGTCGGTCGGCGGGCCTTTTATGCTAGTCTTCGAAGTGTCGACCTTCGGATATCGTACTTGAAAGTTTGAACCTGGGGTCTTCGGAGTCGATGTTGCGAGCGCCGTGGGCCGTCTTCATGTCGGCCGAGGTCCGTATCCTGAGTGCGAGCTAAGTATCCGAACAGAGAGGGAGAACATCAGTGCGTATGTCGGAGGAGTCACGCCTGCGACAGATGGTCAGCACAGGCTCCGAGCAGCTCAAGGCAGCGACATACCGCAACGGCGGGTCAAGGTCGCTTCCGCGAAGTCCTCCCTCCCCGGAGGTCCAGCGCGGGGCTCAGACCGCAGGCGTCCTTGAGAGCACATGTCTGTAGACGAAGGTCAGCATGAAGCGAATGATGGAAGAAAGCGGCGGTGTACCAGGAGAAGCACGGGTGAACGCATCAACGCCCGTCCTATGTGCCTAGGGGGACAGATGATGGTCGAGTGAATAATGCACTCTTGGTAGGGGAGGAAGAGACGTCGTGGTGTGAGGGAAGTAGACTATAGGCGAGGGGAGGGCGTCTTATACACCGGGAGTTGGCAGGGGCTGACTAGGGGCGAACCTCGCAGGCCGGCGCTCAGGAAGCGAACAAGTGTTGCCGATGGTGGTTGGTTCCAGTGACCTGGTGGCGAGGTGGGTGCTTCGAATTGTTCCTTCTTCCCAACCTTCCGATCGTAATCGAAACGTGGCGGTGTGTGCTCCCGAGAAGGATGACGGAGAATCGGACCGTGACTTGAACCAAGTGGGCATGCGCCGCCGGAGCCCGGGTCTGTCGATATCTGCATTCTAGTACGAGCTAGGATGCCGGCTGGAATATCTGAAGACTTCCTCCAAGTATCTTGTGCTGTTATCAAGTTAGCTTTCCAATGATTGTTCAAACAGGTGTGTGTGTCGGGAGTGACTAGCTGGAACGCGACTCGGACTCGGAATGAAAGCTTGCCACTGCCACTGTAGTCACAACTAGATAGTGATAGCGCCCCATCAAACTGAGCACCAATTCTTCTTGTAACGTATTCTATGGCGGTGGAGTTGTACATTTAATCTAGATGCAAGCCCAACTTCCAACTCCCAACTTTCCGAGCGCTTAGTATGCCCAAATATGGCAGGCTTACACCATATCAATACAGCCTTGAAGTGTGGCCATGCACACGGTTTGACAATGCAGTAGCGTGTAAAGATTGCCTTTGCAGGATGAATATGTGTGCGAGTTGACGGTGAGCGTTGACAACAGACTGAGGCCAGACTGCGGTCGCGCTGAGGTACGACTGAGGTCCGACTGAGGTCCGACTGAGGTCCAATAAGATCGCAGCCGAGGATAGATTAGATATCTGATCAGGTTTCACCCCCCACGCTCACTTCCACATTCTGGCCTCGGATAGCAACGCTCACGTTCCCTTTCGACGTCTACGTTCAACGTTCAACCATTCTACGTTCAACGCGCACACGGCGAACTTGCAGATATCCAATTCTATGTTTCATTCCAAGATGTATCATGAGTTCGGCGCGCCTGGCAGCCTCGAGCCCGCAAACGAGAAGACGTCCGCCGCACACACACACGCACGATCCGGCACTTACCGTCGGTCACGGTAATATCTATGTTCTCTAAAACGAGCTTGAGGATCGGTATACGAATCTGCAAGAGGCAAGGGACATACCTCAGTATCGAGAGCTGTCACGAGGATGAGGGGGCAAGGAAGGTGAGCTGTGTGCGCATGAATCCATGACACCACATACTTACCATCGTCCACCACCGACGTCCACCGCTAGCCAGTGGACGGGCGGGTGCATCCCTCGCGCGCGCGCCCTGCCAAGCGAGCCCGCAAACGAGAAGACGTCCGCCGCACACACACACGCACGATCCGGCACTCCTTCGAGCGGAACTCGGGTCGAGTCAGCAGCGACCTCGGGACGGCGTGCGGTATGTACCAATCAGCACACCACGAGGGAGTGTGTACGTACGTGAGGAGGGGTGACGTGCGCCACAGACGACACTCGCAATCGTGTCCCGCTCGATTTGTGTTGATGGCGGGTCGTATGCCCCATCCCCTCGCGGCGTGCTTACCCCTGGGTGGTGTGCATCGTTCGCTTCATGCGCCTCCATCCTCTCGATGGGTCGGATGTTTCTCCGTCGCTGTCACATCCAGCGGCTGTGGGTATCACACGCTCACCGTTGTCTTTCACGCTATACAGGGTGTCACCCGTGCACAGGGCACGTTCGATGCGAACCCTGCATATGGCGAGAACATGTCCTCTTATGAGGACGATTGGACCATTCTGCCACGACCAACACGCGCACCGGTTGTAGCAGACACGCGGCCTCTGTGGTTCAAGATACGTGGTGCAGTCACAGGAGCGAACTGAGCCGGATGAAAACGGCGGCCCATTTGATATGTGCGTCCCGCAGCTTGATTTACAAGCATAGACGATATGCTCACGCTGTTCTCAGGTGTACGGACGGTCTCGGTTCTGGTGGCTCGAACGAACGGACTGTGCGCGCGGCATCACGAGTAGCAACTCACCTGTGCACCACGGCCAAAAATTACCCTTTCCTCCACGTATCCGAATCATTCCGGGAGCTGGAAAGCTGACCGGTGAACTAGTCAACTGCTCATAATAGCTACGCATTGCTCATTGCGTTTTCATGGACACGCGAACGCGTCCGCAACCTCGGCAACCTCGGCAAAGCGCCCCTTCTCCTCTGCGGTGACATCGTCTGGAACATCGGTACGCGACACGAAGCATGCACGCTCGCGCCCATTCGCTAAAGCACCTTCTGCACACAGCCGGGAAGGAACTCGTGCAAGCCCTCAAAGGCGCGAGCTTCAAGGTAAACCGCGCCATCTTCGGCGGCAAAGCCTCGCGCGAAGAGATCGACCGCCTGAGCGCGCTAGGCCGCTCGCGCTCCTCCGACTTCGTGATCGCGCTCGGCGGCGGGAAGACGATCGACACTGCGAAGACGGTCGCGGACGGGCTCGTGCTGCAAGTCGCGATCCTGCCCACGACCGCGTCGACGGACGCGCCGTGCTCCGCGCTCTCCGTGCTCTACCGGCCGAGCGGCGAGTTCCACTGCTGCACCTTCTTCGACAAGAACCCGAACATCGTGCTCGTTGACACGAACGTCATCTCGAAGGCGCCCGCGCGCTTCCTCGCCGCGGGCATGGGCGACGCGATCGCGACGAACGTCGAGGCGTGCAGCGTGCACTTCAGCACGAGTCCCGCAAGGCTTCAGTTGTCCGGGCCGGCCTTGCGTTACACTCGCGGGATAGAGACTCACGTTCACGCAGACGTGAGCATACCAGTGATGCGGGGATGTATCAGGCAGAGGCTAGGGTGAGATGAATTCCGCAAAGATGCTCGCCATGGCGGTGATGATTACTACGGCCTTGTGACTCGTTAGAGGCAGTGACAAGTGGGATCGACAGTGCACCCTCAAGCCAGATCGGCAGGTACTGGCAGCTGATCGCGCACGCCCAAGGTACGTCTTCGTATTCTGTGGCATATTGGGTGTCGTGTTGATTCGGGTCATGGCAGCGCACGCATACGGGCAAGTGTTGGCCTCCCTATTTCGCGGCCGGCCCTTCGCGTCGTGGCGTGTTCATGTTCGCGTGGGAGGCTCAGGGCGGTATACAACCGCTTGCATTAGGACGCGGAGGCTCTGCGGTCGCTCTCCTTACAGGGCTCGCGATAGTCACAAAGGTCTGTTGCGGCACGTAAAACACAGGGACTATGTTTCTGTTCGCGTGTGGGTACGTGGTCATGCAGGTCATGTTTCATGAGACATTGTGTACACGGCGGTTTGAGTGCTGTTTGTGTGTATGAGAACATATTGTGATCTACAGGACCTTGAAGTACCCTAGTAATGCATGTAGTACGCAGTTGTAATCGCAAGACCTGTAGCCCACCTATTCAAAAGACTCTGCGCATCAGCAACGGTATCGATTCGGCCGGCAGCAGCAACCAGAGGCTGCAAAACTGCAGACAACCTCTCTTCCTCCTCCAATTCGGGGGCTTCCACGTTGACTTCATTGAGATGCGCGGGAGGAGGAGGGCCCGCCTGACCGATCCACGAGGACCACCCTTCAGTGTGTGTATTATTTAATGCGTGGTTTGCACGAAGCCCATCGTCATGTAACGCCTCCCAGTCTACACCATATACCTCCAGCTCCTCACCATCCATGGGATCGAGCGAGGCGAGAGCATCGCCGCGGACACCGTTGACGAGCATGTCGAAGCCAAACATATCTGCGGGCGAGCGGCTCGGACCACCCCGGATGGTGATCTTGTGCTGGTTCCAGGACTCGATGAAGAAAGCGAGTTCTTGATTGATATCAGGCAGGAAGAGGTGGTGAAGAAGCCAAATGTGAAAGACGTTGTTGATGTCGAGTCCGTGATGAAGCTCGAGTGTAGAGAAGAAGTCGGCCCATTTAGCGCCAACTTGCATGGTGACATCTACCCACAACCGCTCGATACGGATATTGTGCACACTTCTGCGTGAAAGCAAAAATGCTAAGCCTACTACACATCCATAGAATAGTATTAGTAGTACTTACCGGCCCCAGATGTATGACCCACGGGCTGGACCACGTCGAGTCTCCATGAACTCGGCCACACGCAGGTTTTCGACTCCATGATCGCCACGTACACGGGACGGAACACCGTAGCGATGAGCGGCTTGGAGGAAGAGGTTGAGCACCGTATCCGCACGGTTGTTATTGCTTGCGTGCAACCCTACTATGAGGCGGGAGTAGCCGTCGATGAAGCCATGAATGACTATGCCCCAACGAATAAGACCTGTAGTTTTGGTGTTCCAAAGTTAGTACCCAATATTTGCACAGAATAAAGCAACTTGCCGTGTTGACCGTCATGATGCCAGAGTGCGTTCGGTCCCGCAACACGATACTCCCTGCGCCGTATTCTAATGCGCTCGAAAACGCGGCGGACTGGATCTACCCGTAGGAAGGATTCGCGAATACGAGCACGGGTGATGTGGTATCCCAGGGCACGTAACATGCCATCAAGCATCCGCTGGCCTGCACGGTGATAGTGTGAGCGGAGAACGACAATGGTCTGGTCCAAATCAGCGTCAGGGAGAGTGTTGCGTGCGTGTCTGGCTTGGGATGGTAGAGATGCGTGGATAGAAGTGATGAACTCTGAACCTGGAAGGCTGTAAGCCGCACAAAGAGAGGTCTTCAGTCTGTGAGAGAACGACTATGATTGCATAGTACTGTACCTGTAAGCCGCACAAAGAGAGGCTACAAGTACTAGTAAGTAAACATGTAAGGAAGCATAGGTAGTATGGGACTTACTCTTCAGTCTGTGAGAGAACGACTGAAGAGCAGAGGCCTGCAGAGTCCTCCTTATATACTACTGGGGAGGACGATGAGTAAGCGTATAGGAAGAGGGCATGTGACATCCAGAGGACGCTGACTGAGCGATGAGTAACGCTGAGTAAGGGAGCATAATCGACATAAGGTCAGATAGTCCATGGCTGAGTAATGCGAG